ATCGGATTGTTCCTGGGGGAAAACGCCTTTAAAGAGAAATAGAAAGAAATTCAGGGTAATTCTGGCTCCGATTCAGAACGTCGTTTGGTCGTTTTCCAAAACGAGTTTCTACATTTAAATATTTGGAATAAAATCCCTATAAATAGTGGATTTAAAGATCGATAAAGGGAACTCTTTTTAAACGGATCTTCCTATTTCTTTTTTGCTGGCTTTAGCAACAGCTACCATACAGGCCAAAAATGATCTACAACGACCGAACGCAAATATTTTATACTTTTCTGATAACATATTTTTTGCTTTTCGAGTTTAATTATTGTTTGCTTCTTGAGGACGAGTTATTTCACACAGATCTTGTTCTGAAGATGGCAAGAAGCTGAAATGCGCCAGACAGACAAATTAGCAAGGATAGGCATACCACAGCGATCGGAATTGACCAAACAAAAAATTAATAACCGGTTAATTCTTAAGAAATCCTGTCGGTTTGTACGAAAATTAATTTTTAAGCCTTGCTAACAATGTTTCTGGCGACGATGGACTGGACTGACAGTTTTCTTTGATGTTTAAAAAACTTTCTGGATCTTTTCACTCTCGACTCGTACAAAGTTAAAATGACTCTTTTGCCCTATTCTCTCAAGAACTTTACAAATTATAAAGCTCCTTAATTGCTACGGGTATTTGTAAAAAATGTACCTATTAAAACAGTGTTTTTTAACAATATTTGTCTCTTGGACGTTACGTTGTAAATAATTTTATGTGACGCATTAGAAATATATTTGTCTGGTTCCGTTGTCGCCAGAGAATTTTTAAAAATTGGTCTGCCAATTTTTTCCCAATTTCTCCCGTCACCTCAATAATCTCACCCAAAACTTTTCTAACAGAACACACGACTTCATTTCTGATGAATATGTCGTAAAGTATATTTAGTGAAGTGAAGTAAGAGAATAATACTGATTGTTTGCTCTCCTCAATTGAAATATATATGTAAACAGTTGTAAATATATCCGTATACCATTTACATATTCTATCAGCAATTGTAGATTGTAATAAAATATAAGAAAAGAAAAAAAAGAGTTCTAAGAGTAAGGGAGCCCTGGAAGCAACGATTGAGAGGCAGAGCCACCAGTTTTGAGGCGGCAGTGGTTGAGAAATTTTTAAGTCTTTCACAGAATGTGCCATCCACACTCTTCACTCCTTGAGTTTAGGATGATAGTGAAGGTAAAAAGTGTATGGAATTGTATGGAAGCCCTGGCAGAAGTCAGGGACATGGGTGGGTCCCTGGGATTCCGGAGATAGAGACAATGAGAAAGTGGACATGTTGGCCCAAAAAGGATTCTCTATAAGTCCTGAAACTTATTGTGGTCTGGTTGGACACCTGACAGGGCACTTTCGCCTAAGAAGACTCATACACCGTATTGGAATATTGACAGAAGAAACACTGTGCAGATACTGCTAGGAAGAAGAGATCGCAGTACAGGTTTTATGCTTTTTTGAGGGTCTGTGTAGGTGCAGATACTGCTAGGAAGAAGAAATCGCAAAACACGTTTTATGCTTTTATGAGGGTCTGTGTAGGTGCAGACACTGCTAGGAAGAAGAGATCGCAAAACACGTTTTATGCTTTTATGAGGGTATGTGTAGGTTCAGATACTGCTAGGAAGAAGAGATCGCAAAACACGTTTTATGCTTTTATGAGGGTCTGTGTAGGTTCAGATACTGCTAGGAAGAAGAGATCGCAAAACACGGTTTATGCTTTCATGAGGGTCTGTGCAGGTGCAGACACTGCTAGGAAGAAGAGATCGCAGAACACGTTTTATGCTTTTATGACGGTCTGTGTAGGTGCAGATACTACTAGAAAGAAGAAATCGCAAAACGCGTTTTATGCTTTTATGACGGTCTGTAGCCGCAGGCAAGATTCTACATTAAGGAGGCGCTGGCAAGGCTATATAGAATGATTAACAACCTAAAGCTGGCCAATGAGCTATAAAAAAAGGATCCCAGTGGATCTGGTCGAGATGCAGAAGACATTGTGACGCCTCTTTTATCCTATGCCTATGGTAGGGGGTTTACAGGCCATTAAGCGACTCTTGGTGGATCTGCAATGTCCTATTCTCAATCTTGTTAATAACCTCTCCAAGTCCAAGCATGGGCATTGACTTTATCTCACGTAACTTTTCTCCAACACTGCCTTTCGTTTCGAAAAAGTCTAAGGGCTTGCTCACTAATTGCTAATGTCGGCTGTATGTTTAATGCTGCCTGATTCGTAGTGCGAGCTGACTTTATTTAATTATTATATTAATAATTAATTGGATTAGCCATTGTTTGATCATAATTAATTGTAACCGTTTTATAAAGTGTCTGTAGATTGGACAGGTAGAAAATGTATAGGTCTTTATTTTTACAAAATTATTCGCTGTGTTAAAAATTGGAAACGATTGGTAAATAACTGTAATAAATCGTTTTAATAGGAGTTGAACTTGAACGATTGCCAATTTTAACTTTTTAACTTAAAACGTGTGCAGGGACTGGGGATATAAAAGTAAATATGAAAAGTTATTACAAACGCATTAACGTCAAACGAGAAACACAACCGACAACCTTTTGCGATTAAACTGCCTTCGAATCGCGTCGGATAACGAACCCTTTAATGTTTTTGATATTCAATATCTGCATGTCGTAAATTGCCGTACTTGAAAACTTACTGATTGCTCCCAAAGTATTAAGTCCTTGGGGATATTTGTTTATGCGTGGAATTTGAAACGCCTTTAAAATTCCTGAAGAGCGATCTATAAACAAGGATCCTCGAAAATAGTGAAAATCACTGTCCGCCTATCCTCGCTGTTTATGCTAGATGCGTTTGGCCTTCTCCAGAGGGTAATAGATTTAAGAATCGACCATATTACAAGTTATGTGTGGAAGTATCGATTAACAAAGTTAAAAAAAATTTTGGTACTGGGAATCTGGTCAAAAATAGTGCATGTATTATATAATCGCCAAACTTACGATCTCTTTATTTGGCCTTCATCAGGGATATCATATATCTAAATGTCAATGCCCTGATGAAATGGTAAATGCCCCCTGATCATGAGGGAAATCCTCTGTAGTTAAACTATATATAGTTAAACTTAATTCAGTCAATAGTATAAATCATGACTCATCACAATGATTTAGTCTATTATCTGAACTAAATTCTATAAAGAATATACATTTTAAATAAATAGTTTAACCACAATAAAAAATACAGGTTCATCAACCAGCAGAACCCAACAGAATATCTACTAATCTAATTTTCTATTAAGCTCAACCTCCACTGATGACGTTCTCAAAAACACCTCCCCAACAAATTGGGCATACCAGTGTAACTAAGTCTATGGTTGTAAATACGAATACACTTCAGGTTTTGAAAATGGTTTCTCAAATAAAGTCGAAAGCTTGACAGAAAATAATATTTTATTATTTAATCATTTTAATCCACACTGGATTAACCTCTCCAGCCTAAACCTCGATCATTACATTAGTATAAAAACTTCAATTAAGATCATGGATAAATCAAGTGTTTAAATAACTAAAACAATCTTTCAACTTCTTACAAGTTTTAAAAGAACTTTCCAGTATGATGATATATTGGGGTGAGAACCAAAAGAAATAATGATAAAATGTTTGAAGTGGATAAAAATACACAATTTTTTTTCTAACGTCCCTTACAGCCCTGATGAAGGTCAAATAAAGAGATAAAAAGCTTGGCAATTATATTCCCAATACTCATACTACATGCCCAATACTAATTTTAAAAAAAAAGACAGATTACAGGTTTATAAACCAGCAGAACCCAAGAGAAAATCTACCAATATTTTCTATTAAGCTCGACTGTCCAATGAAGTCGTGCTCAAAAACGCCTGGATAACAAACAGAGATGACAGATGGTTGTAAATACTAATAAACTTCGGGGTTTGAAGATGGCTTTTCAAGTCCAAAGCTTGGCATAAAATAATATTTTATTACTTAATAATTTAAATCCAGGCTTTGGATTAACATCCCCCTCAGCCTTAACCCTCGATCATTACATTAGTATAAAAACTTCAATTAAGCTCATGATAAATCAAGTGTTTAAATAACTAAAACAATCTTTCAACTTCTTACAAGTTGTACAAGAACTTTCCAGTATGACAGGAAAATATAATGGTAAAATGTTTTGAAGTAGATAAAAATACACAAATTTTTTTCTGACGTTCTGATAGCCCTGATGAAGGTCAAATAAGGAGATCGAAAGCTTGGCAATTATATTACCATCAACCAGCAGAACACAAGGGAAAATCTAACAATATTTTCTACTAAGCTCAATCGTCCACTGAAGACGTGCTCAAAAACGCCTGGACAACAAATTAGACAGAGACTAAGATGGTTGTAAATACTAATAAACTTAGGGTTTTGAAGATGGCTTCTCAAATAAAGTCGAAGCTTGGCGTAAAATAATATTTTATTATTTAATAATTTAAATCCAGGCTTTGGATTAACCCCCATGAACCTTAACCCTCGATCTTGACTTCAATTAAGCTCGTGGATAAATCAAGGGTTTAAATAACTAAAACAATCTTTAAACTTCTTACAAGTTTTATAAAAACTTTCCACTATGACAGGAATATACATTGAGGTGAGAACCTAGAAAAAATAGTGATAAAATGTTTTGAAGTAGATAAAAATACACAATTTTTTTTCTGACGTTCAAGGTTGTTTTAAAAGGCAGTACGCACTTAACCGCGAAGACCCCCTCTTTTTTGTGGTAAAACGATGATTTTAAACTGATGTGTTCTATTGAATCTATTTGTAGAAATTAAATCCCTTTCTTGTTTTCTTTTGGAATTTCGTGGCCCCGTCGACGATCCCGTCTTTTAGAGACGCGGTGACGGCATTTCTAGGCTTGCCACCTATCGTCACAGGGCGGTGCCACTTTCCACGTATTGCGCCGTCCTTTTTATGTTCCTGACCGTCGTTTCTTCATTTTACAGGGCGGTAGCGGCATATTTGAGGGCTCTCAACCTAAGCCCTAACAACGCCGTCGTTCATGGCAATCTCGCCTGCGTCTACTATGAGCAGGGGTAAGTAACGTTCATTATTTACGTCTATTATCTCATTTTCCCCCTATACGAAGAAAGAATTTTAAAAAAAGTATATTATCGTCATATTGAGCAAAATATTATATAAATATGTCCGCCATTTTGACGAAGAATATAAAACTAGTCCTTTTTTTTTCCAACAATATCTTCATTCTAAATTTCCATGCATGATTTTATTTTCCCTTTTAATCCAAGAGGTTTATTTGGTTTTTATTTATTTTTTTATAATTTAACTAAAATATTATAATTTAGCTTTTTATTTCCCCGATGCCTTTGCAACCTGGCAAATGCACTGAAAGAATTCAACAGTATATTCTCAGTAGTCTCTAAATATTCCCGCCATTTTTTCAAAGAATATAAATCTGTGTAAATTTTTTTCAACTGTGTTCCCATTGTAAATTCCCATGCATGATGATTTTCTTTTCCCTTTTATTCCAACAAGTTTATTTGGGTTATTATTTTTTTTATTTATTCAGCTTTTTAATATTTTTTATTTCCTTAATGCCTCCTGCAACCTGGCAAATGCACCGAAAGAATTCAACAGTATATTCTCATTCCATTAATCAATAGTCTCTAAATATGTCCGCCATTTTTTCCAAGAATATAAAACTATCTATAATTTTTTTTTTCTTTTTCAACAGTGTTCCCATTCTAAATTCCCATGCATGATTTTCTTTTCTCTTTTAATCCAAAAGGTTTATTTTAATCCCCGATGCCTCCTGCAACCTGACAATTGTACTGAAAGAATTCAACAGTACATTCTCACTCCATCAATCAGTAGCCTCTAAATATGTCCGCCATTTTTTAGAAGAATGTAAAACTATCTTTTTTTTTTTTTTTTTTTCAACAGTGTTCCTATTCTAAATTCCCATGCATGATTTTATTTTCCCTTTTAATCCCTGATGCCTGAACTGAAAGCGTTCAAAGAAGTTTCATTTTTGACAACAGGTCTCATTTCTAAATTTCTCGTGCAATATTTTATTTTCCCTTTCAATCCCAAAGGATATCTTAATCCTCATTTTCATCATTTTGAGGAGTAGTCATAAATATATCCGCCATTTTGATGAAAAATATAAAACTACATTTTTTCTAACAGTGTTCCCATTTTTAAATTTCCCACGCTCGATTTTATTGGCCCTTCTTAATCCAAGAGATTTATTTTAATCCCTGATGACTACAATCTGGCAAACACTGAAATAATGCTACTGTATACTCTCATCATGTTGATCAGTATATAAATATGTCCGCCATTTTGACAAAGAATGTAAAATTGTATAAATCTCTTTTTTTCTTCAACAGTGTGCTCATTTTTAAATTCACCAATTTTTTGTGAGATACTTTTTCCCTTTTAATTTAAGATTTTAGCCTTATCTTCATCAAAATATATCCATTTTAGTTCCTGTTCGTAGTAACAAAATTAGAAATTACATCTCAGTGCATTTGTCTCAATTTACACTGTTGCATTTGATTGAATGATTGTCATATCCTGCTTGACCTTGTGTGACCCAAAATCTTTTACGTCGAGCCGTCTTTTTGCCTTTCTAAATGAATGTATACTTCAGGCTTATTGACCTTGCCATCGACACCTATCGGCGTGCCATCGAGCTTCAACCTAACTTCCCCGATGCCTACTGCAACCTGGCAAATGCGCTCAAAGAAAAAGGCCAGGTAAATTGAAACTTTGTCCAAAATTTAAAAAAACGGTTTTTATTTTGAATTTTTTTTTCAGGTTTCAGAGGCAGAGGAGTGCTATAATACAGCACTCCGCTTGTGTCCGTCACACGCGGACTCACTCAATAATCTGGCCAATATAAAACGTGAACAGGGTTATATAGAAGAAGCAACTCGTCTTTATTTAAAAGCTTTAGAGGTAAAATCTACATTTTTGCCTATTAACAAAGAAGAAGAACGTTAATAATACAACATATTCCATTTTTCAGGTATTCCCCGAATTTGCAGCAGCTCATTCTAACTTAGCATCAGTCCTCCAACAACAAGGAAAGCTGAACGAAGCTCTAATGCATTACAAAGAAGCAATTAGAATTCAGCCCACGTTTGCTGATGCGTACAGCAACATGGGCAACACGTTGAAAGAGATGCAAGATATTCCAGGTGCACTCCAGTGCTACACACGAGCCATACAGATCAATCCTGCATTTGCAGACGCTCATAGCAACCTTGCATCCATTCACAAAGTTCGTATTGCAGAAAATTCATATTAATTTTATGACAGTTCGTTGTTTAATTAATTATATAATTTTAGGATTCAGGAAACATTCCAGATGCTATTCAGTCATACAGGACTGCATTGAAACTCAAGCCAGACTTCCCAGACGCATACTGCAATCTTGCCCATTGCCTACAAATCGTTTGCGATTGGACTGATTATGAGGCAAGAATGAAAAAATTAGTGTCAATTGTAGCTGAACAACTCGAAAAAAACAGGCTTCCTTCGGTTCATCCACATCATTCTATGTTGTATCCGCTCTCGCATGAATTCAGAAAAGGCATCGCAGCTCGTCATGCTAATCTTTGCCTAGAGAAAGTGCGTATTTAGACAAATAAAATAAAACATTTAAAATTGATTTTTCCCAATCTCATGTATGTTTAATACGTTAGATCCATGCACTTCATAAACCGCCGTACAAACACCCGAAAGAACTTTACGGAAGACTTCGTATTGGTTACGTCTCTTCAGATTTTGGCAACCATCCGACTTCTCATCTTATGCAGTCCATTCCTGGACTTCACAACAGACAGAGCGTCGAGGTATTTTGCTATGCACTGAGTGCTGATGATGGAACTACTTTCAGAAGCAAGATATCCCGCGAATCAGAACACTTTATAGATCTATCACAGGTATGAATGTTTCCATATTTTTAATGTATGATATGCTAAATTTGGTTTATTTTTAGGTTCCTTGCAACGGTAAAGCTGCCGACAGAATTAACAGTGATGGTATTCACATTCTTGTAAATATGAATGGTTACACAAAAGGTGCCCGTAATGAAATATTCGCTCTTAGACCGGCACCTATCCAAGTATGAGTTTACAGACACAAATCGGTTAACATTTTTTATTGAAACATTCTGTCGTTTTAGGTTATGTGGCTTGGATATCCTGGTACGAGTGGAGCTTCGTTTATGGATTATTTGATCACAGATGCTGTCACTTCTCCACTTGAACTTGCGTACCAATACAGCGAAAAGCTTGCTTTCATGCCACACACGTATTTCATCGGGGATCACAGGCAGATGTTCCCTCACCTGAAAGAAAGATTAATCTTGGCTGACAAAGTATGGCAATAAAGTAATTTTGTTTTTAAGAGCAAACGATAACGATTTGTTTGTATATTTAGCAAACCAAGAAAGCAGAGCTCGCCGACAATGTAGCAGTTATAAATGCGACCGACCTTTCACCGATGATTGAAAACACAGAAGTCAGGGAAATCCGTGAAGTCGTTGAAACAGTCTCTGATACTAAAACCAGTCGCCCGGTCGAGATTTCGCTCAAAGTGGCACAACTTCCTACAACAAACCCGATTGAGGTAATTTAGTTATTGCAAAATAAATCATGCATGTTTCTAACTCAATTCACTAGTTTCGTGGTCTGCTTGACCAATTAATATCTTGCAATTAATTAAGGTTTTCAGTTGACATAAAAAAGTCGATAGAACGAACAGGATTCGAACCCATGATCTTTGGCTTGATATGCCGCTACTTTACCACTTGAGCTATCGTGACCTTGATCCACTCAGACATCAGCTTCCCATCTCAACCACACCTTTTGAATTTTCCCTCCTTTTTGCCATTTTTCAAATGTTGTGTAATCAATTTGATTCTTGGCGACAAATGAAAAATGGCAAAAAGGAGGGAAAATTCAAAAGGTGTGGTTGAGATAGGAAGTTGATGCCCGAGTGGATCGAGGTCACGATAGCTCAAGTGGTAGAGCAGCGGCGTATCAAGTTGAAGATCGTGGATTCGAATCCCGCACATGCTTGACTTTTTTATATCAACTAAAAAACCTTAATTAATTGTAATGTATTAATTGGTCAAGCGGACCACGAAATTAGTGAATTAATCATTTAAAATGAAGTATACTTCTCTAAAGCTCTTTGTGGCCATTTCATTTGTCATCCAGAATCCAATCCGATTACACAACATTTGAAAAATGGCAAAAAGAGGGAAAACTCATAAGGTGGGGTTGAGATGGGAAGTTGGTGTCCGAGTGGATCAAGGTCACGATAGCTCAAGTGGTAGAGCAGCGGTGTATCAAGCCGAAGATCGTGGGTTCGAATCCTGCTCGTGCCATTGACTTTTTATCTCAACTGAAAACCTTAATTAATTGTAACATGTTTCTAACTTTTTTTTTATATTTACAGACGATGATTGCTTCTGGGCAGATCCAGACCTCCCTCAATGGAGTCGTCGTACAAAATGGACTAGCTACCAACCAAACGAATAACAAAGCAGCAACAGGTGAAGAGGTGCCACAGAGTATTGTCATAACGACACGACAACAGTACGGCCTGCCTGATGAAGCAGTTGTATATTGCAATTTCAATCAACTTTACAAAATCGATCCAGTCACGTTGCAGATGTGGGTCAATGTAAGTGAATATTAAAACTAATTTTACTTTTCATTTTTGATTATAAATAATTTTTATATGTCCAGATTTTGAAATCTGTACCAAATTCGGTAATGTGGCTGTTGAGATTTCCCGCCGTGGGTGAGCCACACCTTCAAGCAATGGCTTCTTCCCTCGGCCTCCCACCAGGCAGAATCATCTTCAGTAATGTCGCCGCGAAGGAAGAGCATGTCAGAAGGGGTCAACTGGCTGATGTCTGCCTCGACACCCCTCTTTGCAACGGTCATACAACCAGTATGGATGTCCTGTGGACCGGAACACCGGTTGTCACTTTACCAGGTATTTGATTAAAAAAAGGGGGAAAAAAAGAAAATATTCTAATGTTAATTTTTTATAGGAGAAACACTCGCTTCAAGAGTAGCTGCATCTCAACTCGCAACCCTCGGTTGCCATGAACTCATTGCAAGAACAAGACAAGAGTACCAGGACATCGCCATCAGGCTTGGCACTGATCGAGAATACTTGAAAGCGATGCGTGCCGAGGTTTGGCGTGCTCGAACCGACAGCCCGCTCTTCAATTGTAAAATGTACGCCGAAGGTTTGGAGAAGCTCTACCACCTCATGTGGGCGAAACATGCCAACGGAGAGAAAACCGATCACATATCAGTCGCCGTAAATAACTAAGAAGAAAACTTTTCCTGATATTTTTCATATTCAGTTTTCTTGGAATTTGTAATTATCTAGGCTTAGTTCTCCTTTATTAGAGGGTTTTTCTTTCATTTTGTAAGCATATAATTTTATTTGACACCTATATAAAATGACAAGTTTCTGTACAAAAGTTTAAAAACTTCAGTCACTTTCTTTTTCTCACTATTTACTTTTTTAACAAATGATATTTAAAATAAAATTATTGAAGTACTAATTTAAATACATTCCTTTTAAATTTTTACGTTTAAATATCAATCAATAACAAGACAAAAAAGAAAAATAAGAATTTCAAGATTTAAAAGAAAAATTAATTTTATCCACAATTTTGTTAAATCAAAAAGTCTTCTTGAGAGAAAAGAAATAATATTTTAAAATACATGGATTAAATATATTGAAAGAGACTGTTTATGTAGATGTTTGGCAAACAAATTAAATTACCAGGGAGTTACCAGGATTAAAATATCAAATTGCTAAGAGGCGTTACTTAATAATTCCACTTTATTTCATGATTTTTCTCTCCTTTTCTTTTTTATTATGAAATTATTCAATTACGCTCATGTGGTACAAAGTTTATTTTGTATACAAGATAGTAGACTCGTTTGTTGAAATATTGCGGAAAAGATAGGATTGGAAAAGATATACGCCATGATAAAAGTTAACTGGCTAACATGAGCATGTGAGACCTAAATTTTAAATTTCATATTAGTCTCATCAGTTTGAAACATCATTTTTACTTGTCTAGAAAAAAAATTGTAATAAAATGATGTTTTAAAACCGTGTAAGGAAATCTTGGATCTCAAACAACTTGAGTGTATATACTTTTTTTGAACATATATTTTGTTTTATTTATTAGAGCTTGTAACAGTAAATGGATAAAACTGAAGGATGTGGCACCTTACCATGTTAAATGATCCGTAAGGAAATTATTTGATCTGATGTCAAATATTTTGTGTAAGCTTTGTTAATTTATTGCCAAACTTTTTGTATCGATTTAAGTGTCAAAAGATAAATTGTGTATCATTCAGATATATTTGGCTGTATAAATTAAAAATAGACTTTAATCTTTTATGTCTGGTTTTTATTATCTAACATGCCTTTGGCAATGGTAAATTTGGCCAAATAACATTTTTTTATTAATATGTTGACTCTGAGGTAGTTTAGAAAAAACCGCTCTTAATCAGATTGAAACGGCTCACTCGAAGTGAATCATCATCTTTTTTCATGGCTCACCAAATTTATCGTATTTATCCCATAATTCCATGGGTAAACTTTGGCAAATTTTTCTAATTAAGGTGTGCCAGTGCTTAAAAATACCTTTCTCATTTATTTATTTATTTTTTTAATTGCCAATAATAAATTTCAATAAAAAAAATAAATAAATGAAAAAGGTGGAGCAATTCTTTTCGTTCACATAACAATTAACAACTCTGTAATTGTATTACCTTTTTCTTGCGAACAAGTGAATAAAACAATAAAAAAATATAAATAATAACTATGTGGGTACGTAAGAGCCAAGGAAATATTAGTGGCGTGGGAATTGGAGCTGAACCAGGATGAGGCAGAAAAACGACCTGAACGCCCTCCTGGTTACTCCTTTCTTTCATTGTACAGTGGGATATGGCAAAATTAAAAACGATACACCCCACAATGTATATGGAGTAATGTTTGAAGCCCTAAAAAATTACTAAAGAGATGCCAGACACATCTGTAAAGGTTTTAACATCCAAAACGTCAGAGGGCATGGGGATGTGCCAAGAACACGGTTAAGAAATTTAAAAAATTGTTACCCAACCACCACGAGCATAAACATGACAGATCTAAACGCCATGCGCACTGCGTGTCATAAAAAGTAAATCTCATATACAGTGAGTTCCAGAAGATCAGGAGAACAGCTTTCGTGGACCCCTTAGTTAAATAAATAAAAGGGATCAATACAAATGGGAAGGTTGTGTTAGCTTGGGTTCCCGGCCACATAAGGATACCCGGGAATGAAGAAGTAGAAAGGGCGGCCAAAGATGCCGGAAAATAAGGATACAAGGTTATTAATTTCTTAGGCCTAGTACGCACTGGATTCTTTGAGTTGACTTTTAATCTCCAGAGAGTCTTGGTTGTGTCTAGCCTGAGTCCGGGCTGCCCCGACTCAGTTGCGATGAATATGGTGTGTTGCAGGCTAGCATTTTCGGACTCTGAATCCCATCCGATGTGGAATTCTTTGACTCAATGTTGCGCAATATTTGCCAGTGTGGACGTGAATCGGAACAAGCGCTCTTGCTTCATTTCTTTATTAGTTGACGTAGTGAGTGTTTTTTTGAAGATTTTGACAGTGTCTTGTAAAAAGGTGGAGTACCGAGTTGACATTACAATTAATCATTCACAAAATACAGAAATTGGGAATTGAAAAGCCAAACATTGAACGGTTTAGCACAAAAATTCAGTGTTTACGTTGCCAAAATTGAAAAAAAAAAAAAATTCACTTTAAAAGGACAGTTCCATTTGTTTTGAAATTCTGAAGGTGAACATGAGGCTTGTATGCGAGTCTACACTCACGAGAAACCGGAGAGTGGCAGCTAATCAGTTGTCCGGAGAGATCGATTCCCAAAAGTTGGTATCTTTCTTGGAAATTTGACCACCAACTTTTATTAAAATGGTTTCAAAATCGGTCAGACATCCTCAAAAAATTTCTGAACCCTGTGCCATCATTTAATCTCAATGTGTCCAAAAGATTTTTCCCGTGCTGATTCCTGCCGTGAAATATTTGTCGAACCCACCATCTTTTGGGCATTTTTTAATGCATCTCCGATTGGATTCAGTACGGACAATGCAAAAAAAGAGCAAGGGAATTTCCTGAGAGAGCGAGTTCCTCCGTCAATTTCACTGGCACTGATGAATGTGAACTGAATCTTGGACTGGACACAGTTCTTTGTCACGGAGCAAAGTCGGGGCAACAATGAACCTGCAACATTTATTGATTCAAAGAATCTCAGTGCGTACTAGGCTTAATACTCTAAAAGAAAAATGAAGAGACTGCTGTAAAAATAAAAATAATACTGCCAACCTTGGCAGATGAAGGAAGACGCCGGTCCATAGAGTAAGGGTCAAAAAGAGAAAAGGGCCAAACTGACAAGACTGCGATATGTCATACAAGGATAACTCACCGGCGCCTTTTGGCTGGAAAGCGACCATGTAGGTGCCCGTTATGCAAGGTCGTTAAAAACGGTCGAATAATTTTCAGTTGTTGAAGGCTTGATATATTACAAAATATTTTGACATACAGATGAAATGTGTAGAGATTAGTGACCGTTAATCGATAGTTATTCAGAAATCGTGAGATGCGGTCGGGTGTGATGTAGGTTTCAGAAAAACATTTTCTTTATCGTGCCAACGTTTCGATCTTTTATTGAGATCATCTTCAGGGCCNTCTGTCACACACAACACACTGAACCATATGGGTTGATCTCAATAAAAGATCGAAACGTTGGCACGATAAAGAAAATGTTTTTCTGAAACCTACATCACACCCGACCGCATCTCACAATATCTGAATAAAAATACAGATGAAAATGTAACGATGAGCTGGGTTATCGACCTGCTGGAAACAAAGTTTTTCAAGGATCTACGGAAGAGGTCAACATAGAAAAAAAAACTTCCTTTCAGTTTTCACTGAGCTTTCGACAGTTTTTATACTGTCATCTTCAGGGCTTTAACCTTAATGGGGAAATAAAAAGGAACATGGTGTCCTGGGCACTGAAGTACATTACGTTTTTGGTGCTCAGCATCTCATAAAAGTAAAAACAAACACTTCTTCGACAAGAGGACAAAGGCTCTGGGAAACGCCCCCGACAAAATGATGATTTTGACCTACCATCTCTTCTTGGGGCACTGATCGCAGTTCCAATACCTCAGGGCTATAGGAATTTTTAAATGTATATATTGTGTCTGTGTTGAATTTATGTTATTTTACTGGAATGAATGTAATTTATTAGCATGAAAGGAAGGGGTTGTTTAACCCTGGCTGGAGGAATATCGAGTCCTCTGGGGAATGAATCTGATGAGATTTCTATTTTTTGGTGATGTGTGTATATATATTTTGTCTACTTATTGGTTGTCAACCTGAGGTACGAAAGAGAAGGTAGAATTTTAGGATACGTATAAAAGCAGAGATACTACAGAAGTGAAACTGATGAAAAGTCCACATTTCATAACATGTTTGGTTTGGAATCAACATTCAAATTTTAATTTATACTCATTAATGGTTCATCATATTCTAGAAAAGAGATTATTTGGTTTATGGTAACCAAAATATTATATGAATGTTCTTGTTTCTAATTTCTCAAGGTACCAAGTCATGCTTCTGATTTAGCAGTTGACATTGGTATCATTGTTTATTTTTAAATTAAATTCATTTCTTAAAAAAAAAAAAAAAAAAAATATTTACAAAAAAAAAAAAAAAAAAAAAAAAAAAAAAAAAAAAATTAAAAATTGGATGCTATCATAAATGGTGCCTCATACCGCCCTTCCTTTAATTCACTGAATTTAATTCTGAATAATCATTCTTCAGCATGTTCGTCAAAAAGCAAACTGGCACATTTTTTCACCTGGTGCAACTGGTAAAAATTTATCGCTCTTGAGGGGAGTATTTTGTTGAGCAATCAAACTGCCTTCGATCATTATTTCTTCACTAATATTTTGAGGAATTACATTATTGGAATCAGTACTGAAAAAGATTTATTTTTATCTTACAAAAGACTGTAATTGAAAGACTGAAATTGTTAATAAGAATTCAAATAAAATTTATATATATATATATATATATTTTTTTTTTTTTTTTTTTTTAATGTGAACATTGATACAATATCGTCATCAATGTTTCATGGCAAACAATTAACCATAGTATCTACTGACACTGGGGCATTTATAATACGTCCAAAAATCCCAAATTGACCTTTACGTGCTGTAATTGTCGAATTTGCATAAATGGTATGCTTGAAGAAATAAGTCGCTCTGAGACTAAATCCAATGTCAGAAGATCTGATGGTTTTTATGGGTATTTAAAACAATTGAATTTGGATAACATAGAGATATTATTTTTCTCCAATGTGCAGCAATTTTAGTGTCAATACATAAATGTATAAATATAAACTGCCCAAGAAGTAAAATGTTATATGTTCTGACTCGCTCTCTGCCTTGTCAGCATTGAATGATCCCCCCCCCCCCAGGAAATATTCATGGCATTAAAATGACTTTCTCAGAGAGGTATTGGGGTTATTTTCTTGTGGTTTCCTGGCCACAGCGGCATCGCTGGAAATGAGATTGCGGATAGGGCAGCCAGAGAGGCAGCTATTTCAGGGCAGTTAGTAAGAGAAGTTCCAGGTGATGATTATTAATATAATAATAAATATAAAATCAGAAATTTTATGTGAAAAAGACTGGCACGATGTTGGGGAAAATAAGCTTAGAGAAATAAAACTAACGGTTAAACCTTGGCCGAGTTCAATCTGGACTAACCGAGGTGGTTCTCACAAGATTACAAATTGGCCATTGTAGGATCACTAAGGGACATCTAATGGCTAGAGAACCACCTCGTCTGTCCTTGTTGCAATGATTACAACTAATTATTACAACTATAATTATTACAACTAAACACATTCTTCTGCACTGTCCAAATGTACTCATTGAACAGACACCACATCTCTTATGCCCTCTGTAACATACTAAAAGACGATCCAGATACCATAGACCAACTTTTTCAATATCTTAAGACTACTGATTTAATGAGCAGGATATAAATTAGCGTGGCCTTTGCTGTTTGTGTGGGCAGAGAGGTCTTGTTCCCTAGGGGTGGAGGCTGGGGGGTCGGGCGTGGCAGAGGGTCGTGCGCTTTGCATATGGGTGAAAAAGAATACCCTAGCTCTTGAAGGATGTGGATGTTCCATCCCAAAAAAAAAGGATGTTATTTTGATTTAATGACTGTTTACATGTTTTACATGCAGTTATCGCATCAACATTAACCCCTGGGACTGCAGTGCGTAACATTTCTTTGTTATAAGATAAATCTTTTTCAAAACTGTAATCTGTCACACACAACACACTGAACCATATGGGTTATCTATAAAAAAAAAAAAAAAACTTGTTAAAGTGTTTATGTGCATTTTTATATTTTTCAAAACCGTTGTATGGAGGTATAATTAAGCCATTTACATCACACAGAACTTGTAAATGGTACAATGCCTCTGGATGGTCCAACATCATCGACAGAAATGTTTGGCAATGTTTCTTAAATTGTGACAAGTATATTGACAAGAACAGTTGTAATTTTATTTTGTCTTTTTCTGTACTCACGAGTTTGACCTGCTAGGTTTTCACTTACAAAAGGATATTATTTGTTCAGTCTATTATAACTGATTTATATTTTATTTACTATTTATTTATAATATTTTTATTGATTTATAACTAAACAGATTTATAATATTATAACAATATAATTTATAACAAAAAGGTACCAAGTAACTCTGCTTGATTTTTATAACCGAGGCAGAAAAATTAAAATCAAAATTCAAGTGTATAAACCTTAAGGAGTGGTGCATTGATCCACAATCAATAATAATCAACAAGTGTGTATTAAATTAAAATCGAAATCCAAGTGTATAAAAAAATTTTGGTGACAGCATACAGGAATTCCCACCTCTCTCTTTTCGTCATAACCATGCTTGATGATGGGGGGAGTAGTGCTCCATTTTTTGTCACGCGGAATGATTTTATTCTACCAAGCATAAGGAAGGTTCACTTCAAAAATATATATATTTTTTTAAATTTTTTGTCCGTTTTTATTTTACTTACAAATTACAATATCATACTTATTTATAATACAAATGTTCACACTTTTAAAAAATATATGCTAATGTTTAAAAATTTCAAAGCAATTATAATTAAACAATACACAATTTGATCTACCGCGCAATTTAACTCTAAGTAAATACAGTTATCACAACTTTTTGTTTCCAAATTACTCGTTTTGAGAGCACTTTTACATCACTTTTTTTCTCTTTTTTTATATAATATTTTTACCTGTGGTCCACTGAATGTAATAATCAGTTAAGAAACGTACATACCAAGGAAGGCATTGCAATTAGGGCAAAAATGGCGGGTCTTCACTGGACTCCATACACAGAGTGGAATGCATGAGCACAATATACCAATACTGCAACAACAAATTCAATTCTGAGAAATCATTAAAATTTTAATAATACTAATACATATAAACATTCTAATGACAATAATAACTACAAAATAGTTTTATCTCTTTAGAATCGTAGGGATCCCTTTTGTACTTTCTTTTACTGTAAGTGATCTCGTTAACAGCTTTCCTGGACGATTTTTGTTCTTTTATTAATTATTTTATTTATTGCTATCTGTACAAAACAAATATACATTGAGCAAATAGTATAATTATATACAAATTTGACAGATATGGAGACAGTGGGTAGGGAAACTAGCCAGTGCTAGAACTCTTTTATTTTTAGTTGGGAGGGTTAAGATAGTCGACGAAGCCATCGTTGTTTTAGACGGCGTGGAAGGATAGTTTATAGTAGAAATTGAGGATGCACGTTCAGATCAGTTCTTGCACAATAAGATTTGTAGATTTGATCAATTCATTATGTAGAATGGAGCGTTGAGGATACGGCAGAGAACTTTGGATTAAAAGGATTGGATTCGTTAATGTTAGAGGATTTGGCCAAGCAACACGATTCGACTCCATAAGTCTAAATAGGTCTAATGAGTGTTTTGTCAGCAGTTAGTTTGTTATGGCTTAGAGTTGATTTTGGTCCCAGTAGGTGTCTGAGTAAACCGTATCTTCTGTTGTTCTTGTATTTTTTATCTTCCGGGGGTTCCGTGTAAGTCTGCTATCTAAGTAGATAGATAGATATACTTTATTTACAAAATGAAAGAAATTTAGAGTTAAAAATAAAAAACACAGTATTATTATCGCATGGTATTAAGACCGTCAAGCCAGAGTTCGAGTGCAGTACTATTCCAAGAATATACATAATTATGTAATTATAAGAAAAGGAGAATTTATAATATCAACTTCAGAGGTTACAATTATTTACAGGACTTTCAAATTACTAGATTGAAATGCGATAAACTTTGAAAATAATAAAAATGACACTTCAAAGAACCAAAGCAAGGATTCCAACTCACAAAGGGTCCCCCACTGGCAAACAGAATTCGCATTTAGAAGCCCACAAAGTAGAAATTATATGTATTACCTGCGAGAGCAAAAAAGGAAACAAAAGACGAACAGAATATTAATTCCCTACATTCCAATATATTCATGTCTGTAAAACCAGACTTTCCAAGCAAAATTAACAAGACCCCGGCAGAAGGGCTATAAGCTCTTCCCTCATCAGAAAACCCTTACCCACATACAGATACCTCAATTTGTTAAGGACCGAGCATCTAGCAAGAAAATAAAATGCATCGTCACGATCACCTGAGTTGCAAAGAGAGCACACTGCAGTGGCAGGAGTACCCCCAACCCAAGGCCTGAAATTCAGGAACAACTCCCCTTGAATTTTAAACCACCAGAGAACGAAAGAAAAAGAGAACAGAGCATCATTTGCTGGAGCAGAAAAAACATTGCAAGGAGTTAGGGAATGATTCAATTCCTTGTAGAATTGGAATCTATTTGAATCCACGGAACGAAAAATACAACTCTCCCGATGATGAGCCCCCATAATATGAAGAAAATTGGAAAAAATTTCAGACCATGCTGCAGAATTATACAAAGAGAACCGAGCCACATTATATCTCTCCGCAAGAGAATTCTAGGATTTGAACCAGGATATTTTACTCTTAATAACTTCAAGTGATGTGATTTTTGCCAGGCGAGAGTCAGGAGCTTGAAGCGATTTCAAAATAAAATTAAAATGTAAGCTTAAAGAATAAACAAACAACAGTTTTATGCCATTCTCAATATACAACATATAATTAGGAGTTGATGATGACAAGGCAAACAACTTGCAAACAAAAAAACGGTGAACTTTTTCTATCTCTTCATATTCGTGACAGCCCCAAACTTGACCTGCATAGCAAAGAATAGCACAAACGGCTGTGAAAATTTGATATTTACTTTTTATTGATACAGTCATTAGTTTGTTATGGCTTAGTTGATTTTGGTCCCAGTAAGTGTCTGAGTAAACCATATCTTTTGTTGTTCTTGTATTTTTTTAACTTGGGTTCCATGTAAGTCTGCTATCTAAGTAAATCCCCAGGTAACTGACTCAGTTGGATGGAGTACCTTGTTATTTATGTGCACTCATATACGGGTGTGACTTTTGAGCGTACAAGTTGGCTTTTTTTTGCTCATTCAACCTGATCTGCCACCAAGTGCAAAATGAGTCTGGGTTGTTTGTTTTGAGTTGTGTTTGGATTTGTAGGTATGCTGGCAGTGTAGAAAATAGTGTAGAAGACTGGACCTAGAATCCTTATGGAATGCCAGCTTTGATCAGCGAGATGGGTGGAAAATTGGTGCTGATTCTCACTTTAAACCAGTGGTTCCCAAACTTTTTTGACCCATAGACCCCTTTTTATAGTAAAAAATTGCCCACGGACCCCCAAGAGAAAAAGTCACATGAATGCATAATATAAAAATTAAAAAAAAAAAGTTTTGTTGAAGAAGTATTTTTAAAATTAGAAATTATAATATTAATTACTTTTGTTAAAAAAAAAAAAAATTAATGACGGATGTTAAGATGGAGTGATGAGATGTTATGAGTGTATAATTTCTAATCGGTTTCTTTCTTTTGTGATGAGGCTCATAACGGCACTGAATCCACGTTCTACCAAATAGGAAGACGGGAAAGCAGTCAACAGCTTCTGTACAATAACCCATAATGCAGGATATAAAATTGGGATCTGTTTTTGTAACCAGAATTTGTGGTATCCTTGTTCAAACATTGGTTTAAGTTCCTCATCTGTGGATATTTCAATAAGTTCCTCCTGTATTAGTATGGATTCATCTGTGTATGGGATCTGAGTTTGTCCACGCGCAAAAGGGTTCAACACCCAGACGGGAATATCCAAGTGAAGAATATCTTCAAATCTTTGGTTCAGGTCTGCATGAAGAGCCCTTAAGTGTTGACATAAGCAAGCAAATCTTCATCTCTTAATTTGCAATTTCAAAAGATTTGGAAACAGAGCATTCTCCTCTTCCCAAGTTTTGTTTGTAAAGAAAAAGTTTTGCAACAAACACAGATATTACGCTTTTAGTTTTGATTAAATTTAATTGGTCACCTTGTAGTTTCAAATTAGTTTTGTTTAAATTTGGCAAATAAATAAGACATATAAGCTATGTCATTTTTGAGTTAATTAAATTGTGTCGCAAACCATTGTCTTTGGTTTCCAGGAATTCCAACCCTGAATCAAAGAGCGCATAAAATCAATTTAAACATGCACTTTTAGATAGCCAACGTACTTCTGTTTTACATTATATTATTATTTATATTACATTATTTTATATTAAACCTTGCACAGACCCCCTGACGTTGTTCAGAGACCCCCAAATCAATTTTAAATTTCCACGGACCCCCTGAATGATACCGGGGACCCCTGGGAGTCCGTAGGGACCACTTTGGGAACCACTGCTTTAAACCATTGATCTGAAAGGAATGAGATAATAGGAAGGACATCTTTTAACTTTTAAAGGAGGCAAAGATACATTTTTTATTCTATTTTATTAATTTTTTTATAAAATACATAATTCTTCTCAGGAGGGTGGTTTGTTGGTCTTCATTACTCAGGATTGATATTTCCTAGCTATTGCAGTGCGGTTGCATAAGATAAGCTTTATTGTCTCTTTCTACTTTAGGCATAATCAACATAGGTCATCTGTTAAGTTCCTTTTTTTAATTCTTTTTTTTAGTAGTATTTTACTAGTGCAAGTTCAAGTATTTTTTGTTTTTTTGTGAGTAATCATTTATCTTGTCTCATAATTTAACTTGTGTCTCTTGTAACCTGGTTAATTGGTTTTAACTAGATGTGACTTTTTTGAAAAAGAACAAGTTTTTTTAATATATAATGGCCTCACGATCGATGTTTATTAGCCAAGGAGAGATTATCTTGAGTATTCATATAAGATATTGTGAAAAAAAGGCCAGAGGCGACGGTGGGAATTGAACCCACGACCACGGGGTCTATGAGCTGAGAGTCTCTCAAGCTAACCACTCGGCTACTGCAGCCCCCAAAAATCCTGCTATCTGAGATTCCAACTCTTTATTGTTAAACTAGGAGCCCAAGTTTTTTAAAAGGATATTTAGGCAATTCCAGGCTAGTTTTGAGTTTATCTTGTAGGACTGAAAAGCCTTGCTATCAGATAATATTTTTTACAGTGTACCCTTGAGATTGTTATTTTTTGTGCACGTTTCTATGGATAGTTTTGGTGGATCCCAGTAGCAAGTGGTGCTCTTATGGCTTATTTCCGTTTCATTTTCCATCTTTGGGCCATCTGGGTCATTGGATCGTATATGACTTTAAATAATGTAAATACATCAATTATACACATTCAAACAATTTAAAGCCATAACAACATGTAAATAAATACGAATTCGGTTCGGTTCAAACCTAATTAGGAACTACTATCAACAAATATTATTTTTACTTTTTATCTCACTAGATAAAAAAACTGTTTGTTTTCAAATATGTATTTATCATTACAATTCATTGACTGTCAATAAATATTCGTCAATCAACACCTTTTCTATTATCACAGCCTTAATAATATTATACTCACCCTGATAAAAGCAAACACAAGCAGCATAAATATTTCCCCACGTTGTTTTCCTTTGTTGTCCTTGACTTAATGCGTTTTTCACAACTAGGACAAGTTGTATGGATTGGTTTTGGCCCAACCATTACAGGGGCTGTTCCTAAAAATTAAAATGACCAATAATAATGTTGACTGGATATTGACATAGATAATATATTCGACTTACTGATGATAGCTACATTGTTGCTTTGAGGTGGATTCACAGGTGGAACTAAAACCAAAACCAAAATATACATTTCCAATTTTTCAATCAACTGATGTTAGGATAATCATCGGAAAATAATATCAAAGAGTTAGTGCATTAAAAATTTCATAATCCAATATATATTTATATAAATATTTTACATACAATAATAAAACCACTAACGAGTTTTGACATTTGTCCTTGTGTGTATAATTTTATTGTGTTTCTTTCAGTTGGATTGTATTTTCGAGATCATTTGATGAATGCTGAAATTCTTTCAAAGTGGAGAAACATTTCTTCAATACCTAGGAAGAAGTTTGACCCAACCAGGGGAAAATAGGTATGAAAGTTATGAACAAACTTGCAAAAGAGAGTAGGTGTAATATTTAAATCCGACGAACTGCTTAACGTGCTGAAATTGGATCAGAAATAGATAAAAAGAGAATCTCACAGTGGATTAAAATGCCAGGAAGAAATAGAAAACATATTTCAAACAGATGAAAGTGTATCACTCACTCAGCAAGAAAAAATCTAGAGAAATAATAAGCCAACTTCCTGAAAAAAAAGTACGTAATGCAGAAAAAGATGCCTGTGCAAGAAATCTGTCGAAAGAAGCAAGAAATCTGAACATGTCCTATTTGTTGTGAAAGAGCCCAGAGATATTGTACTGTCACTTTGAAAAAGCAATAACATTGTTTAAAGATTTATTAGGTTTCGTGGTCCGCTTGACCAAATAAAATCTTTTCAATTAATTAAGGTTTTAGTTGAGATAAAAAAGTCCGCGTAACGAGCGGGATTCGAGCCCACAACCTTTGACCAAATACGCCGCTGCTCTACCAAAGACACATACATTGAAAAATGGCAAAAAGGAGGGGTTGAAATGGGAAGTTAGTGTCTGAGTGGATCGAAGCAACGATAGCTCAAGTGGTGGAGCAGCGGTGTATTTAGCCAAAGGTCATGGATTCGAATCCTGCTCGTGGCGCTGACTTTTTTCTTTTCTAATTAACTGAAAAGAAATTGTTTAAAGAAGTGATGGAAGCAGTAAAATGGTCAAATTGTTAAATCAGTTACATCTAGAGTCCACAAACATTTAGGTCCATTATTATTTTTATTCTTTACAAATGACTTTATATATTTTCTTTCTGCTACACCATTTCTATTATATGCTGTCTTTTCTTGCAGCAATCTATTGATAATCTTAGTCAAATCTGCTATTTAAATTTAAATGTAGCTAAATGTTCAATAATTTCCTTTAATCGTTCTTCCAACACTATTCTGTATAATTATTCTCTCAACAATACCATATTAAACAGAGTATCCTATGTCAAAGACTTAGGTGTCTTGTGATAGCAAAATTTAAGGAGCATATAACTATAGTGTTACAACTAACAGCATAGTGTTAATAAAAAAAACTATTAAAATTCTGGGTTTTGTTATAAGAAACTATCGTAACTTTCATAATCCCAATTCATTATTGACATTGTACAAAACTCTCATTCGTCCTATCCTTGAATTTTCCACTGTTGTATGGAACCCACACTTTTCTTCTCATTCCAAATTTTTAGATAAAGTTCAAAATAAATTTATTAGAATCCTTCATTTTAGATTTCCTCTGTTTTCATCCTCAGAACTATCTTTTTCTGTTTATAATCTTCCAGGACTAGCTGACAGAAGACTTTTTTTCTATTACTTCCTTACAATATAATCAATTGCCGACTAAACTGTGCTGACTTCATTTCATGTATCACTTTCATGTCCCAATACCTGCAACCAGGCATTAATCTGATCTTTTTTGAAAAGTTGGACCTTTCAAGGCTCATCCTCATTAAAGCAACCATGTCTCTCTATATGAATTTTAAGCTTGAAATCTGGATCGTTGAAAACAACAAACTGTGTGTAATATCCAACTTTTCAAAAAACAACATATTCATCCCACCTTTTTTCATTTCTGCCATTCTTCTATGTTTAATGTACCCTTTTGTAAAATAAATTACATATTTTATTCACCAATAAATATTATAAAGAGAGAAGGAAATAAGATATAACCAAGCATTGTTTTTAATCTAAATTTTAAACATAAATTCCTTGGATTCTACCTGAACAAACGCCACAAGCAGCTCAAAAGAAATGACTGTAAATTACGATTTACCGTGCTAAAACGACTACTTGGCTGATGATCTCAACTTGCAGTGACAAATAAAAGATTATACATCGCCCTGCTGGCCCTATTCAGGCATACAGACACAAACTCTACGAGCCTGCAGAGTTCTAACCACAATCGAATCAAATCCCCTCAATCCCAAATCCTCAGAACAATTGTCGACGCTCCCTTCTATCTTTCCAACCACATGATCCATACCGACCTAAATGTTCCACTTGTCTCTCACCTAGCCCAATACCACTACAAGTTCCATTCTAAACTACCTTATCGTCCTAATCCCCTTGTTAAAAACCTGTCATCCACCACCTTACCAAATAATCCCCGCAGGAGACTGAAGCATGTCCCCGTGATAACCTTTCTTTGCCTTCATAAGATGAACTCATTTTTCTGACAGACTAACGACTTTCATCTATGGATGCTTGCTGCTCATGTGTATAAATATAGTTGTATTATATAAAATATAATTCTTCTATTATATAAAATATATAAATATAATTTATTGCTTATTATTATAATTAATGTTTTCTGCTGTTTTGTTCTTGTTATTTTATAAATTTCGTTTATCTACTACTTAAATTCTACAAAGTGCCCTTTCTCTCTCCTGCGTTAAAGTTGGCGCATTTTGCTAATGTTCTTGTGGCTTTGGCGGCTGGTGACTCAGATTTAGCCTTACTACAGTCCTTCGTTCAACAAATAAGTGACTGGTGTGAAAAGTGGAAGGTGAAGCTTAACTCGAAAAAATCGCAACTGATATGTTTCACTTACAAAAGAAGCGTTCAAACGTCATCGATAAATCTCCAAGGGGAAGCCATCCAACAGCAAACCTCAGTCAAATACCTCGGGTTACACCTTGACTGATTTAAAAAGTGAATTTATACAATGCAAAAAATATTTTTTTATATTCAATCAAAGTATGTCTACTGACTGAATGGCACAATTTCACAGAAAACAAACACTGAGTGAGTGATACTTTGATATACTTTGAATATCAAAAATATTTTTTGCACTGTATAAATTCACTTTTTTCCACACCCTACATGTATTTGTTAAATTTAAACAATGTAAGTCCCAGGCCCTGAAGAGATCTCAATAAAGATCGAAACGTTGGCACAATAAAGAAAACGTTTTTCTAAAACCCATATCACACCACACCACATCTCATGATCTCCGAATAATTATAATTATTATTTATTCCAGTTAATTATTCTTTTCATCTAAGGTTTTTGGTCGAGATGAAAAATTAGTATCACGAGTGGGATTCAACGACCTTCGGTTCAATACACGCTGCTCTACCAGTTGAGCTATCGTGACTTCGATCCCCTCGGACACCAACTTCCCTTCTCAGACAAAAACCTTAGATGAAAAGAATAATCAATTGGATTAATATGGTCAATTACGTCCACTAAACAAATACGGATTAATTTAATAATTTTATTTGTAAGTTAATATGTAGGACAGATTAATTAGCGAGGGCAGCTGGAATCATAAATGCAACAGCATAGGTCACTCGAAAATCTCACAACTATTGAGTAAGGTTAACGGTCAATTATTAAACGTTAGTGATAAAAAGATTAAAACCTCTTCGGGGGGAAAAGCACTTTCAGGTAGTCACCCCTTGTGATTATAATTATAGTCTGGATGATGACCATCATAACATACACTGCTACACAGATGGATCACTTATCAAAGGAAGAGGGAGTGGTGCAGGAATCTACATACCAAAATTAGGAATCAGCATCTCCTCCCCTCTTGGCAATAACACCTCCGTTTTTCAGGCAGAAATCAGGGCCGTCAATATGTGTTGTAGAACACTTATGGAAAATAAAATTAAGGGAAAAGATATTAAAATCTTTTCTGACAGTCAGGCTGGTCTTAGGGCATTACAAAAACATTTGTCAACCTCACAACTGGTGGAGGAAACTATAGATCTTATCAATAGGATCTCTTTCAGGTTTGAGAATAAGGTGACCCTTATTTGGATACCAGCACATAAAGGACACCATGGCAATGAAAAGGCGGATGGCCTAGCCAAAGAAGGTTCTAATACTGCGTGTCGGACCACAACCGGTATTACCTCACTCTATGAGCACAGCGAAAGAGAGTATTAAAAACTAGGGTATGGAACAATTCCTTAAGGAATGGAATCTATCCCCTGGACACAGGCAATCGAAAGAGTTTGTTAAGGCGATCAAACCAGCAGAATCGAAATGGCTATTCTCTATCTCAAGGAAGGGAATTAGGAGGCTGGTAGGTATTCTGACGGGCCACTGCCCACTGAGAAGACATCTCTTCGTAATGGGTATCCTACCAGATCCCTTTTGCCGCTTCTGCGAAATAAAGAAGAAACGGCAAGGCACTACCTCGCAGAGCGTGATAGCTATGCTAGGTCTAGATTTGAAATCTTTGAAGGAGAGGACATCACCAAATCACTCTCTGAGATAAAATGGTCCAAATTCTTGGGGTTTGTGAACAAGTCCAAGAGGTTTATGCAGGACACGTGAGCTGACCAAGTCCCGGACCTTTTAGGGATGGGGTACGAGGTCTACCCAGGCACTTAACCCCTCGGGTCTTGGTTGCCCACCCTGCAAAATATATATGTGTGTGGGTAAAAAAGGTGGGTCTGTCACCGGACATAATCTCACACGTGCCTTAACATAAGCATCCTACTTATTGCCAATTCAGCAAAACTAGATTGTAATTTTGTTAAAATAAAGTATATACTATAATTTAAAAAATTCAATTGTTTATAGTATCGTATATTCTTTGTAAAAGGATCTTTCACCCATATGTATATATAAATAAATAGTAAAATGAGCAAATTTTTAATGGTGGAACTTTTAATTACAAATATTGGGTTGTTATGAAGGACAGTCCGTAAAATATCACTAGTATTAATATAATTTGTCGTAATTAAAGAAATCAAAGAAGTTTTGGAGTGTTTTCGTTTTATTTTTTAACAATTAATCATTTCTTTCCAGTTCGGAAATACAGTCGATATCAATTTTGTCTCGTTTTATTCAACACCACACTCGTCATAGAAAGACTTCTATTTTTATTTTAATTACACTGATTAAAAAAACTGAAAAAGAAAGAAATCATCAATCAATTTACCACTTGAGATCGCCTCTTCATAACAGGGTGGAGCACTTGGTTGTACAAAGGCATTTTGTGGGTAGCACGGTTCGCTATAATCTGGCAATTTCTTAGACATCTTTTAAGGTGAATCGACCAATCTTAAAAAACTTTATAACTATGTACAACCCAAGTTGACGCCAGTATGCAATTGTAATTCAGCAACAGCAGCAGCAACAGCAGAAGGTAGCTGAGCTATCAGCTATGACTAAAGCGGATTCCAAGTTACCAACATCCGTCAGGACAGTTACTGCAATGCCATCTGCGTCACTACAGTTATGAAACTATTCCGGTGAATTGGAAATATGAAGTGAAAATCACAAAAAACAAAAAACTCAGATAAATCAACGGTTTTTAGATTATACAAATTCAATCTGGGTTGTTTTATTTATTATTAAATGTCCTTCAACCATTATGGATCATTTATTTATTTACGGATCGAAATCCACTATAAAAAGACATTTTACAATAACAAAAAACACAAATAATATATACAAAAAGAATAAGGACATATATACACGGTGATGTTATAAATGATAAATATAAAAATACAATTAAAGAGTAAAAATTGAACAACAAAAATGAAAGACATAATTACTAACCTAAAAACTAAATTAAGGCAAAGGAAACAAAATAAAGCTGAAAGACTATTGAAATTACAATATTTAGTTACATATTTAATGGAAATAATGCTCATTATAGATGTATAATAAGACTAGAGTGCAAGATTTAGGTGAACCAATAAATGAAATAAATTATGATAAACTTTTAACAGCATGAAATATAAAAGCATATAAAAAAAATATAAACTGGTAAGAAAATTCAACTAAAGTAGGGTTGTAGGATATGGTTTTTCACAGATTGCACAGAACTATTGAAGAAGTTACTCATTGCATCATTGCAGATGTTACTCTTGATCATCATTCGGTGTAGAGGAGAAGAGAGTTTTGAATTCAATATAAAATAGTTTGTGGGTTTTAAGAGAGTGTAAAGGGACATATAGCTGTAGCTGAGAGAGGAGAGAAGGACTATCAATGAGATTGTTCAATAATTTAAATACAAAAACAATATAAAATTAATCCCTTCTTAGTGCCAGTTCAAAAGGTTTAAATTCAGAGCGGATTCCAAGGTAGGCGGAGTTCGGAGGAAGATTGAGTTTGTAAGAAAGTTTTTGTAAAAATTTGTTTTGTACAGTTTGAAGTTTTTTTTGATAATTTAGATAGTATGGGTTCCAAATAGGTGTAGCGTATTCTAGTATGGGTTGTACAAAAGCTTTATAAAGATGGACAAAACAGAGGATTTTTAAATTCATAGGTGTTCCGGATGATGAAACCTAGCATCTTCATAGATCTATTTTTTATTGAAGAAATATGTTCTTTAAACTTGAGCTTTTGATCAAAAAGTATACTAAGATCCTTTACGACCTCAACTCGCGTTAAAAGAGAATCATGGAGTCATTTAGTGCAAAATGACCCATAGTGGTTGAAGACTATTTAATAATTAAAACAACCCAGGTTGAATTTGAATCATCTCAAAACGGTTGATTTATCGATTTATCTGTTGTTTTTTTTTAGTGATTTTCACTTTATGGTATTTTCTGAGTTTTTTTTATCTCTAATTAAAAAACAATAAAAAAAAATAAAAAAATTGCCAAACTTATTTTGACCGAATTTTCCTTTGCATTTTCAATTACATTATCAAATAACAATTGGAGTTATACAAATTGAATTACACTATTACATTAAGATGCTATATATTATACATACACTTGTATAGTCAAGTGTTATTATTTTGAAGTTTTCTCTCTTTGTGTAACACAGTTGTTTGTTCTAACTTTGGTTTGTTACCGTTGGATTTGTCATTAGCTGAGAAAAACAGCTATTCGGATTTTCAACCTGAAGGGTGCTGACCTTAGTTTCTGTATATCAGGAAGTTGGCCCACCCAGTTATGTGGATGTTGCTAGTATTCCCCTTAAGCCAAACGCCCAGGAGATCCGCTTCCCTACCAACGCGGTTAAGCTTCGACGGGGGCTATCGACAGCTAGGTCATTTCAGCCCTAAATGCATCTAAACCATAATCTGGCCTAATACTACCTAAATCGGATAAATCAGTTGCACAAATAAATACATTCAGGCATTGCACTCATTCTGATTAGTCGGGCTCTCCAGAGTACTGGCTATTCCTCCAGTATGAGTCATACAGACCTATACACAGTGAGCGGTTTCCCTTTTTCCCTGAGCGCAGCTCACGGCTCGTTCGAACACCATCTCTCGCTAGGGTGCTCCGAGAGGGTAGCAAGCTACTCCACTCTAGGCCCGTCAAGCCTTTTAGGGGTAAGATTTGTCAGGTTGCCTGGCTTGACGGGTAAACACCCTTTACTTACTTACTACTAACTCTGGACAAGGAGGTTTGGGGAAAAGATACACCAATTCAGACAAAACACCAGGCCCCTTTATTTGATATGACTGTACAATTCCCAATATGTATAATCAACGAGTAAATAACCCCCTAACCCTTTTTATAAATCGCAACCCTTATTTTCTATTAAACAATTCATATACAAAACTTATTACTGGAAGACTAATTCTAAATAGAACTAATGCTCTTACTCTCTATAACGAAACCTTAATACTAGGGGCTTAATTATTGGGATTGTAGTACTAAAAGTAGCCCGAAATCGCCCAACAGTTCTCCAAATCTCCCGCAATCCAATTGACAAAAATTTACTCACAGGACTGGAATACGTGCATCTGTTTCGTCGGTTCGGTGGTACGGATCCTGCGAACTATGCTGACTAATCTGCCGCACCAGTTCCCCTTTTGACTCCGTTTGACATACCCACTCGTCGTCTCCACGGGACACTCCGACTGACTCAACTGCGGCCTCTCTTCGGACTCCACCCGGATTCTCTTCTCGGACTCTCCCCAGATTCTCTGATTGTCCTTTTTATATCAATCCATTCAGGGAGGAGTGGGGAACAGTTGGATTTCGAAAATACTGCTATGCTTCCGGGTGACCCGACTGCCCTTTGTCCTCTCCAGGTCATTGAGCGATTTTGGATGAGTTCGGGCATCAGCTAATCCTAAGGGTTGAGCAATAAGGCCACTCGTCAGTCAACAGCCAATTTTTCTAGGGTGATTGCCCCGGGATCAACCCACATTTTTCAATTGAAAACGTCCAGCTGTCATTATTTCGCCAGCTTTTTTCTTTTTTTAGCTGTGTCTGGAGTACTCAAGAAGGACCGGGTCGGCTCCCGCGATTCCAGGCCACCTCCGGTTACTCACCCCGGCACAATACGCTTTCCCAACAATTAGCTAACCTGTTTCTACGTCTAATTTTTAATATTTTTAACAAACTTAAATTTTTACAACCCTGTTTAAGATTCCCTTCTGGGGATCTTCACACACAATATTGATAATCTAACCTAAATTAGGGTCGATGAGTACTTCCTCCTTCCACCGTGAAAAATACTATGAGAATTTTTTAAATAAATCATTTAGTTGGTTAGCCTCTGACAAATAATATAACAAAATATAAACAATAATAATATAAATATAAAATATACTGTAGTGAATTTTACTGTCAGGAGCTGTGGAGCAAGGTTGAGTTCGGGATGCAAAATTTTCTTTTAGTCAGAACAAAAGAATTTTATTTACACTAATGGTTTCACTTTTTTTACATCCGTTTATAAATAAATGGGGTTATTTTCGGAGATAGGAGGGCGAGTGAAGAAAAAGAGGCCTGCCTACCTATCCTGAGGTGGTCCCCGGTGTCCTTGGGTGGTCCTGTCTGGGAAATGTCCTCCTTTTTCCTTTCTCTCCCTTTCCGCAATCAGCCTTTTTGTCCTCCACCGTCCAGCAATCTCCAGGTTAGGAACCGATCCCCTCTCTCCTCCTTTTTTGAATATATCCTCTTTCCCCCAATCCCAGTGGATGTGGACTCTCTCCATGGGCCGAACCGACCTGGGGGGGGATAGGCGAGAGATGGGTGGTGAGGCCCTGGATAGGGCTTCTGTGGTGTCTAGCAGATAGCGTTCAATTGTGTTCAGAGCACTGCCGATAGGTGGCCCTTGGAGGATCTGACATTAGAAGAAGGGTCATCTTCACACAATTAAGAATAGGCCAGGTGAGGACAATTCAGGGACACTTACTTTTAAGCCAAAGCCCGCATATGTGTCCCCCGGTTGCTCGCTTTGTCCCACATAATTAAAGGGTGCAATTCATCGGCTCCATATGAAGCATGTTAAGAATGCCACCCGATATTGACTTGAATTGAATTGAAACACTTTATTTATAATACTCGCAGATTTAGGTCATATTGACCTTTCTTACAATAACGATATGAGAGAGACACGGTGAGTATCTGGGTCCTCTGTTTCGATTTTTGGAAGAAACAGGTTTGTTTTACAGTATGTATTACTAATAGTTTAGTGTACTTAGTGGGTGTTGAAAGTGAATGTATTTATTAGCATGAATTGTAGTGTAAAGCTGATGGCAGAATATTTAGCATCCCATTGACCTTCGATTAGGTTAGTTATATAAGTGTAAATGGTGATGGAGGAATATTAAGTACTCCACCACCCTAACTGAGTGAATGGTATGTAAGTAAGAAAGAATGTATTTAACAATGAGTAAAGTGTATGGATTTAGGATGGCTGTATGGATAAGACTGAGGTCTACCTTCAGACTGCCATCATGAATGGGTGATTCTCGTAGCCTGCCAGTAATACATTGTAAATTACGGAACTGGAATTGCCGGTGGACTGCGAGAAGTGATAGGCTCAACTCAATATAAGCACATATATGTGCAGATTTGAGCTTATATAACCCTATCAACCAATCAATTCATTTAGAGGATGCTGATTAAAATTATTACTTTAAGTTCTTGATTTAGTTTCATCTCAGTTTAAGACTGATTATATGATCCCGGAAACATTCTTCACAACTACCTACAAAGTCTCAATGGACTATAAAGGAGAGCATCAGATACAATGATATGGTACTCAAATGGCTCCAAAACAAACGAAGGAACCGGATCAGGCGTTTTCTGTACAAGCCCAAAACATGAGCAGTCAAACTCATTATGGCAATACACTTCGGTCTTTCAAGCGGGAATACATGCCATCAATGCTTGTGCCCGGGAAAATCTTAAAAGAGGTTACACTGGCAAAAAAAAATATCCTCATAAGATCTGATAGCCAAGCAGCCATTAAAGCATTAGCATGTAAAAGAATCACATCGAAATTAGTCAGTGAATGCATCCAAAATCTCCAAAACTTGGGGAAACACAGCAACCTGATGATATCTTGGGTGCCAGGGCACAGAGGAATTTTAGGTAATGAAAAAGCAGACACACTGGCCAGAGGAGGATATGCAAGACCATATATAGGCCCCGAACCTATACTTGGGATAACAAAAACAAATATAGAATTCTCCATCGCAGAATGGATCCAAACAAAACAAAAGGAGAAGTGGATAAATTCTAGCGGTGCTAGACATAGTACACTTATGATGAATCAACCCTCACCAAGACTGGCAAAAGCACTGCTGCAATTGGAGAGGGCCAAGCTCAGAGGCGTGGTAGGACTGCTAACCGGTCACTGGCATCTGAGAAAACATCTACACAACATGGGTATATGCAACGATGATCCCCTTTGCAGATTATGTAACGAGGAGGAGGAAACAACCACTCATATCATCGTCGAATGCGAAGCAACAACTCAATGGGGATTTAACCTAGCGTATGGAAAAACTTAGGGAAACAATTTGCAGCAGCGACAATCAGTGACCTGATACTTCTAAGGAGAAGGATTGAGTCTATTGCAGTTATTATACCAATTAATAACTAAGGAACTAAGAAGGTACAATAAACCAGAAGGCTGCAGTGCCTGGGGAGTGCAAACCCCGCTACCTAGTATCCTTTTTCACCATACCATACCATTCATCTCAGTTTTGTTTTCTTTAGTTGTTTGTTCTTACACAGTTTCTTCCATACACTTTTTTAACATATTTTTTAAACTTTACTATTTAACTATCACTACTATCAGGACAGGCATCATCGCAATCTCTCTTGAGCAGAAGGAATGCTGCTCGGGTGCTTTCTTTAACATTGGCAAGCTTTACTTGAAAATAGTACCCGGGCTTCCGCTGGAAACTCATGAGCACCTTTCCAATCATTTATTCAAGTTTCAAGTATGAATCAGAACATCCTCTTCCCACCATTTTTGTGTTGCACAAGACAGCATTCTTGGTCCCATTATCTATTCAGTATACACTGTAGACATTCCCGACAGAATTCGTCACATGCAGACGATACCGTTATCCTTCCAGCAAAATTAGAACTAGTTATTCAGATATCGTGAGATGCGGTCGGGAGTGATGTAGGTTTCAGAAAAACATTTTCTTTATCGTGCCAACGTTTCGATCTTTTATTGAGATCATCTTCAGGGCTCAATAAAAGATCGAAACGTTGGCACGATAAAGAAAATGTTTTTCTGAAACCTACATCACTCCCGACCGCATCTCACGATATCTGAATAACTATAGATTAACGGTCACTAATCTCTACACATTAGAACTAGTGATCTTAAGAAACCTCCAGGACCATCTTTCCTGTTTGAAAGATTGGCTCCAGAAATTTTTTTATAATTAATTTTTTTTTAATTAATACATTTATTTATTAAAATGGTTAAATGAGACCATCTATTAATTTTACAAAGGCTAATTTAGTAATAAATACACTAGTCTACTCATAATTGTCACAGTTTTTCTTGTCAAGTCATTTTACAAAGTGCTGACTCTGTAGCAGGTCAACCTCTGTGTTTGGGTAGCTATGAAGACGTAGGTAGTGCTTACAAGCACATCATGTGATCTCAGTGTCGATGTGCAAATGTTCAGATCTGTGTATATCACTGTAGTGAACATACCAAAGAGCATCTACCATTTTGTAGAACTTCATTTTGGAGGCTCCAGAAATGGAGGATTAAAATCATAGTAACCAAATCCCTTAAGTAATCTTCACCCTTTGCTGTATTATCTCTTTTTCTCTGCTATTTGCGACTTATTTGGAACTCCACACTTGACACAGAACTGAACTGAACAGGCGATATAAACTACTCGAAACGACTACTTGACAGCAGGTCGAAACTCTCAATAGCAAACAAACGCCTCATCTACATATTACAATTAATCTGGACATATGGAATTGAACTGTGGTGTTCAACCAAGCATTCCAACCTACAAAGAATTTCATTCATTCATCATTTCATTCCAAACAGCCCTGTATCAAACCATCCACAATTCAGTTCAGAAACTGAACCGAGCTCAACTCTTGCTTTTTTTTCTCTTCAATTTCTCAAAAAGTTTCACTGTATAAATTGACCTGTCAACCTGATAGGCACTTTGAGTAAAATATTTTTTAAACTCCTGTAAACATTCTTCTCAATAATTCACTACTTTCGTGGTCCGCTTGACTAATTAATACATGACAATTAATTAAAGTTTTTAGTTGAGATGAAAAAAAGTTAATGGCACGAGAGGGATTCGAACCCACGACCTTCGGCTAGATACGCCGCTGCTCTACCACCTGAGCTATCGTGACCTCGATCCACTCGGACATCAACTCCCCATCTCAACCCCACCTTATGAGTTTTCCCTCCTTTTGCCATTTTTCAAATGTCGTGTAATCGGTTTGGATTCTCGACGACAATTGAAATGGCGACGGAGAGCTTTGGTAAAGTGTACTTCATTTTTAAATCATTAACTCACTATTTTCGTGGTCCGTTTGACCAATTAATACATGACAATTAATTAAGGTTTTTAGTTGATGAAAAAAATTTAATGGCACGAGAGGGTTTCGAACCCACGACCTTCGGCTAGATACGCCGCTGCTCTACCACCTGAGCTATCGTGACCTCAATCACGCCTTGAAAAATGGCAAAAGGAGGGAAAACTCATAAGGTGGGTTTGAGATGGGTAGTTGATGTCCGAGTGGATCGAGGTCATGATAGCTCAGGTGGTAGAGCAGCGGTGTATCTAGCCGAAGGTCGTGGGTTCGAATCCCTCTCGTGCCATTACCTTTTTTATCTCAACTGAAACGTTGTGGGGAAAAACAGGCTAAGTACACGATTTGTTTTTCCAAATGAAAATTTATCCATATTGCAAAAATATTTTCAATATTTAATTTTTGATTTGATGTGAAAGGTGTTTAAATTTAATAGCTGTATTTTTCATTAAATTTTTAAGAACAGCCTAGTGCTTCAAACATAATGGTAAATCGATTTTTTGCTCTCCTGTAAAATTTAGAAAAATGGAGATGTACTGTTTTTCCCCTGACCCCTTCAACTAAAAACCTTAATTAATTGTCATTCTTCTCAATATTAGACACCCATCAACTGATACCAATTTTTTTGTCTCATGGCTACTGCCCGCATCTCCTATATTGATGTCTTAAACCAATTTATAGAATATAAAATCAGAATAAATCTTGCATTTCTGGAATGAATGATGCAGGGAATAAGAAACCCACAGAAAAGTAAGAAAAAATCTTATTTTGGGTGGGAAAATTGAACATTCATCTTAGAAAAAATGGACCAGACTAACCTCTGGAACTGGTGGAGAAAGGAAGAAAAATAGATTAATGAAATAGATAGTTGTAATCTGGAGAATAATAGATGGAAGGCTCATGAATATGCAAAAATTTTTAATTTAGTACATACAACAGTCAGATTCAATATTGTGAAGTAAACAAATAATTATGAAATTGATTTTTCTACAAATATATTTTTTTAATTAGAATACAAGGGATTATGAAAAATATAAAACATTAAAATTAACATTACACTATCAAATATGAACTTATCTCAAATACAAAAATTGTTGATTAAACTTTAAAATTTTGATCTTATTGACAAATGCAAAAATTTATTGATGTCATACTTTATATAAACTTAATGTAGTTTTGTATTTTGAATACAGATAATGTGCTAAGCGACATACATACCAAGGAAGGCTTTGCAATTTGGGCAGAAATGACTGGTTTTCACTGGAGACCAAACACAAAGAGGGATGCATGCGCAAGGTAGGCAGACGCTAGAATAAGAAATCAGTTTTATGAGCATATTTATTTTGTGCTCTCTTCATATCTCATAAGATAAACGTCACAATCATGATAATAAATGCTGTTAAATGTGAAAAACAACCACTACACAAAAAACAAGTACAAATGAAACTGAAAGTTATTTAACTGCCATTTTCTTCTTCAGATAATTTTCGTAAATGTTTGTTTATTGGTTTGTTAAAATCAAACCACAATACGCAAACTATTCATGAAAACATGAAGTATTTCTGTATGTCAATTATTAATAGTTTTTTATTTTTTATTTTAATAACTAACATAATAGAAACTTACCCCGATAAAAACAAAAACAGGCAGCAAACATATTTTCCCACATTGTTTTTCTTTGAGATCCTTGACATAATAAATTTTTCACAACCTGGACAAGTTGTTTGGATTGGATTTGGACCAACCATTACCTGGGCTGTTCCTAAAAATTACAATACAAATAATAGTTTTTTTTTTTTTTTTTTTTTTTTGCTTTATGATCTTTGCATATTAGCCAAGACGAATACTTATATATGTTGTTCAAATTGGGGGTTATCGGGAAAAAAGGGCCAGAGGCGACGGTGGGAATCGAACCCACGACCGCGGCATGAGTCTCTCATGCTAACCACTTGGCTACCGCGGTCCCCGAGTGAGCGAATTGGTGAATGTTACGGACGAGTGTGTGCGTGAGTGAGTGCGTGTGAGTGGATGAATGTGTGATTTATGTGGAGCTCCATGTAAATAATAATGTTAATTGCATATTTAAGTAGATAATATATTCAACTTACTGACAACGGTGATATTGTTGCTTGGAATTGGATTCATAGTTACACCTACAAGTAAAAACAAAACATAAATTGACAATTTTTTGATGTTGTAAGTCACATTTACAATTGTTGTTTTGAAGTGGAAGCATATGTGGTAAAAAATAATAAATAATTAAGCATGACCTCCTATCATTTAGCAATAAATACAGTGTCAGCAAACATTAGGTTCGTTCCATCTCGCGTCCAATCAGAGACTCAAACTGACCGTCGGCTGTTCCATCATGCTTTCAGGCCAGGTTTGTGCCTGGTTTTTGAGTCAAAACATGCAAGGATTTGACTGTGGCTGGCAGTCAAAGACACGCGCAGATGTTTCCCGGCGCTTTTGCCCTTGTCAAATCACAAGTTCCTACTCATCCAGGGACCATTTTTATATGTGAAATAAAATATAAATAGGCATGTATATACGCATTTCTTTTTTGAACAAATACCCAAGTAAAAAAAATATATCTAGTGCTAAAAAAAATTATGTAAACTAAAAAAGCATTAAAAAATTATTTATATATATTATAATTATATACGTACAAGTTATGTGAAATTATCTGATTACAACGCTTAAATGCTTAGATGCAGGTTCATTCCTAGTATTGTAGTCAGCACCTTCTCCCTCCCAAGAGACCTACTTAGTTGATTCTGTATTTTTAATTCAGATTCCTCGCCTAGAGCTTGATTAGAGTAATCGTTAAATTAGGTTAAACTTATTCTTATAACTTCAAATAAAGTTTCAAATATAGAAAAAGTCTAATGAAGTACCTCGTGTCTCAGTCGTTAGTCCAGTTCGTTTCATATTTATAAACGATTAAGCCATCAAGGGGAACAGGATAATGAATTACTACCACAGGCTCTAGACTAATAAAATATTTCCGGTTAGGATAATAAAAATTAATATCGACAAATCCCAGACCGTTTTATTTATTAAAAGATGAACCACGCTGCATCGCTAAGTAACAATAGATAGAATGATACTGTACAATATACCGACCACGTGGGTTGTTGTTATAATTTTTTATTTGAAATAAAAATGATTACGATGGAAAAAAAACGTAGCCCTTTTCAAGTAATTCGTCTAGTTGTCTATTGAAAGCTGTTATTAATTACATTAAAAGAAAATACTTTAAAATACCTGCAGAAGGGCTTTCGACGTGAAACGGTTGTCTATTTTGCCAAATTTGAACGCCCGCGTCCTTGCTCTCGTTATAATTTGACATGGTGCAGAAATAGAAAATTTATGACAGATTTTATGGCCAAAATAAATCCTTTCCAATATCTCAAATAAGTGAAATTACGATGAGACGAGAACCTAGGCGAGATAATAGTGGATAGAACTGAGAAGTGAGAAGTGAGAACAGAGAGGAGACAAGATATCCCTCCACTTCCACCATTTTCAACAGCCAATTACAATCGCCAGAAAAAGTCATTATTAGCGCTTTATTTTATTTTATTTTTTATTTTTTCTGGCGATTGTAATTGGCTGCAATAATGACTTTAAATTAAAAGACAGTTTTTAACCATTTTATTTTAAACTAAAGTGAAAAATCAATATTTCTGATTTATGTAATTTTAACTTTATACATGTAAACTGAATGAAATCTGAAAATGGTTATTGTATACATCTAAGTTTATGTGCTGTGTGTTTCTTTTGTTGAATATCTTATTCAGTTTTTTAATATGTGCTTCTAGAAATATCCTTATGTCTAAAGTGACAGAAAGATGTAGATTAGATTAGATTATATAGGAGCTGGCCTCTTTACGACCTGTGCACCGCAACTAGTATTTTTCTTACGGGTCAAAAACCCATTTCTTTAAAAAGAGAGTAAACAAAAAGAATATACACAATACAATGCTTATAATTAAATCAATATTAATAAAAAAATAAAATACTCTACTATAATTCAATGAAAAAGTTTAGGGATGGTGCTCCACCATTGCTCTCTTCTCCTCTACACAGAATGATGATCAAGAGTAGCGACATCTGCAATAGCATTGACTTCTTCAATAGTTCTGTGCAATCTATGAAAAACCTTATCCTACAACCTTAGTTGAATGCTTTTATATTTTATACTATACAAAATTATTACAATTTATTTCATTTACTGGTTCAACTAATTCTTGCACTCTAGTCTTATTATATATTTACAAAGAGCATTATTTTCATNTTTATAAAGCTTTTGTACAACCCATACTAGAATATGCTACACCTGTTTGGAACCCATTCGATCTAAATTATCAAAAAATTCTTCAATCGTACAAAACAAATTTTTAAAAAAACTTTCCTACAAACTCAGTCTTCCTCCGAATTCTGCCTACCCTGGAATCCGCTCTGAATTTAAACTTTTCGATCTGGCACTAAGAAGGGATTACTTTGATATTGTTTTTGTATTTAAATTATTAAACAATCTCATTGATAGTCCTTATCTCCTCTCTCAACTACAGCTACATTTCCCTTCGTACTCTCTTAAAACCTATAAATTATTTTATATTGGATTCCAAAGCTCTAACTACATGTTCTCTTCTCTTCTACACAGAATGATGATCAAGAGTAAGAACATCTGCAATAGCATTGACTTCTTCAATGGTTCTGTGCAATCTATGAAAAACCTTATCCTACAACCTTAGTTGAATGCTTTTATATTTTATACTATACAAAATTATTACAATTTATTTCATTTACTGGTTCAACTAATTCTTGCACTCTAGTCTTATTATATATTTACAAAGATCATTATTTTCATTAAATATGTACCTAATTATTGTAGTTTCAATTGTCTTTCAGCTTTATTTTGTTTTCTCTGCCTTATTTGGTTAGTAATTATGTCTTTCATTTTTATTGTTCAGTTTTTACTCTTTAATTGTATTTTTATATTTATCATTTATATTTACCATTTATATTATTACCATGGATATACGTCCTTATTCTTTTTATATATATTATTTGTATTTTTACATATATTATTTATATTTTTTGTTATTGTAAAATGTCTTTTTTATAGTGGATTTCGATCTGTAAATCGGAAGGAGAAGTGATTATGGAATAGATTTTCAGATCATCAGCAAATAATAAAAATTGAGCAGAAGGGAGAGCAAGATGGCTATCATTAATAAATAAGAGAAACAAAACTGGTCCAAGATGAGACCCTTGCGGGACTCCCAAGGAAGCCGCAAAGGGACATGATTTAAATGATTTTATTTTGACTATTTGTTTTCTGTCGGAGAGAAAGCTGGATAACCAATTCAAGATAGTAGTATATCCCTATTGTCAAAACATAGTTCTCCCAATTGCTCGAAGTGGTTGAGCTAAGACCTAATTAATTTAATTTAAAAAAATGTACCATATACTTTATAAACAAATAGGTATAGTGATTATTTTTAAAAAATTTCTAGTCTTTAGACGTTTTATTTTACATGTGAAGATTTCTTTCACAAGTAAGAAATGCTAGATAAATTTTTCATATCCGTCCTGTTTCATCAACAGTAAAGATAAACGATAAAATTTACCCAAGGTTAAAATTCTGCTCAATTCAGCAGAATAAGATTGGAAAAAATGCTAGATATCAGTTATGCAACATCTAGCTGATTTTGTGATAGTCCTTTCTAAACTACTGAATTTTAGAAGGGATATGCTAGATTGTATGTATTTTCTATACTAAAAAATTAAAAAAACAAAACAAGACAAAATACAATTATTCTAATAAAAGAAGTTACATTGTTAATATTAATTAAGATTGTATGTATTAGGTGATAAATGCGGAAAAGCAAGTTTGTTCTTTTAATTTTCTTAATAAGCTGACATATTTCCTAGATCACAGTTTGGAAAAGATAGTTCTAATCACAGAAATACTTTGCACTTTAGTTTCTATGGGTAGAACTATCTTTTTCAAAAAATGAATTGATATATTCACCCCTCAAATCATTTCTATTCCCTAGATCTTCTCAGATTATGGAAAAATTAGAGTCTACTAAAATCTTGAATTCCATTTTTATGAAATAATTTTGACTAAATGATAAAATAACATAATAGCATTCAATGAATGGACAATATCTACATCCTCCTTCCTTACGAGATAAAGGGCAGGAAGAGGGGGTGAAACACCCTTGTAGATTCATTTGGAAATTAAAACTTTAACGCAATGAGGTGCATATACGGCCTCTTGATTTATCTTTTCAATTATAGTGTACTTTTTGTCCATGGTGGAAGTAAGTCTCAAAAATAATTTTTTAAATTTTTATTTCATATCGACGCTTATTTAATTGTAGGGGGAAGAAAGTTTTCGTGTAGCCGAAGAAATCCAGAGCATGGGAAAATCGAAGTGAAATATAGAGGGAGAATTGCAAAATTCGTTTGTGATCCTGGTTATGTACTTAGAGGTGATAAACTAGCGACTTGCCTCAAAGGCAGCTGGGACAGCTTCCCAAAATGTGAAAAAGGCAAGAACATCATAAACAGACAAAAAATTAATTTACAATTTTGTAATGCATGTTTGTTTAGTTGGAGGCTGCGCTTACCTCGAGACATTAGAAAATGGAAGAGTTTTGATAAGCAAGGACATGAGCATCATTAAATTTGAATGCGATCAGGGTTACAAGAGATCTGGAGGGAATGAGACGCTTGCTTGCAAGGATTTCAGTTGGGAAAGGCACAAACCCACTTGTGAACGTAAAGATTTCCACACTACTCATTATTCGACTAACTATATCTTCACTATTACTTTCTAATTAGCTGACATTCTGAGAAGCTGTGACTTCGATGAAAATACAATTTGTGATTGGAGGAACAGCACCAGTACTGGCTTTTCATGGCGCTTGCACCAGTTCAAGACTCCAAGTCATATAATTAACACCGGCCCTTCTGGTGATCACACACCGGGTGCAAATGCTGCAGGTGATACTGATAACCGGCTGTAAACATTCTGACAGCTAATAATATCAATTTATAGGGCACTATTTATATATTGAAACTTCTGGAGGGATGCACTCTGGATCAAATAACACAAGGAGGTTCGCCAGGTTGTTTTCGCCCATGATTTTTCCGATGAAGGGATTTGAAACATGTTTCGTTTTCTGGTATCACATGTATGGCCTCACAATTGGTAATTTCTGTTTTATTTTATTTTGAAATTATTGTCGTGTGGATTTTGATCATCATGATCTATTATCATTTGGTTTATGAGGTGCATTGGCACTTCAATATATTTAATGATCAGTTTGCCTTTTGTCATACCCATTGCTGAATACGGCAAAAAACAGCAAAAACCAGGATTGGAAAAAAACTCACTTCACAGACCTCAAGAAAAAATCTCACGATTTCTGAAACATTAACGAATGAAAAACAAATGTCATTTACATAATTTATTTAATTTAATGGCTTTATGGCAATGCTGCAACTTCAAAGCTTCAAAAGTTAGATGTGATTCTAAATAAAAGTTTTTGTATGGGATATATTAAGATCCACCCAACTGGCATAGTGCTAACAGAATCTTTGGAATTACCCTTAGATCAGTGGTTCCCAAAGTGGTCCCTATGGACCCCCAGAGTCCCCGGTATCATTCAGCGGGTCCGTGGAAAATTAAAATTGATCTGGGGGTCTCTGAATAACATCAGGGGGCCCAAGCAAGGTTTAATATAATATAAATAATAATTCACTAGTTTTCGTGGTCCGCTTGACCAATTAATCTATATACATATTATATATTATCTATATTATATCTACATTATAAATTAATACATTTGAAAAATGGCAAAAAGGAGGGAAAATTCAAAAAAGGTGGGAATGAGATGAGAAATTAGTGTCCGAGTGGATCGAAGTCATGATAGCTCAAGTGGTAGAGTAGCGACGTATCAAGCCGAAGGTCATGGGTTCAAATCCCACTTGTGACACTGACTTTTTTATCTCAACTAAAAACCTTAATTAATTGAAATAAATAATATAATATAAAACAGAAATACGTTGGTTTTCTAAAAGTGCATGTTTCAATCGGTTTTATGCGCTCTTTGATTCAGTGTTGTAATTCCTGAAAACCAAAGACAATGGTTTGTGACACAATTTAATTAACTCAAAAATGACATAGCCTATATGTCTTATTTATTTGCCAAATTTAAACAAAACTAATTTGAAACTACAAGAAGACCAATTAAATTAATCAAAACTAAAAGCTTAATATCTGTGTTTGTTGCAAAACTTTTTCTTTAAACAAAACTTGGAAAGAGGAGAATGCTCTGTTTCCAAATCTTTCGAAATTGCCAATTAGAGATGAAGATTTGCTTGCGTACGTCAACACTTAACGGCTCTTCATGCAGACCGGAACCAAAGATTTGAAGACATTCTTCACTTGGATATTCCCGTCTGGGTGTTGAACCCTTTTGCACGTGGACAAACTCAGATCCCAAACACAGATGAATCCATACTAATACAGGAGGAACTTATTGAAATATCCACAGATGAGGAACTTAAACCAATGTTTGAACAAGGATACCACAAATTCTGGTTACAAAAACAGATCCCAATTTTATATCCTGCATTATGGGTTATTGTACAGAAGTTGTTGACTTCTTTCCTGTCTTCCTTTTTGATAGAACGTGGATTCAGTGCCATCATGAACCTCATCACAAAAAAAATTTAGAAATTAGTGCTCGTGAGGCTTTGCGGTTGCTACTCACAAACATTGAGCCAGTAATATACACTCATAACATCTCATCACGTTCATCCAACTCATTAATTTTTTATATTTTATTTTAAATAAAGGTAATTAATATTATAATGTATATATAATTATAATTTCATTAAATACTTCTACAACAAAAATTTTGTTGTAATTTTTATATGCATTTACCATTTGGCTTTTTCACTTGGGGGTCCGTGGGCAATTTTTGACTATAAAAAGGGGTACATGGGTCATAACAGTTTGGGAATCAATGCCTTAGATCTTAAGAGACAATTTCTTTCAAAGAAATTCATTGTAAAAATTATGACAAGAAAATCAGATAAATCTTCCAAATTAAACTTACTCTGCTCACAAACTTTGGTATATAAATATCGGTTAAAAAAACAGAACCCTTCTCATAGATAGTTTTTGGAATGTTAACAAAGTGTGTAGATCTGCAATTTACTCGGATATCCTTCCCATGTATCAAACTGAGTACAAAGCGCTGACTGAAGAAGTTCATACTTCTCCTTACTTAATGAGTAATAAATGCATAATAATCACCGATAGTTTAAGCTCTCTGCTAAAGTTAAAGAATCGGAACTTAAATGCTTTTGACAACCATCTCGCAAGATAGATAAGAAAGTTGTTATAGCTTGGGTACGAGCTCATATAGGATTAACGCCTAATGAAAAAAATGGATCAATTTGCAAAAGAAGCTACTTCACAGGGTTCGTTTTTTACCCTCTACTATATTGAACTCAATAATAAATTAAAAATACAGTGTTACAACATGAGATTAAATAGATATCGGGGTTCTAGTAAAGGAAGATCATACAAATCCATTCAACTTAAATACGGTACTTGCTGGTTTAAGGGCAAACCAGTAAACAAGGAAATGTGTAAAACTAGATGAAGACAAACCATGTTTATTGAATAAATTATTTATTAAAGATCAATTTCACTAATTTATGTGTGACTACTTCTCAGAAATAGATTAATGCTATCACTTTATTATGATATGCTCCAAATATATCAAATCAAAAGATTATTCAATTTCATATTTCAATTCTATTATGGTTCTATCTCTCAACTATTTTGTGTTTAAATGATTTGTAAGTTTATCGTTCAATTGAAAGATATTAAACGACAAGTATAAATAAATATAAAGCACAAATGATAAAAATAGTACTTGGCTATGGCTATTTAGGCTAATAATAAAAAATAAATAAATAAAATAAGTGAAGTCATTGTTGTAAAAGTACACACACGTAGTATACATTTGTGTATTTTTTTTAAATAAATGTAAAATAAAATACAAGTCTTATACAATTATAATCATATCCATTATATTTAGTGTTCTGATTGACCAAATTACTTCTTTCAATTAATTAATCGTTTTATGTAAGGTTTTGGCCGAAATGAAAAATTTAGTGTTCTGCTCTTGTCACTAAATTTTTCATTTCGACCAAAACCTTACATCAAACAATTAATTAATTGAAAGTTATAATCATAGATAAAAAATTGGGGATAAGTTGAATTTGAAAGAAAGAAAAAACGTTCAGTTCCTTTGCCAAACTTTTCATGGAATATATCTCCTTAATCAGGACTTTGAACTATTTCTAATGATTTAAATGGTTTAAATTTAACTCAAAAGCTTGGGAATTGAATGTTTTTTTCTTTCTTTCAAATTCACCTGATTACTGATATTCTTATATATAATTAAAACATTAAGGCTAATCCATACATGTTTAGTGGTCATAAATGACCATATTAATTATTTCAATTGATTATTCTTTTTATCTAAGGTCTTGGTTGAAATGAAAAGAATAATTAATTGAAATAATCAAGGCTAATATTAATCACATTGAGATAATATTATAGTTATACCGAAAATATTTTAGGCACTTTGAATGTTTATGTTAATAACATATTGAGGTTCACAAAATCAGGAAATCAAGGTGATAGATGGTACCGAGGATTGGTTTCAAACTTGCCAACAAATGAAACATTTGTCGTAAGTTAAATTTTTATTACCTATTTTATAGTGCGTAAATCCCTATAGGGATCCATTTTCCTTCAATTATTATTTTGATTTAATGATTGAAGGAAAATTTACTTTCATAATTTAAAAAAAAATGTTATTAGCCAAATAATAACTTAATTTTTTTGTTTTTACTTGAGAAACTGTAGACCCGACTTTTCTTAAATAAAGACCAATACAACCCAACCCAGGGAGCATTCCTGGCCCCATCCTGTATACCATTTATACTACTGTCTATACATCCCAAAACCATTATTCCTACCTATACCATCCACGAACAGCAGACTAGTACAAAAACTGGAGGTCAAGACTAAATGAGGAAAAATAAGGAATGAGGTGCTACCAACTTCTACCCAAGTTAGAGTTAGGACTATACCTAGAAATCAGACTGACGTGCAATCCCCACAAGACTTAAGTATAGAAGACTTGAACAACTACAAAGACTTTCATGATGCTAAATCAAGTTTGACTGTCAAAACTAAACTATTTACAAGGTATTAAGGCAACTACTTTGGGCATATGGAGTGGATTTGTGGGTTCAGCCAACCATCTAAGTGTTCCAAATAAAAATCCTAAGTTCGAATTCTCTAAGTCACTTCCCTATCCATATGACCTCAACATTCCCTTTATTCAAGGCTTCATCAGTTCTCGCTTCCAAAAGTTCCACAACAAACTTTCAATCCATCCTGACCCTACTGTCCATGCCTTATGCCACTTTCCCAACCTGAAAACGTAACACATCGCCTTAAATGACAATAACTTCGAGACCTCGAGTTTATCAAAGACAGGTGCAAAATTGTAAGACAAGATTGAATGAAGAAAATTGTACCTAGAGTAAATTTACATTGAAAAACAATCTTGTCCTGCACTGTACATCAACAAGGAACTATTGACATCCATTTAAGTCTGATACATCCATAAAGTCTGTCCTGATTGCATACCCCCTATATTAGTTAAAAAATGTTCTGCGGCTCTTATTGCTCCTTTACACTATATTCTGAACCAGTCGTTAAAAACAGGTATTTTCCCCAATGCTTGGAAAAGCACTTTTGTCATTCCTCTACATAAAGCTGGTGATAGATCTAATGTTTTCAATTACAGACCAATATCTATTCAATCCATGTTCTCCAAGATATTTGATTCTATTATTTGTAATAAACTTAAAAATGACATTAAATCTTTTATTATACCTCAGCAACATGGTTTCTGCTCTAATAGATCAACTGTTACTAACCTGCTCACATTTCAAAATTACATCTTAGATGCAATAAATTCTGGATACCAAGTAGACTCAGTGTATACTGATTTTTCTAAAGCTTTCGATAAAGTAAATCACAGAATACTGTTAAGGAAACTAATGGATTATGGTTTCACCGGAACTATCTTGAATTGGTTATCCAGCTTTCTCTCTGACATTAAACAAATAGTCAAAATAAAATCATTTAAATCATGTCCCTTTGCGGCTTCCTCAGGAGTCCCGCAAGGGTCTCATCTTTGACCAGTTTTGTTTCTCTTATTTATTAATGATATCCATCTTGCTCTTCCTTCTGCTCAATTTTTATTATTTGCTGATGATCTGAAAATCTATTCCATAATCACTTCTCCTTCCGATTGCTTACAATTACAAAATTCTATCAATAATGTGCTAACCTGATGCTCTAATAACAAACTTACTCTTAATGTTTCTAAATGCTACACAATTACATTCTCTCATAAGAAATAACCTTTTATTTATCTCTATACTCTCCATGATGCTCTTTTAACGCGAGTTGAGGTCGTAAAGGATCTTGGTGTACTTTTTGATCAAAAGCTCAAGTTTAAAGAACATATTTCTTCAATAAAAAATAGATCTATGAAGATGCTAGGTTTCATCATCCGGAACACCTATGAATTTAAAAATCCTTTATGTTTTGTCCGTCTTTATAAAGCTTTTGTACAACCCATACTAGAATATGCTACACCTGTTTGGAACCCATTCGATCTAAATTATCAAAAAATTCTTCAATCGTACAAAACAAATTTTTAAAAAAACTTTCCTACAAACTCAGTCTTCCTCCGAATTCTGCCTACCCTGGAATCCGCTCTGAATTTAAACTTTTCGATCTGGCACTAAGAAGGGATTACTTTGATATTGTTTTTGTATTTAAATTATTAAACAATCTCATTGATAGTCCTTATCTCCTCTCTCAACTACAGCTACATTTCCCTTCGTACTCTCTTAAAACCTATAAATTATTTTATATTGGATTCCAAAGCTCTAACTACATGTTCTCTTCTCTTCTACACAGAATGATGATCAAGAGTAAGAACATCTGCAATAGCATTGACTTCTTCAATGGTTCTGTGCAATCTATGAAAAACCTTATCCTACAACCTTAGTTGAATGCTTTTATATTTTATACTATACAAAATTATTACAATTTATTTCATTTACTGGTTCAACTAATTCTTGCACTCTAGTCTTATTATATATTTACAAAGATCATTATTTTCATTAAATATGTACCTAATTATTGTATTTTCAATTGTCTTTCAGCTTTATTTTGTTTTCTCTGCCTTATTTGGTTAGTAATTATGTCTTTCATTTTTATTGTTCAGTTTTTACTCTTTAATTGTATTTTTATATTTATCATTTATATTTACCATTTATATTATTACCATGGATATACGTCATTATTCTTTTTATATATATTATTTGTATTTTTACATATATTATTTATATTTTTTGTTATTGTAAAATGTCTTTTTTATAGTGGATTTCGATCCGTAAATAAATAAATACTCAGGATATAAAAAAACAGATGAGGAATACCTTGACAAAACTTAACAAAACACAATTACAATGCCTTTTAAGACCGAAAGCTGTTATGACTATCAAAACTCAATTAATTCTATACAAAATGCAACCATTTTGGACATACGAAGTAGAACTGTAGGTACAAACCATCCAATATCCATGTATCCAGTTCTTCTAGTCAAAAGTTCTCAGACAAATTCTCAAAGCTTTTTACTGCTTCACTAAATACCTACAATGACCTCAACATTCCTTCTGTCAATGAATTGATCTGATTTCGTTTCCACAAGTTCAATGCCAAGCTCACGGTCCATTCTAACCCCCATGCATAGTGTAATGTATTTGTACATACTTTTGATTCAAATTGTTATAGATTGAAATTGAAGGCGAGTCTGGCTCTAGTTATTTGGGAGATATCGCTATTGATGATATTATGATAACAAACAGCAGTGAATGCCAAAAGCCTATGCTGAGTAAATAAAAAATTGTAAAAAAAATTACACGAGCAAGTTACTCAATGATTGCTATTTCAGTTGAAACAACTTGCCGAGGAAGGTGCTATGAAAACGAAGAAAATACCACATTGTGCCGGTGCAATCCTGACTGCAGTGAGGATGATTCCTGCTGTACTGACTTCATGCACTATTGCAGTTTAAGTAAATATGGCTTTTGAAATGTTTTTTATTGCTTCTTCCTTCCCTAGTTGTAAGTGAGTATGATTTGTTCAATTTTAGAGACGACGACTGGGTCAGCAGATGAGACAACAGAGGATACCGGTTTAACCTCGACTGAATATTTAAATACATCTCAGGGGGAATTTACTACTGACGGTGTTGATTTTACCGAATTCTCCCCTTGGCCCTCTTCCTTTGAATCGCAGAGTTATTCTTTTGAACCCAATCTGACTACAGAGCCTGTATCGAGTGAAAATTCAATTTTTACTGACTACCCTTTTTCAACCCTGTCAGAGACTGAAACTGAAAAATCGATCACCTCTAGTGGACCATTTTTAAATACAAATAAAAATTATTCAGCAATGTTGACATCTGAAATCTCAATTCATGAAACAGAATCTGAAACAGTTCGACAGGCAAATGAATTCGACAAACATACGACTACTGATGAATATATTAATACAGTAGATATTGCGCAAAATCATACTCATTTACAAAATTCCTCAACCCTTACAAGCACAACTTTAAATGACTTGACAACAAACAGTTTCCCATTATCAACTACTGAAATTACTGAGAACACTGAACAAATAACTTCATCGTCCACTATTATACCTGAAACTACTACAGTTACAAAATCACCGAAAAAGTACTCGACAAAACAAAAAAACCTTCCTTGGTCAAATAAAAAATGGAAATCAATATATTCACCTAAAGGTATAATTGGATATTTAAAAAAAAATCAAATTCATAAATACCTTGTTTTACAATGTTTTAGGTCGCTATACATTTTCAGCAATCAAGCAAGAGCAAACCAACACTACTCTCACTTATCTCTCTGTGATTCTTGGTGTTATCCTCATATTCACTTGCTTAATAGGGGTCAGCATTTATATGTTTAGAAGACATAAACTGCACGTACCGATTCAACAGGAGGAAGCGGAAGTTATCTACCTCACCTCAGATGAGGCCCTTGATTTCACAGTTGGGCGGAGATGAAACTGAAAAGACTTACAAACTGAAAATAGGAGGATAGAGGAGTTTTAATCACTGTAAATAAAACCATTATTTACAAAAAACTGTTTTAATACTGTAAAGATAATTTATATTCTCTTGCAAACTTAATACTTTAAAAATCTATTCAAGATTGTGAAATTAAAGCCTGTGTTGATAGAAATCAAATGTTAATTCCTATTTAGAAATAAATTTCTTGCTGGAGAGTTGATGGATTTTTTATTTAATTAATTATCTTAATTAACCATCCTCATCTTAATTATCATCCAAAGAGGCTTCCCAAACTGTCTTCTGCGGACCTCTTAGGCATTCACCTAACTTGGTCTGCAGCGAACTTCGAGAAAAATTAATAATTACAAAAATAAACATAGAATGAATAAATAAAATTTAAAAAACTAATAATAAAAAATAAAATGCAAAATAGGCAAGGTAAGTGGATGGACAGGACTAATCTGGTCGGTCGCTGCTTTTGGAACTCCCTGGATTTTTCCAATTTTGTATATAAATAGCCACTGTTTCTCAAAAATGTGAAACAAGCTCAAACTTCTCGAGTTCTTCGAGTGCAGTATTTTCATTGATCAGTTATTTACTTCAATATGGATCGATTGGCTGAAGTAAGGATCTCTGAGGAAGCATGCAGTATAAGCACATCCAGGAAAGCGCCAAATTGGAACCGATGAGGCAGAAGGACAATCTTCAGGTGGGGACATTACTGACGACTAGCCAAATGAAGGACAACCTTCATGATGCACCTCAGCAGGATCCAGCATACTCAAATTTGTTATGTCTCGGGTAGGTGCAGGCCAAACAGCCAGTGGAAGTGGAAATGTCCTTTGAATATTACTTCCCAACTGGTCGAGGCCATGCCGTTTTCAGTTTTGACAAAGCCAACCAGTCTATCTTCAAGTGAATATGAATGTTTGATAGATGTTACTTCAGATTCCAACTTGAAATCTACTATCGAGTCCGATACTTACCCCCATTTTCTACTCTTTCTGGAAAACAAAAATTTTACCCGCTTGTTGAAAAAGCAAATGTTCTTCCATTTGCCACAACTTACCTAAATACGAAACTGTCTAGATGCTGAACCCAACATCCATCTACAGCTATCATAAACTAAGCCAAACATATCCAAATTGTACAGGCTAAAACATCTCACTCTTCCCATTAGTTCATTGGTAATTAATGTTCAAATTATTACTTTTGAATTTGGCTCGAGTTTTATGTTTGGGAAACCCTGTCCTAAGTTATCCTGAGAGTTCTTGTTGAGTGGGAGAAAGCTCTAAGAGACCTAACTTTGCATGATTTAATAAAGCGATCAATCTACCAAATCTGATGTATTTTAGCATTTTGCTGGAAATGCTACAGTCGGTTAGGCAGACCAAGTCAAACAAGAAAAATCAAACTACAAATTCATTATCTTAAAAAAGCGCAAACAATTAACATTGTGGAAGCTTCACAATAAAATAAAACAAATATTTAATTTGTGGTGTTTTTATCTTTAATCGAGTATTATACTCATTAGTATTAATACAACTGCTTAAAAGTAAAATTATTGCTGTACAAGTTTGACTAAAGAATTGGATATCTGAAATCAGAGTAAAACTGCTGATGTTTATGAGGGTTTGTTATGTTATAATTCTTTTTTACATTAGTTTTCAACTTAGTTCTGTTTAATGTATTCATTTTCCTTGTTGGTCGGTCATTGACTGTTTTCTCTTGGTACGACCAACGTAGAAAAATGAAATAAACCAATTCAACGGTGCTCAAGATGCTGGCGCCCAGAAATAATCCAACTGTTCCACCAATGCTCACTATAAAATAAAAACGATATTTGAAAAAGATACAAATTACATGGTATATCTAGCCTACCGACAAGGTCAAGACGGGATCGTACGACATTCCTCTTAAATCTCTGTGAAGGCAGGTTGTCCATGATTATGGATATCTTTGATCCATATATATCTTCTACTCTGAAAAAAAAAACAAAAAAACGCATGATTAAGATGTTAATAAATCAAAATAAAATGATACCTTGATGATATTTTGGATATGACAGTGTATTCTGGTTCTGAACAGCTAGACATACAATTGCAGACGAGCCCTTTCTTTTTACTCTCTGATGTCCGTAGTGCTCTAAGCATTTCTGTATAAAAGAGAAACATTACTATAAAATAAAATAATTAAACTATACTCGCAAATAATCTGGATTTCTTATAATCTGGTATGGTCTGGATGAAGAACAAATTCAATAAAATGCTTTCAACCTATTTTCAGGTCACCATTAAAGCAAAACAATCTTAAAGATTTTTACAAATTGACATAATTAAATATTAATAGGTAGCTTGGCAGAAAAATTGAATTTGTTGTCTTATTCAGAACATACTTAGATCCAGATTATTTGTGAGTTGAAAATCGGTCAATACATCTAACATTTTAAACATAAACAGTATAGAGGTACAATTGGAGAGAGAAAGTACAATTCAATGTATAATTTCAAAATTGTCATAAAATGTTTATATAAGTTATTTTGTTGAGAAAAGTCTCAATGTGTCCCACCTAAATGAAAGCTGCAATTCTTTGGCTCCATATAGAGAGCCTGTAGGCATGCCACCTGACATGATAATGTGCTTGAGCTGGGTCCCTGTTCTCATTTTTGGAGGAAACAGGGTTGTTTTATTATATGCAGTACTGATAGTTTTGTGTACCTAGTATGTGTTGAGAGTGAATGTATTTATTATTGTGAATGTTTAGTGTGATATGGCCAATGGTGGAAGATTGACTCAATTAGGCTAGTTATGCAAGTGTAAAGGGGGATGGATGAATACCGAGTACCTCACCACCCTGAGCGAAGGATATGTAAATAAAAAAGCATGTATTTAAGAGTAAATGAGAGTGTGAATAGGTTTGGATTTAGGAAATGATTGTTGGTGGCTGAAATGGCTTGATAACCCCTGGAGCCAACCTCGGTAGCTGGATGGATAAGACCAAGGTTTGACCCTGGACTGCCAATAGATTTGAGCTTATATAAGTCACTAATCAGTTGTAAATCATAAGAACATTCACCTGAGTGTTTTGATAAACATGTAAGACCTTTTATGTCACAAGTTTGTACTCCGTCTGTGAAAATAAATACATAAGATCAATTAATTTTTTTTAAATGTAAAAATGCTTTGTTTATAAATTTATCTTTGTGTTAAAAAACTTCTGAAAACTTAATTCTAAACTTTTGTACCTTGTTTTGGCATAAAATGATGTGTGCAATTGCAAAGTCTCTTCTGAGCTTCCGCTCTGCAATTGACCACACAAGCAGAATAACTGTAGAACTTGTACAGGTTAAAAGGGTTTTCAGACGGGAACCTGCAATTTCTTTGTTCAACGGAAACTTTTTGCAACTGTTGGTCATTTTCAATCTCATTGACCTACAAAATCGCACCATGTAATCACAACTAAACATCTGTTCAATGCAATAACACACCTGGAAAGTCATTTCGAATTCGAGACCCCAATTAAGAACCGCCTTTTCATCTTGAGGATGATTCAAATAAGGGACGTCTTCTTCTGCATGTATAAACACCTAAATGAACCAACATCAGTTTTTAAGTCAGACAAATTTTAATATAAAACTCACTTTCACTGATTCGTAAACCATCATGTTCAGAAATCCTGGTCCTGTATATTTATTCGAAACCAAATCAAGCCATTCACTGCTATACCTTTCAAATAATCAATTATTTAAACAACAGTATAATAATAACTACAACAGTTGTACTTTTTTGTTTGTAAGGAATTGAGGGAATAACAGACTCCCAATTCTGTTATTAATGGGAGAAAATGCTTGCAACAATCAAACTGTCGGCCGTTCCAGTAGCACGAACCAATTAAATTGGCACATCCCGACCTTAACTAAAAATAAAACAACTTTTTCAAATAAAAAGTAAAATAAATGGTAATAAATTTGATTACTTCATTGATCAGCATGTCTAGGTCTTCTGTGCAGTTCATGGTGATGCCACAATGCATGGAGCAAGAGTTGCATGTGCCATCAAAGAAAGTGATATCCCTTAGGTAAAAATCCAGATTCATGTTTCTTACTTTGCCAAACAACCTGGAAATAGAAAAATTTTATTTACAGATTTTACTTTAATTTTTTTTTCGTCCGATATACTTTCTACTAAAATCAAATATTTTGTCTGGGGCTTCATTCTCGCATATTGTCACAGTCGGGAAGGTCGTGTTCCAATCAAGATATGACGTCTCGACTACAAAGCTGACGGCATTGTGTTGAAAGTTGTACCAAGTAGCTGATACAAGAAGGAATGTTGCATACACTGCAGCCGAGCATACAACTGACCAAAATATTCTACAAAAAATTAAGGATGCAAAATTAAATTTATTTATTCAAGGGTTTTATAGTAAGGTGAAAACAAGGTCTCATTTCAATTAATATCAAATAGAAATCAACTGACCAAATTTTTTCGTGTTGCAAAAAAGGTTTTGAGAGAAAGCTAGGTTCGCTGATTGATGTTCACTGTCCATAATTTTTCTTTTAACCAAAATTTCTTGGGGCCATTGTGACCAGGAGTTGGACTTGGTTCAGAGCTGGATTGGACAAGGAGGAAGAGGAAGCCACATCGCCATCGATACAATTAACAAAATTTGTATTGGTTCAGAGGGCGATAAGGTGATCACTAGTAGAATGCCATGCTGATGTGATTTCCTATTCTGCCTTGTCTGCTCCAGCTCTCAAAATTTAAAAACACACAAGGCAGCAAACATCCAAACCATCCCGCATTCTACTGCATTTTCAAATTCTAAATAAATACAACTTTGTCTGTCAAGCTTTATTAATTTTTTTTTACATAAGTTTTCAACTGATAAAGTATTTCGTGCGAAGTAAATTTACAAATTTTAAGTGTTCGTGCGAAACAAATTTAAATCACCTTTCTGTGATGTGCCTCTTGGGCTGAGTTATATACCTTAGCCCGTGTATGGAGCTGTTATTGAAATACGCTTTGACACGAAAAGAAATTGTATTCATAACATTAGCGAATTGAAGCATCTTGAAGCTAACACAGCACTGAAGCTTTCACCGAGCATTACCAGTCCATTATCCCCGTTAATGGTTAAAAGCTTTTTACTGTGCCGTTTACAAATAGAAGAAAAAAAAAACATTTACAAACCATAAAGGAATCAATTTTTCTCCTTCACCATTCCTATAGTGCCCATAAAAAAATAATAAAAAAATAAATTTATTCATTGCACAATAAATATATATTATTAATGGTTTTTATGCAAAATATATAGGAAATAATTATTAATAATAAACAGATAACTAATTAAATAATAAATGTATATAGTATATTTTTTCTTGATCAGTGCCTTTTTTTTTTTTAAATGTGTAAATTATGTTCAAAATTGTGCTTGTTAGGTTCATCCAGCACACCAATTGAAAGTATGGAAAAAGAGTTTCTATTTTGAGATTTCTGATTTGATATCTTTTTGTTTCTCCTTTTAGATGAATATTTTCTAACGAAAACGAAGTATATAAACTCGGCAATGCTTAAAAGACTGGCGCCCAGAAACAGGCCAACAGTTCCTCCCATGCTGACTGAAAACATTTAAAATATATTTATTCAAATCAGTTTTCAACTCCAAAGCGCTTCCACTTACCCACAAGGTCTAAGTTATTTCTGACGACTTGTCTTTTGAATTTATAAGATGGAAAATGAACCATTTGAATAGTGAATGATGAATCGAAATCTGCACTAGATCATAGACGTGAGATCAATGAAAAGTTTTAAGTTCAAAATATTTAACTTACACTGTTATGGTTTTAATTTTACTGTATTCCGATTCAATACAGGTCCCCATGCAGTTACATTCCATTCCCATTTCCCCAGGACTTTTCAACTTTCTCAAATATACTGTAAAAAATAAATTCCCAACAGTTTCAAAAAATCGTGTAAGGTCTAGAGGAAAAATTTACGGTCATTTCTTGTCAAGCAGGTTAGTTGAGCTACACTGCAACGCTGTACTCCAGCTGTAATCAAACAATAATTATTGATTAAATTAAAGTAATTTGTTCGACTTATCTCACCAACTCTGGGCTGGAAATGGTGCGTGCAGTTACACAGTGCTATTGTATGGTTCAGCCTACATTCTTCTATGCATCCCGAATAGCTGTACCATTTGCTATATTTTAGATAGTTTTCATCCGGGAATCTACATTTTCTCTTTGAAATCGCCAAACTCCGTAAGTTTGGATCATTTTCTATTTCCACGATCTAAATACAGGAACGCAATTATGTATAAGTTTAGTGATGAGTCATCAACTTACCTTAAGCAGCGTGACAAAAGATTCAAAGCCATTTATGTCAATTTGCGGTTGTATGTATGTGTTTGGGAATGGCTTATCTTCATGTGGATGAATAAAAACCTAAAATTTCACCAATGATTGGATCAAATCAACAATGGTCCTATAAAGAAATTGTGACACTTACCCTCACTTCAGTAGTACTGATGGATAGTTTCAATTTTCCTAGTCCAATTTGTCGATTTGAAACAAAATCATTCAGTTTCCTTGAACAGTTCATAAAGTAAAAATTTCTTATAATTATTTAAAGTTATTACATTTGCTTACATATTTGAATGAAATGAATTCATGGTATAACAAGGCCCAAGTTCTGTTGACACAAGGGCAAACTTTTCAGAACAGTTAAAAGGCACATCGTTCCAAGCACACTGAAGAATTAAGTCTTCCAGTTTAAGCCTCGCCTTAAAAGCAAAAACAAAACTTATAATTATTATAAAATGATTTTCAAGACAGAAATTATTCTGATCAGATTTCAATTTAAATTAAATAATTTTTACATTTGGTAACTATGCACTACAGTAAATATGGTAGAAATGATGAAGGTGGGGTGAGTTGGTAGATTCACTTTTTGTAAATATGGTATTTTGAACTGGTTGACCCAGAACAAGTGATGTGTCGATCAGATCAATATAAGTGTATCCATTAGTATTGGTATTTCATTTTTAATACCTATATTACACAGGGCGGGCGACCAGGACCCGAGGGGTTAAAAGCCTGAGTAGGCCCGTACCCCATTTTAATACCTAGATGTTTTGATTTGGCTGAGAAATTACGTAGGCCAGGGAATGGGATAAAGGATAAGTTGTCTTCCATGACAAAAGCCTTCCTACGTCATATTCATCTGCACTGATGAGTTATATAAAGAGAAGACTTGAGAAGAAACCACACAACAGTCAAAACAAGTGCAAAAGTCAGTGTACATTAAATACCCCTGACTGTTTACCACTATCAAGTACATGGATGCTAATAAAAATACTGAAGCTAGCGTGAGCTATAACACATTCAATGAGGAGCATAGATATATTTAATGCATGTTGGGCATAAAATATTAACCTAACCTAACCTAACTTTTAACCATCAAACCATGAAGGTCTCAGATGGGGATTAATTAAAAATTTCGATATTTTTTTCTTGAGTTTTCATTCTAGCCTGCATGTTGTCACTGCTTGGGTCTGTCAGGCAATTAGAGATTAATTTCACAATCAGGCACTTAGCCGGACATGGCAAAAATAATGTATATGTAACAAATTTAGTATCATACACAGCCATGTCAATGTAACAACAGTTCCACACAAAGTTTTATTCATCTATGCACAGGCAGAAAAATAAAGAGTAGGACAGGTGGCAGTAACAAAGATTTAGACCAAGGTGAATTGACTAGTCAGTTTGAAACTCCAATAAACTTGTTAAAAAAAAAAAAAAATCAGAGTATCAATCTAACAGTACACGTTAAATGGAAGTCTTCTACTCAATGAGGATGTATAGATGCTTGAAATTCAATGTGAAATAAAAAACAAATATTATTTCACAAATGTGTACATTTCATATTAATTTATACCTTGGAACCAGAAAGTCTTACCGCATTAACTATTGTTTCATAGTCTTCGGTGCAATTAAATTCATAAGAACACCTGTATTCGCATGATTCGCAGATGCCCCTGAAATAGGCGATGTCATTAACGTAGAATAGAAGGTTTTTCGAACTACTGACCCCGTATAATCTAAAACAAAAACAAAAAATGTAAAAAGGTAACTAGGCAAAATATTAAGTGCAGTCAAATTTCATACCTTTTCCTAGCAAGATCAATTTTGTCGAGGGAACCTGTTTCGCACAGAGATACCGCTGGAAAAGATGTATTCCAATCCAGATATGCAGAACTGACTACAAAACTGACAGGGCTGTTTTCAGAATTGTAATGAGCTGCGACCAAGAGCAAAACAGTAGCGTACGTTGCGACTGAGCAAGCCAGAGCCCAAAAAATCCTGAATAAACAAATGCTAATTAATCTTCTGAGTCTGCAAGGTGATGGACGTGTAGTTTTGCCATTTCTGATCATTTTAGACTGCCTATCCTTGCTGTTTTGTCTGTATTGTTTTTATGAAGATACTAGGAAGCAGGGTTGAGCTCCCCAGGCACTAGTCTTATGGTTTATTGTACCTTCCTATTTACCTAGTTCAGTGCAATCGCTCAATCCTTCTTCTAAGAAGTATTAGGTCATTAACTGTTGCTGCTACAATTTCATTCTCTAGATTTTTCTGTATGCTAGGTTAAATTTTCATTGAGCCGTAGCTTCGCATTTGAAGATGATAAGGATAGCTGTTTCTTTCTTATTATATAATCTGCAAATGGGATCATCATTATAAATGCCCTTGTGACATAGATGTTTTCTCAGATGCCAGAGACCGAATCAATAGTCCTCTGAGTCTGGCCCTCTCCAACTGCAGCAGTGAGTTTGCCAGTCTTGGTGACGTTTATTGGTCAGGTTGGTCTGTGTTATTTTGTCATTAAAAATAAAATACAATTGCAGAGTAATGTGAGATGAGAAGAACTCTGGACCAACTTCAGAGGTGTCAGACATACCAAACACTAAAACTAGCAAACTGCTGCTACAGTTAAGCTTTGTTCCCAAGGCGTGTGGCTTGACGAACTTGGCCAGTCGTTTGCCATGCCTCATGCCGTGGGAAACATAAAACTCGTTATTGCTCGCGAGTGCCTTTCGCATGTTTTGTCGGAAAATACTCCAAACATCAAAGGCCTGGGGCTCGACGGATGACAAGCCTCAGTACGGCTCCAGCACCTTTTCCCACGATCTGCTGTGGTTTGTTGCAGTTTTACTGATTTTCTCTTAAATAAATTAATTTTTCAACATCTATAAATCGTAATACATAAACACTGTATTAGCATCGATCTTTAAATCAAATGTGACTTCATTTGAAAAAATTTACGTAGTGGGTGACTATTGGCCGCTCGGTGATTCGCCAAGCAACGAGCTTTTAGGAGTCGGACCACTACAGATCAAAAGTTTATGATTACGCTTGTTAAGCCACACGCTGAGGGAACAAGGCTTTATAGAGAGCCAAACTCAGAGGAGAGGTCACTGGCATCTAAGAAAAAATAAAATTGGATCGAATGATGGATTTGTGGGTGATGCAACGAGAAGGAAGAAACAGACACCCATATCATCTTCAAATGCTCCATGGAGACAACCTGGGATACAAAACCCAAGGAAAGGAATTGTAACAGCGACATTAAATGACCTAACACTTCTTAAGAGAAGGATCGTGTCAATTGCACTAAGAAACTAGGAAAAGTAAAATAAGCCAGAAACCAGCAGTGCTTGGATAGCATAAAACCCCCACATTCTAGAGCCCATCACCATCATCGAGATAAAACTCAAGGTAAGTTGGCTTTAGAAAAGTATTATTGAGAAATATTGTATGAGCGGTTTTCTTTCGGAGGGTAAAAGTAACACCCCCCTCCCAGTTTACTACCATTCGACTATCTGTAATGTGTGCCTGGAGCTCAGGATTAAAGGATAGCACTTTGTCGTCGGCAAAAGAAGCAAGGAAGGTAGTCGGTATATCTGAAGATGATGATGGATAGGATTGGTCAGAATACGTTGCCCTGGAGCACCCCGGCTCCCAGAGAGCATTCGGAGTAGTCCGATCCTTGGCGAACTCGGAACCATTAAGGTTGGTCCAGACATGCGGGATTCGCCGAATCCCGATTAGTGGGACGAACTGATCGAAAATATGTGCCTATTTACTGTTATTTATTTTTCGATAATAATCGATTCTTAACAAGTATAGATTTATTAATCAAATAGCGTTATTTCTGTTGGTTAAGAATGGACTGGCCTAACGTAACAGTCTTGGAGTTCCACGATCAAGCTGAACCAATATTTTGGAACGCTTCTCTTCCGAATCACAACAACAAACAAAAATCAAAAAAAGGAAAGAGTTTTCGATGCGTGGAAACGGAAGATGGGGTAACAGTGTGGCTGATTGTGACTTAGTTTGTAGCCACTACACAAAACAGTAGCGGATAGGGATAGGGACAAAAGAGGCGGCCACAAGGCCTTCTGCACCTCGACCTGAATAGATCTATTGTGCACCCCTGTTTTTTTATAACTCACTGGGCAGTTTCAGGTTGTTAATCAGCCTCCATAGCTTTGCCAGCTGCTCCTTAGTGTTAGGATCTTGCTTGCGGTTTTTCTTTAAGAAGAAGAAGAAGAAGAAGAAAAAAATAACTTTATTCTGGGACTGGTGTCCCCTAAGAATAATTTACATGAAATAAATAAAAGAAGTTCCTTTTATGAAGTTAAAAGTAAAAAAAAAAGATAACAAATCTTGGCACAATGTATACCAATAAGGCAGGACAGAGGAAAAAATTACGAGAATATTAAGCAAAAATAACAAATGTTAACATGAGGTCTCTGCTTGTTGGGAGAGGAGGTGATTATACAGGTGGGATTTAAAGGAGGAAAAGGAGGCAGCGTGATGAATAGAAAGGGGAAGGGAGTTCCAGAGTTTAGGGGCTCGGATCAGAAAGGATCTTTCGAAGGTATGGGTTGTATGTTGCGGAAGGATAAGGTCGATTGGGGATGAGCGGGTCTTACGAGTGAGATGTGAGGAGTTGAATTGGAGGGATTGGATGATGTAAGGAGGACGACGAGAGTGGATGGACTGGAAAAGAAAGCAACCTAGGAAATACTGTGCACGGAAGGAAGGGAATAGCCAGGAAAGTTGGGAATACAACCCCGACACTCGGGATCCCCGTGGGGTGCCGTACACAAATCTTACGCAACAATTCATAATACGCTTCAATCGCGCGTTCTCCCCCTCCGAGAGACCACCGTATGCCAAACAGCTATAATCGAAGAAGGGAAGTATAAGGGAAGATACAAGGAGTTTGCGGGTGGAGAAAGGTAAGAGAAGCCAGGACCGACGAAACAGGCTGAGGGAGGCAATGGAATGGCGGGAAATTTGGGAAATGTGAGAATGCCAGGAAAGGTTTTGGTCAAAGACTACTCCTAGGTTTTTAACCGAAGAGCAGAAGGGGATGGGATGGTTATTTAGCATGAGAGGTGGGATGCTGGGGAGGGAATTGAGGAGTTGCCTGGACCCGATAATTATGGCGGTGGATTTGGACGGATTGAGGACTAGGGAATTTTTATGGGCCCATTCGTTGATGGAGTTTAGGTCTTTTTGGATCTTGAGAGTGGCCGAGTGACGATCGGAAGGGTGGAAGGATATGTATATTTGGGAGTCATCGGCATATAGGTGATAGTTACAGGACTGGAAACTTGAGCCTTTTCTCGTTAGAGCGTTTTTCTTGACCTAGTAGCAAGAACCCGCACCTACCTTCGCAGAAACATAAAATGTGTTCTGCGGTCTCCTCCTCTTCCTGGCAGCATTTGCACAGTGTTTCTTTTGTCTGTACTCCTATCCTGCGCATGTGCTTTAAGTGACAATATCCTGTCAGGAGTCCAACCAGAATCCTGGTTCGGTTGCGGTTGCCAATCTAGTAATTCTTTCGTAATTTTTTTGGATGGTCCTTCTATGAAATTCTTCGCGTGCCTCCCTGTAGTTGTTCGACCAGGTTTTGGACTCATTAACACAAACAGTAACCGCAGCTTCAATGTTGTTCATCACGATGGTAGTAAATTTAGGACTTGCACGGCACTTGGCGAATATTCGCTGTTTCCGCACAAACTGGGTTCTTGTACAAACCCTGCATATGTGTAGACATAGGTACGCGATTTGGCGAATGCCAAGATGAGCATCTCGAGACTTGGCAAACATTCGACTACAATCGGCTTTCGGCGAGTACCGCACGTCTGGAGCCATCTTTAGGCAGAGGTGAAAGATACAAAATAAAACGAGACCCACTTGTCACACCAGTCAAACGATTGAGGCACATAAAAAAAAAGGCTTCCGTTCAGTTTATCCTTTAGGGATGAGGATGGTAGTTCTCAATGGAAATCACCTACTGGATTGTGTAAAGTGAGGACGAAAGCCGAACATTCTCAAATATTATATAAGGCTTTGGTTGAGACAAAAAAGTCATTGTCACAAGCGGGATTCGAACCCACTCTCAACCAAAGCCTTAATTAATTGAAAAGAATTTATTCGGTCAAGCGGACCACGAAACCTAATAAATTCTCAAATATATTTGGCACGGGAGGATATAGGCTGATGGGACGGCAGGAAGAGTTTGGTTGCAGAGTTTTGAGGTCAAGGATAAAATTTGAGTAGTACCAGAGCAAAAGGAAGTTAGTGGTGCGGATATGATGTGGTTCTATAGGTAGATAGGATGATGATTTTTTTAAAAATTCACAGTGGGTTCGGAATGTGATGAGGCCAAACCAGAGGCCTTGACATCCTAGCCAGGGTCTTAGGACCACATCTGAAGAACAGCTTTGGGTACAAGCGTAATGGGTTTTCTGATGGAAAAAAAGTTTCGAGTAATTTCTTTAATTTCATATTCTATACAAGTATAATTGATATTTTATGCTTAATATGGATCATTTCGTATAGATCACGCAGAAGGAACAGTGACTTTTTATATATTTTACTGCCTTTGAAGGTTAATAAAAAATAATATAAAGAAAATGTATTTTTTTAAATTTGTTTCTTATTTACCTTTCTGTAATGTGCCTGTCGGCCTGGGCTATGTATTTAAGGCCGTGGATCGAACTTTTTGAAAAGTATATTATGATCCTTTTAAAAAAGCTCAAGTTCGCCTTCGTCAACCTCATGTTCTCGTGGCCCAGTTGAAAAATGAGAAAGAGTCGACGGTAATTAAAGGGCAAATAGATCTTATCGTATTAGCATGTCCATTAAGCTTTACGTGACGTGCGAATAGTGGAAGAAAATCATTATTTATACTGTGATATATTTTTTTAATTTTAATCTTTGATTTGTATAAATTTATATGTATTGAAAAAGTGTTGATAAAAATGATCATGTTTCATCTGTTCTTGGGTCTGTTTTCTGTATGGTTTGCGTCTCTTGATCGTCCATTCGTCTTATGAAGATAAAGTAGACAGTTTCAACGATGCTCAGTAAACTTGCACCGAAATTCAGTCCTAAAATTCCTCCCAAATAGACTAAAAAATAAAGATCAATTGTAAAACACTTGGATTTCGGAATATGTTCAGATTCCTTACCTGCAAACTCGAGGTTGGTCAAGGAGACAAATCTTTTGAACCGGCTCTTCGGAAGGCTTTCCATTTTTATTGTAATATCGGAAAAATCGGCTGGGTTTCTAATAAAATCGTGTTTAATTTGTAGACTTATACCCTTCCTAATTACGATAATAAAAAAAAAGATATTTACCCTTGAGCCGATTTTGAGACGATAATTGTGTCAAGTTCGTTGCAGCTAGAAGGACAGTTGCAAGTGAGACCGTCTATAGAGCTCTCCGGTGTCTTAAGCGTCCCCAAACGTCCTGAAGGAAATTTAAATATTTTTGAACATACTGTTTTTTTCCCATACAAAAAATAATATACTCACTGCTAAACCGCGTTAAGCATTCTAGTCCAGATATTCCACAAGTGTTTCGCGTATCTGTTAAATTTTTCAATAAATTTTTAATTAAAGGAAACCATGAGAGACCGGAGAGATTAATTACAATTTAGTTAACTAATAACTATTTCTTTTGAACAAGGTGGTGTGTTTAAATCAATTTTAGTGAACTCTCACGAGAAGATCTTTATTTTAAATTGTACCGTTTTTTAATTTGGGCATGAAATGGTGGACGCAGGTGCAGAGGTCGAGTTGGGCTGCTGCTCTGCATTCGACGACGCAGGCCGAGTAGCTGTAATGGTCGTACATCGCCAGGCCGCCTTCCTTCGGGAACTTGCATTTCCTTATGTTTATCGGAATCCTGTAAAGGGCCGGGTCGTTGTTTACTTCTGCCATCTGGAAAAAAAATTCCGGTTAATCTTGAAACCGCGTCCTTTTTTCGAGCATCACCTGGAAAGTCAGGCAAATTTTGGTTCCAAGGATGACAAGCTCTTTTTCCTGTAGTGGATGGTTCAAAAACGGGACGTCCTCCTCTGAATGAATGTACACCTGGAAATTTAATTCTTTGGTTCTTTTCATTTTTAACAATTATTATGAACTATTGAATTGTGGTAGCATATTCAACTGTCATGAATGGTGAATGATGAGTGTGGGAGGTTAGTGAATGAACGAGTTAGTAAGCGATTGTATGTTAGTGAATGAAGGAGTGAGTTAGTCAGGGGGTGAATTGGATAGAAGGTGAATGAGTAAGTGATTGTTCGAAAGTGAGTTAGTAGTAAGTTAGTAAATGATTGAGTGAGTGTGTCAATAACTGAGGGTGCTTCGATCGGTAAGTTGAGTGTGTGTGCATATTTGTGTTCACGAATAATCTGGATCACCGTGATGAAAAGTGATGACGATGAAAAAACAACTTCAATTGTTACTGCCAAGCTTTCGATCTATTTTAAGGTCATCATCAGGGCAAAACAATCTTAAATATGTATACATAATTAAATTTTTAATAGATGTTTTCAAAGATTCGTTAAAGACCGACTCAGTCCCAACATTGCCAAGGAGTGTAAGGATGTCACAGTCTATAAACGTATGTTTGTGATAGTGCGTTAGGAAGTGAGGGAGTGAGTGTAAGAGAGAGAGAGTGAGTGAGTGAGTGAGTGAGTGAGAGAGAGGAGAGAGGGGAGAAATGGAAGAGAGAGATAAAGGGAGAGTGAGAGAGAGAGAGGTGGGAGAGAGAGGAGAGAGGGGAGAAATGGAAGAGAGAGGTAAAGGGAAAGTGAGAGAGAGAGAGGTGGGAGAGAGAGGAGAGAGGGGAGAAAGGGAAGAGAGAGATAAAGAGAGAGAGAGAGAGAGAGAGAGAGAGAGAGAGAGAGAGAGAAAGAGAAGAGAAAGAGAAGAGAAAGAGAGTAGTTAATAGTAGTAGATGAGTTAGTAAGTGAATAAGTGAGATTGTATGTGTTAGTGAGTGAGTGTGATAGTAAATGTATGTGAGTTAGTTAGTTGGTAAATGAGTGATGATTAAGTGAGTGTGTGAGTAAATAAATTAGTTAGAACGTGGACGCTTGAGTAAGTAAATAAGGTGGGTGAATTAGTAATTGAATGAATGAATAAGTGCGAGAGTGTGAGAGAGAGATAGAAAATGAGTTAGAGATAAAGAGTTTTATTTTTTTAATTTGTGTGTGTGTGTGTGTGTGTGCGTGCGCGCGCGCATGTATACCAATGAGTGAGTTAGTGGTTAGCCAAGGAGTGTAAGGACTGTAACAGTTTATAAACGTATACTTGTGATAGTGAGTTAGAAGGTGAGGGAGTGAGGGAATGAGTGAGGGTGTGTATATTTGTGTTGGTGAGTGTGTGAGTAAATAAATTAGAACATAGACGAGTGAATGGGTGAATGAGTTAGTATGTGTGTGTTACTCAGCAGGTGTGAAAGTATGAGAGTTAGTAATTGAATGAATGAATAATTGCGAGAGTGTGAGAGAGAGATAGAAAATGAGTTAGAGATAAAGAGTTTTATTTTTTTAATTTGTGTGTGTGTGTGTGTGTGCGTGTGTGTGTACGTGAGTGTGTTTGTAAGTAAACGAGTGAGGAGTGAGTTTTTTTGAATGACTGATAATTGTGTCAGTTAATTATTATGTGTTACAGAGTGAGTTAGTTAGTAATTAACTGAATAAGTGAGTGTGAGTGAATCAGTGAGTGTTTTTTGAGTGACTGGTCAGTAAATGACTTTTTGTTATTGACGGAGTAATTGTGTGTATTATTGAGTAAGTAAATGAGGCTGTGCGTGGGTGAGTGAGTGACTGAATGAATTAGTTTGTTAGTAAGTGAACGAGTGAGTGCTGTGTTAGTAAAATATGAGTGAGGGTTAGTAAGTGAACGAGTGAGTGAATGTTGTCTGCCTGATAGAATAAATAAAAAATATTTAGAGTAAAACGATAAAATTTATACATTTATGTAATTAGTGTTATGCTATAGTCGGAAATGTCATTGTGCAAAATAAAATTGTTGCAAATGTTTTTAAGATTAATTTCATACCACTACATCTCTTGTCGTTTGAAAATTCAAAATCCCCGGCCCTGTCACCATGTTGAGTGACATCTTTCTGATTTCTGACCTTTAAAGTTTATCAAAATGTCGAATTTGTTGAAAATTTTTATTTTCTGTACGATTCACCTTTGCGTGTGGATAGAGTTCATGGTGAAGCATGGTCCGGTTTCCGTCGCTAAAAGTCGAAAGGCTTTGCAGCACTCTAACGGCTGTCCATTCCAGGTGCAGTCCCTCAACAGCTTCTGGCAAGGAAGCCTCGACTAAACCGAAATAATCATAATTCTTTAAAACACAAACATACCTTGTTTAACATATCCTCAAAGTTGTCGGTACAGTTCAAGGTTTTCTCGCAGAGATTCTGGCAGGAGTAGCAATTCCCTTCGAAATAGACAATGTCCCTAAGAAACGTCTCCAGATCCGGGTCATGGTCTTTGCCGTACAGCCTGAATTGATTTGACTGTGAAAATTATCAATCATTTGTGCAAATATATAAACATTTCTGCTTATCCGCGAGTTCAGCTACCGCTCCGATGTCCGCGTCGGACTCGCAGACGGAAATAGCTGGAAATGAAGAATTCCAATGGAGGTATGAAGTTTCTTGCACGACATCGACTGGTTTATATTTGAACCTTTGCCAGCTTGCTCGGCACCACACGACCATATAAATTGCAGCCAAAGTGCAGCTTAATATCCAAAAGAGCCTGTTTATTTCAATAATCAGAAATCAATTAACTGAAACACATTGAGAATAAAAACAAAATATGACCACAACTAGGTACACCGGAGTGTAACTGGAAAAATGGCTTGGGAAAACAAAACTCAAATACTGGACAAAAGCACTACGTATGAAGCAAGCTAAGAGATAAATCTCTGAAAAAGTGTGTGATTTTTAGTGAGCGTTAGTCGATGATTATTCGGAGATCGTGAGATGCGGTCTGGTGTGGCGTAGGTTTTAGAAAAACATTTTCTTTATCGTGAAAACGTTTCGATCTTTATTGAGATCATCTTCAGGGCTCAAAGTGTTTGTTTTCCGTGTAGGCGACGGAACTCTCTCTCAGCAGCTCAGATTTGAGGAAAATTAAAAGCTTCTATACTGGCACCCTCTTAACTACCACCTAAAGGAAATGGGCAAAGAAGAGTAAGAAATATGCCAATTTTCAGGAGGAATATCGGTACATGTTCTTTGTGGATGAGAAGCATTAGCCGGGCTACGGAACAGCCATTTCGGTAAGGGAATTTCATACCAAAACCACCGAGAAAAGTGCCTTCGGCTTATAGTAAAAAATGCACTTTCCAAATTACGAATTAATAGGGATTCGCAATGGTGGAAAGGTTTTTAAAATCCTTACGTCCAGGTGAAGGTTCGGAGGAAAAGTGATGCTTCGTGGGAATTGTGCATTTTGTGCTTGTTCCTGGTGGTCGAGTAATTGACTCTAAACTTAACTATGAACAGCTAGACAGATAATTGAGAGCAAATGGCCCACTTTGGCTAACAGAAACCAAGTCATTTGCAAAACGACAAAGTCCCTGCCCATCGTTTGCCCTTGACTTCTAATTCTATTTCGGTCGTTGGATCATTTTTTTTAAAATGGCATTCTAAATAGATTAATTTAATTAAGGTGAAAAATTGAAACCAAAAAACAAATACAGCGCACGAAATATGTATACAAAATTTGTGTGACTCGCGATTCTTCTGGAATTTCAATAAATTTAGATATTTTACAAACACGGGGCATTTTTTGCTTTTTCCACCTTATTTCATTTTGTAAAAAGGTTCATAGATCACAAATAGACACGTCAACATATGTAAATACCGCTGTGTCCAACCGATGTCCTCCACTGTATATTTCAAACCGTGGATGTTGCTGTTCTTCAGGAAGAACAAGAGCCTCCCTTTCATGTTCATGTTCAGACCTGTTTTGAACGGGGAAAATCACACCAATCCTTTTACCGGGGCTTTGATGAAGGGCTTTATCGGAAAATTGCCGACACTTTGCTTTTAAAGCCGGTTTCAAGATTGCACATCAAGGGCATTTATTATCGTAATTTAGACATTATGTGGTTTCATAACGAGTTATGTGCGTTTAAATTTTATGTCTTATCTTTATTGTATGACTACTGTATCGTTTAGTCCTAATATTTTTCTAATTATACGAGTAAATAATTGACTGAATGGTTGATTTCATTTAAACCTAAACTCGTTTTCAAATTTATACATATAAAGTTCTAATGTTAACAGTGCCACAGGGTGGTTAAATCATCATCCATTTTTTAGACGTGATGCAAGCCTTCCGATCAAGTTTGCCATCAGGGCTTGCTCTGGAAACTCAAGGGTATTCTCATCTTAAAATCCAAACTGTCCGAGAGTCTTTTAAGAACGTACGACGAAGCGGGTGATACGCAAGGCATCATCCTTGGTCCCGTTCTCTTTTCAGTATACACTGGAGCAATTCCTATATATCCCGGTACAGTGCTCACTGCAGACGGTACCGTCATACTTGCAAGAAACCCAGTAGTGATTTTTAGAAACCTTTAGGACCCTCTATCCTCTTTGGAAGGTTCAAGAAATGGAGGATCAGACTCAACGAAACCAAATCCCAGGAAATAACCTATAACTTTATTTCTCTCCCAGCAACCAATGCCGCTATTTGGGACTTTACATCGACAAATGACTTATTTGTAACCACCACACTATTTGACAACAGATCAAAACTCTCACTTTAAAGTAAACCCCTCATCGAATACATTGAACTGTTCGTTCAACCAAGCATGCCAATCTACAAAGAATCCAGTCATTCCAGTCCCTACTTCTTATCCAACCTTACCTTGTATACAGACCTTCAAATCCCATTTGTCCTCGAAACCGCCAGAGTTGGCTCAGGTGCCTTCATAAAACCCTGGACCCTCATTAAAACGCCTTACTACAACACCTTTCATCCCGAACCTCCTCCCTAATACTCCTAAAGAGCCAATGGCCTTGCGATTTCCTCCCTGCTGAGGAAAGTGTTTCATTATATACTCATAGTATTGTTTAAATTTATGAAGTGCTTCATTTAGAAAATTCCACATGGCCTTTGGCTCCTTCAAAACCATCTTTAAGCTAGCTTGCTACTATTCTAACTGGTACCCATAGAAACATGTGCACATGAAATAAATAACTATTATCTCAAGGGCGCAACTACGATAATTCGGATAACCATGCAGCTCTAAAGACTTTCCAAGCCTACGAGATCAAGTCAAACTGCCTAAATACCCAAAAACTAGGATCTGCAAATATCCTAGTGGTAAAGTGGGTCTCAGGGAGGGAATTACAGACAAGACAACAAATTACTGGATTAAAAACAAAGCCCAGGACAACATATAGGCCCACATACATTGTGGCATAAACCACAGTTATATTAAATGAGAACTGGAAACTTAACTAAAAAAGCAAAACAAAAACTGGGAAGGTAAACCAGGTACGAGACAAGCAAAAACAACCCAATTGTAGAAAGAGGAAATTCTTCTATCTGGTATATTTACAGGGCAACTCCAGTTAGGTATGACTTTAAGAAAGTGGTGTTATCATCAGATGAACAATGTCGATTACATAAGAGATTAGACTACTGAAAATATCCTGTGCAACTGCCAATAGCCACGAGAAGGTTATGGTACTTGGGAAAATGATTCTTGAGCTATATGGACCTTGTTAACATACCCCTGAAAATAATTATTTAGTTCATTAAAGGAAAATCTTCTAGGAAATCCATTAGCAGACCTGGTCAATGGGCGACAATTTAAGTTAGTTTAAGTGCTAAAGGGAGTCTCCATATGGAGAGACAAAAATGTCATTTATCCAATTATTACAGTTGCAGTTATGATATTGAGGACAGTCAAGAAATATTGTCAGATGTTTGGAACCATCAAGTTAATTTTATTGTTAAGGAATAAAAAATAAATAACTATTATGATAGTTAAAGGACTAGAGCAAAGTTAAATTTATACAAAAATATTTAAATTATTATTTGATTTTTTTTAAGCCAAGAGGCATTGCATTACAAATACAAAACATAAATTTTTTTTAAATATAATAAATGGCTCATATTGCAAGCGGCTATTGTTGGAAACAAATTATTGTTAAGAACGTTTCGATAAAATTTAATAAAAATTTATTATTTTTTTTATGAATTATTAATAGATAAAAATAAATAACCAGATATCATTATCATAGTTAAAGGACTAGAATCACGTTATATCTATACAATAATATTTACAAAAATGGCAAAAAGAGAGAAAATTCGAAAGATTTTAGGTTGAGATGAGGAGTTGGTGTCCGAGGGGATAGAAGTCACGTGGCTCAAGTGGTTAGAGCAGCGGGTATTGAGTCGAAGGCCGTGGGTTCGAATCCCGCTCGTGACACTAACTTTTTCATCTCAATCAAAACTTTAACAAGAATAATTAATTGAAATATTTACAAATTTGAATTGTTATTTGGTTTTTTAACCGAGAGTCAATAATTTGATTAAAGACTCAGTGGAAGCGTTGACGCCTCTATAACGTCGGCTTGTAGACCGTCCCCCAGAAGGTGATGGCTTGGGTGGGTTTGTGGTAGATGAAGAAGACGAAGGGTTTCGAGACCACGAAAGTCGGATGCACGCTTGCCCTGATCATAGAGACTAGAGTGATTGCGGATGCGGTTGTTCCCATTTCGTTTACATCGATTTCAGCTTTGTGTACAGCCTTGCTGACGGACACACCCTTCGCGAGGGAGCTGAGGTCCGCCTTAGAAGGAATGAAAACGTCCTTAACACCCAGCCGGTCCAGAGTCGTGTGAAGGTCGATTTCCATCGTTAACTTCATTTTCGGAAACAATATAATTGTCTGGAAAAGAAAAGTTGACATCAGCCATCATGTATGTGGTATATGCTAATTATATATATGTAGTATCTAAAGTTGAAAATGGCGGGAGGTTAAGAATATAAGATCGTCAACAAATTATGTAGAGGACTGTTGAAACTGCACCATGGTCGTTTCCGAAAAGCTCAATGATTGATGTGGCAAAATAGCACACAGGCCAACAGCTCAAGATGGAAAACCGAAAAAAAAAATTGTTCTCTTATTTTGAAGGTTAGTGTTACAAGCTTTACCTAACTTGCCAGGCAACATGACGTCTTTGATTTAAACATTAAAGAACGGAATTTGCATATTGATCGATACCGATTGATTTTAACAAGCTATAAGGACTGGTAACCTGAGTCACATAAAGATAGTTCATTTCTTATTGAACTTCGTGATTTTCTGATCGATATAGTCTAATTTGTGACATCGAAGTCTGCGAAGGGTGATCGTCTCCGAAAGACAAAACAACACACAAATTATATGGTCAGGAACAACCTTTCACGACCATAGTCCCGCTGTCCTCAATAAAAAAATCTCAAATATTTATCGATTATTTGACCCATTTGTGTTCCCCTATTAAGATAGTGGCAAGGGTTGTTAACGTTTGGCTTACCATAACTTCTCAATTTCACTTATTGAAGAAAGAAAACATAAAAAAATCTGTGAACAGAACCACCCTTCACAAAAGGTGAATCTACATGACCTCATCATTTCTATTGATGTTTTTTCCAGTGATGATGGTTTAAAAAACAAAGCTGCTTACTGATTGATGTTTGGTGTTCACGAACAATAAGAACCAATAACTTTGTGAATTTCATTTCTTATCGAAATTCTTAATTTGGTGGTTGACAGAGCCTAAGGTTGGTCAAAAAACCGAGAAAATCGGAAACGATTAGCTTAGTATGATCTCGTCTCTGATCTCGGTCTGCCTACCCTTGCTGGTCTGTCAGAATTGGCTTTTCGATGGTGGTGAATCTATAATTTGATCATTTGGAAGTTGACAAAATAACATACAGACCACCACTGTATATGGCCAAATGCCAAAACATATCCAAGAGTCAAAATCAACGAACTATATAAAACCTTTAGTTTGGACTGTCTTCGACCATCCTGGTCTGCCAATCCTTCTGTTGGATTGACAGATAGAACTGATAGATTAAGGATACTGTTGTCAAAGAAACTCACAGACCGAACACTGAAGATGGCGAAATGCAAAAACCTGTCTGACAGACCAAATTAGCAAACTAAAGAAAACCTTTAGTTTGGCCATCTTCGGTGATCCTGGTTGGTCCGTCCTTGCTGCTTGGATTGTCGGGTAAAACAAAGTTTGATCAAGCAACCAATGAAGCTGGCCAAGTGCTTAAACCTATCCGGCCGTCGAAACCGGTGAACCACAAAAAAACCTTAGGTTAGCACGTCATTCACTGTTCATCCTGGCATGCTTACTGGTTGAACTGCCAGGTAGAAGTTATGGTATCTTCGAAGGAATTGGTAAAATAACACACAGCACAACCACCGAAGATGGCGCAATGCTCAAACCTGTTTGACAGACCAAATCAGCGAGGAGAAGTGGATCAAAATGATGAAACTACCAAACTAAATGTTCATCACCTCGCAGACCTAAACAAAGGGTCTCTCAAAAGAAGATTTAAGTTAGAGTTTGTGAATAAGAAGTATTTTCTTCAGCCCACGCCAGACATAGAAAGCGAAAATGTCCGAAAGGGATAAACTTGAGTTCTGCAGCATCTCTAGACCTGACCTTAGATAGCTTTAGATTTCTATCGTTCAATAGCTCAAAAGCTTTCTTTTTTAATTAGAATTTTACAATTTGATTATGAGAGGGATTAGGGATTAGCATAAGATCTTAGCATAACACAACATATGCTTTGCAAGTAAAGGGTGAACAATATAGACCGTCAGAATTGGTTTTTCGATGGTGATGAATCTATAATTTGATCAAGGACCAGTTGACAAAATACCGTACAGACCAACGAATGAAAATGGTAAAATGACAAAACATATCCAAGAGTCAAAATCAGCGAACTATATAAAACCTTTAGCTTGGCTCGTCTTCGACCATCCTGGTCGACTATATAATAATTGAGCAGTAATACAGACTAAGCCCAAGTGCAAGATTCAAAGTTACCCAAAATCTATTCAACGAATTATTTTTTTTAACGAAAAGGAGTGATTGGATGTAGTGCAGTGTAGACAGAAAATTAATGTTAACCATTTCTTCCACTGTTCTGTTGATCAAGTCGTAGATTCGGTCGGCGGTCAGCGTTCCGATGAAAGTGTCGAGGTCACCGTCAGGAATGATGGAATACATGAGATGCTCATCACCCTTGTAGGGCAAGCCGATCATCTTGAAGCCCGCCTCCTTGTCCATCAGGAACGGGACCTTGGCCTCGTTGTGCATCATCGGGATAAGGATGGCCTCTTTGGGCGTCACGTAGAATTTCCGTCTGTGATAACCGAACGTTAGTAAACGAAAGGAAATCGATAAAATAAGTTCTAACTTAATTACATGCTTGTGTGGTAGAACGGGTACTCCCAGTTTCCATTGAAATAAATGGCGTTGATCAGAACGGCTACAGTCGATGGCGGTAATGGCTCGCCCAATACTGACTTTATACGTCCGTGAGTCCGATTTGCCACCCAGCTGTTAAAAAAGAATCATTTTTAGCATTTAACGTTATTGGGTGTATACAATACAATAACAATAAGGAAACATAATAGGATTTGCTTATTAAGCTATTAATTATTGTACTAACTAGTTAATTGCGATTGAGGGGTCGGTCCTCTTGTTTTTGAAATCGACCGAGTATACATCGCTTTTGTAGGCTGCTGTAACAATGTTTCTGAACTGGGGTTTGATGAGAAGGCCGTTCTGGATGAAGATTCCGTTGGCAAGGGCCAACTGGGAGCTGATGTTGCTCGTACCACTCTTCAGCTCGTTGAAAAACAATCCCAGCAGCTGATGGGTTTCTTCTTCCCTGCGGAATAGTGATTCGTTTAATTCGGCTGTCATTTATACGATAAGAAAATAAAAGAGCATAGCAATATTCTTTAACCTTCTTTAACGTCAAAAATGATCAATCAACCGGTTAAAATTAAAGAGCGAAATACCTGTAAGATAAGTCATCTCCTACGGGAAAACCGAGGCAGTTGGCGATCTGCTTGGCGGTTTGACCTTTCGCAGCAAGAAGTAACAGAGCGAGTGCTGAGGCGATGCTCACGGGGGCGAAGAACACGTTGGACTTCTTTTCGCTGAGGACCCTCTGCATTTGTAGTGTCATCTCGGTCAATCCGCGACCGATGTACTTCAGCATGGAAGCCTTAAGCGCTGGTTCGGAAGGATTGGCTGAGTTCGGCCCGGAAAGTAAATGGTGTAAATTTGTTATTGCTGGAGATGGTTGGCTGCCGGGTGCTGCTGGATTCTGGTGGTTTGCAGCCGGTAAAGGCTGTCTTTCGGGCGGATTTTGGTAGTTTACAGCTGGCAAAGGCTGTCTTTCGGGCGGATTTTGGTAGTTTACAGCTGGCAAAGGCTGTCTTCCGGGCGGATTTTGGTAGTTTACAGCTGGCAAAGGCTGGCTTCCGGGAGGATTTTGGTGGTTTGTAGCTGGCAAAGGCTGGCTTCCGGGTTGATTTTGGTGGTTTACAGCTGGCATTGGACGGTTAGCACTTGGAAGTAGAGAATCGTTCTTTCCCGCCGTTTGAACGACTGGTCCAGATTGGTATCGTGTCTGAACTGAATGGGCCTGGTTCGCAGTTTCTTGGGCCGGTTTCTTCGCCTCCTGCAATACCGGTGGGTAGTCCATCCCCTCGAAATATATCTTGCCGAAGGCTGAACGTACAGTCACGATGGTGAAGAGCACCCAGAATATTCTCAACTGAAACAGATTCATCACAATGACTGGTGTGTAAAGTAGCCCTACCTCTACAAACCTTACACCTTAAAACCCAGTGACAGATTTAATCCGGGGAAATACCGGATATATAATCTAGGGAAAATGATTTGTACCCTAAAACTCTCAACCTTCCCACCACTTACCAATATTGACAATGAAAGAAAGTTGCTTTTCCTTTTTATTGCCTTAAGTTACTTTCTTACGTCTAACAACTAGTATTAAATGATAGGTATTGTTATACAATATAACTAAATTTGACATTTTTTATGTCACACTATCATTAAAAATTTATCTTTCACACTCTCCCTCACAATTTCACACACCGAGATCCTCATTTCCAAAAACTTATTTGCCTTTTTTGCTACTTTTTCTTTTCACAGATATCATTGCCAAACTTGTATCTACTTCTCTCTGTTTTTCATTCCCTTTTTCTCTCTTCATTCTTTCTCTCTTTCCCTACATTCACTCACCCTCCTATCACTATTTATATTATCTATGTATTTATCTTCCAGTCTACCTACGTACTTGTGTGATCTAACATATCTTTCTAATACATCTCTTTCTTTCTCTCTCACTCTCTCTTTCTCTCTTTCTCTCTCCCTCATTTTCTCTTTCACCCTCCTTTCATTCACCCTCCTCTCACTATCTATCTTACCTATCTATTTATCTTCCAATCTACTTATGTACCTATGGAATCTAATATATCTTTTTTATATCTCTTTCTTTCTTTCTCGCTTCTTCTCTCTCTCCACTTTCTCTCTCTCTCTCTCTCTCTCTCTCTCTCTCTCTCTCTCTCTCTCTTCATTCCTTCACTCACACTCCTATCACTATTTATATTATCTATCTATTTATGTTCTAATCAACCTAAGTACCTGTGGAATGTAATATATCTTTTTTATATCTCTTTCTTTCTCTCTCTCTATCTCTCTCTCTCTCTCTCTCTCTCTCTCTTCCCTCTCTTCTTCATTCCTTCACTCACACTCCTATCACTATTTATATTATCTATCTATTTATGTTCTAATCAACCTAAGTACCTGTGGAATGTAATATATCTTTTTTATATCTCTTTCTTTCTCTCTCTCTCTCTCTCTCTCTCTCTCTCTCTCTCTCTCTCTCAGACCCACAAGCACACATGTATAAACACACTCACTGTCTGTGTTAAACAAATATATTTAGATAAACTTTTTGATATTTTTAAAATATCAGCATAACATATAAGCAAAATTGCTGTCTGAGACCTTGTAGTTTTTTTAGTATTTTTTCTTTTTAAATATGTAAACGTTATATCATTATATCTAGATAAGGATGATACGATAGGAAATTTAATAAAAAAAATCTGCTTTCATTCTCTATGCGATTAGTAAGTAACGTTGCCTGAAAATATCGCTCGCCGGATTGATTAAAGTTTAATTTATTAAAAATCTATCTCTTTATACCGACGTTAATTTGTATTATCAATTATTAATTTTTATCGTCTCTGGAATTTAATTCAAACCTGATTTGACGAAATTATCGACGGATTAAGACGTATTTTAAAAGACAAACACGCTTTATTAACAATCGGCTCGTGTTTATTCCATTTTAGGCCCAAGGATAAACTGTCGTTTATTATGATAAATTATAATTTAAACTGTTTAGATTTACTTTGATTAATTAAGCTTAATATTTGAACTATGAAACAAAAATTAATGTTTACTAGGAGAACATGAATGGTTGCTAATCCCCTCAATTCATAGTGATTGATGATTTATTTTATACAGATTGTATTAAATATTTTATAAGAAATTTTTTTAATAACTTGTTAAACACACTTCAAAGCGAGTCTAATAAGGGCTTGAAAATTATGTTCAGCCTCAATGGGACAGTGTTCCAATAAAGTGACAAGTTGGTTATGCGGAAGGTTGTGGGTTCGAATCCCGCTCGTGACACTGACTTTTTTTATCTCAACTAATACCTTACTTAAAGATTAATTAATTGAAAAAAATAAAGGAACAGGTTTCACTGGAGCAGTTCAACTGTCAACACTCAAAACGCATAAAACGCGGCTTGGGGTTCCGAATTCAAAAATAAAAACGGATCTCGTTCTTCCCAGATTTTCCAGGCTGCGACTTTCTAATATTTCCCATTACGCTTGGAAAGCCCTGATCGATAGAAATCTGCAAAGGACCGGATCAGAATTGGAGCCTAATCGAGGATTTGACTGAAGAAATCTCATGCATGATGAAGAAAGCTGAAAAGGAACGAAACCCCCTTATCAAAATGTGAAACTGAAAAAAAATTATATTTAATTAAATTAAATGATTTCTCTACTCCTTAAATAATCTTTTTTTACGATATAAACATTACAAGAATAATTATGGCTGATTATTTTCATTGATGCTATTTCTCTATTTGTCCATCCTTGAAACTCACACATTATTTTATGCAATTTCTACCTATTAAAAATTGATTATGAATTTGAATTTACATTGACGATCAAAACATCTACATTACACTTGTAATTTTATGTTCTATGTTTTGTTTGTTTGTTTTAAATTAAATGGTAAATGTACAAAAGGACCGGTTGTACCAGTGCATCCCAAGATGTCCTTGCTTCACGGCAATTATTTTCCCCCGTGGGTATTTCGAACGTGAAGTAAATTTAACAGAAAATAAAATTCCTGCTTTGTTCGTCACGAGTTTTTGGTGTGTAATTTAGTGTGTAATCTCGAACGGAGATGTAAAAAAAAGATAGATCAAATTTTTGAATTTTCTCGGTTTTTTGTTTACTTTACAGAAGTTAGTTTTGTCATTTTCAAATTTATCCAAATGATAATCAAACAAAACTTTCATGGAATATTTATGAATATGATTGATATCGATGAAATAGATAATGCATATTCCCCCTAGAAAAAGATTTGTAGTAAGTGATACTCCAAACTTAACAAAAAAAGTTAAAATCAATGTGCAGTAGGTTCTTTACTAAACTTTAAGTCAAATCATCGCTGTTTAATCAACATTAAAATAATCGAAACTCAAAAACAAACAGTGAAAACAACAACAAATCTGTTAACATATAACAATTTTTTAAAATTTCAAATTGATCTATTGTTAATCCAAAACATAAGAACGGAAGGATGTACTAAATGTACATGGGTTTCAGATAGGTACAGGGTAGTGAAATCTGAGGGGTGATAAGAGACCAGCAGAAAAGCACAATCATAAATACAGAAAATATAAGAACTTCTATGTTCAAGAATTTGCACAGAATACTTTTAAAAACCATCAGTTAATGATGAGATAAAAATGAAATTGAACTATTCTCAAATAATGTTGATAATGTATATTGATGCTAAATTTTATTAATTGTATCTATTGGTTGAGATACACAGTTTTAACATTGAATATTTCGAACCCTAATGATGTCCTTTGCGAAAAGAGCCAGCAGGTCCGGTATTTTTTTTAACAACCGTAGCTTTTAAAGTTCGCCCATGCGTGGAAAAAGCGTAAACAAAAGAACTTGAAGCTCACCTTGTCCATTATGGGAAGAAACTTGGCGAAGAACTGGCTGTGCCTCGAAAGAATCCTGACCTTAAATCTCCCCACCAGGACGAGGTCCGCGAACATGTGGGGATTTCCGTCATCACCGGCGCAATTCTGATTCAGAATCAACTCCATGATCAACGCGCAAAGGAAAAACAATATAAAAAAACTTGATTTGATCCATTTAGCAAATTTTACAAGTCGCTTCCAGGCGGCCTTGATCCTTCTGGAACGAATGGCTGAAATCTCCTAGCCGAGTTTATTTGGACTGACTTTGGTTTCATATACGCTTTTTCGTTCTTTGTTTCCTTGTTGAACTATTTGATTCATAACTCGTTGAACATGATTGTCGAGGTAATTGCTAAGAGATGTCCAAGCCCGGATTGGTTTTGGATCATGATAAGGTCCACTTAACCTAATCACCTCATTTATGACTGACCGATCGCTTCGGCCGTCTCAATTATACGCAACCTTGCTGTTTCTTTTTTTTCTGAGAAAAAAATTTAGTGAAATGTCGCGAACATATTAATTATTGATTACTCTATTCTATAGCAGCCTTCTTACAAATCATCCCCCTTTATTATATTTTTTTCTATGTGTGGCTTTGCTTTGACGAATATTTTTGACGATGATGATGGTGAAAATGGATGCAAGGAAGTCGGAGTTTTTGTTCCCCAAGCACTACAACCTTCTGGATTATTTTACTTTCCTAGATCCTTAGTTCTGTTCAAACGATTCGATCCTTCTCCTAAGGAGTACTATGTCATTGATTGTCGTTGCGACAATTAGTTTACTGGAGTTTTCTTTGTATCTCAGGTAGTGCCTTCATAGAGCGGTGGCATCGCATTCCAAGATGACATGGGTGACTGTTTCCTCCTCCTCATTGCAGCCTATAAATGAGGTCATTACTGAATATACCCATGGTATGTAGATGTTTTCTTAGATACCAGTGACCGATATATAGCCCTATCACTCCTTTGAATTTACGTAGTTTATAGTTACTGCAAGTCCGCAATGACCTGACTACCTGGACCTAAGTCAAATCCAAAGACCTGAAGAAGACATTTCACAATGAATTTTTTTTATTTGGGTCAAGAAAACAAGAAACATAAAATCGTCTCAATATGGACCCAGTTAAAATGTGAATCTTTGAATGATTTTTTTAATATGCTATAGTCAGAATTTAAAAATAGTAGAACTACCGATAATTTTTTTGAAAACCAAAAATTCGTAAGGCCAGAAAGATCTCAATTTGATCTTCTTTAAAAGACCACAGAGGTTTCATTATAATTTATGAAGCTTCATAAAAGGAAGTTCACAGTTTACCAACCAACAGAAAAAGCATTTTCTGAAACGTCTGCTCAAACTGAAAAGCTCATGGCAGAAAAAAAAATCCGGCGGAGTATCTCGAACTCTGGCAGATTATCTCTTTCAATATATTCCAGTCTTTTTTCCGGATTAAAAAAATCAATCTTTCTCTTATAATTATTTAGAAATCGTGAGATGCGGTCTGGTGTGATGTAGGTTTCAGAAAAACATTTTCTTTATCCTGCCATCATCTTCAGGGCTGATCTCAATAAAGATCGAAACGTTGGCACGATAAAGAAAATGTTTTTCTGAAACCTACATCACACCAGACCGCATCTCATGATTTCTAAATAAATATCGATTAACGGTCACTAATCACCACACATTTCTCTTATAAATTTATGAGCTGATGTGATGATTATGAATTAATCATAGTATCATGATTATGAAATAATGTGGTTGAGATAAAAAAAGTCAGTGTCACATGCGGGATTCGAACCCACGACCTTCGGCTAAATACGCCGCTGCTCTTGATCTTGAGCTATTATGACTTCGATCCACTCGGACACCAACTTCCCATCTCGACCCCGCCTTTTGAATTTTCCCTCCTTTTTGGCATCTTTCAACTTGACTTTTTATCTCAAACAAAACCTTAATTAATTGAAAAGAATTTATTTGGTCAAGCGGACCCCGAAACCTAATAAAATGTAATAAGCAAAATGAAATATACTTCACTAGAGCTCTCCGTGGTCATTTTATTTGTCGCCGAGAATCAAACAGATTACACGAATTTGAAAAATGGCAAAAAGGAGTGAAAATTCAAAAGGTGGGGGTTGAGATGAAGTTAGTGTCCGAGTGGATCGAAGTCACGATAGCTCAAGTGGTAGAGCAGCCGAAGGTCGTGGGTTCGAACCCCGCTTGTGCCACTGACTTTTTTATCTCAGCGAAAACCTTAATTAATTGAAAGGAATTTATTGGCTAAACGGACCACGAAACCTAATAAAATGTAGTTAAAAATATTGGAACCGTTACACAATCTTCGAGTTTAATAACCCAGTCTTTGTAGGAATGGGTTTTTTCGGTTTACTCATTTCACAAAAAGTCCTCCTTTTCCTGATCTTTTTCTGCAATAGTTTCATCACCTTTGTTGACCCAATTGTTGACGCAAAGATGAAAATACCCGGAATCCTTCTTCTAATCTTTATTTATTCTGGGATTAATGTTCCTGGTTAATCCTTCCCTGGAGAGCCGGCGGAAATGCAACAGCTCTTCCATCATCGCCGGCCAGGATGGGCTGGAAAAGATAAACGCGGGTGGGATTCCTACGGTGTGCCTTCGGGCAGATAAACCAAGGCCGAGGAGTATCTGCACGAGACGGGGGGCTTAAAAAAAAGTCAAAGCATTTAACCTGTTCTATTTCTTTATCCACATGACATAAAACTATACATTTCTACATAACGCCGTTTATTTATGTTGAAAAACTTATTACATGTGCATGCGACGAACACTCTCGCATACTAAAGTTGAAATGTTTAATCTCAACGAAAGCTTTGATGTTTATGAGGAAAACGTTTATTCTCGTTGATTTTATGAGTTACAAATAAGAATAAGCGCAGGGTAAAGAAGTAGACGAACTCAATGCAACTTAGAACGCTGCATCCCAAGCAGAGCCCCACAGTACCACCAAATTGGACTGAAAAATAATATAATTATATTTTTTAAATTATAAATATTAAGGTTATTAATTACTCAGGAGGTCGTTGAATGAAAAGAACACGTCTCTTTTCAACCGGCTTCTTGGATACTTAATCAGTCCGTATTTGAAATTAGTGCCGAGAAACCTGCAAAAAAAACACTTCGAATAAAATTATCCTTGATTAATCCATGTTTAGCAGACATAATTGAACATATTATTTCAATTAATTATTATTTTTATCTAAGATCTTGGTTGAGATCCCGCTCATGACACTAACTTTTTCATCTCAACTAAGACCTTAGATAAAAATAATAATTAATTGAAATTATCCTTAATCATAATAATAACCTTAATGTTAGTTGAGGCAGATTAATTATGAATTATGCTGAAAGTCTTGAATATTTTCTTTTTTACCTCTTTTATTTGTATCTACAACTGTACATGTATTATATACAACTAGGACATTGTATAATTTATTGTTTGTAGCCGTTGGCAAGAACTCTGTGAAGTCTGTTTTATTTATTTTTTATTAATATAATTTTTTTGTTTTTTTGTAAACGAGGGTTCGATCAAAGACTATTTCTACGTATGTCTGGTTCGAATGCAGGGCCGCAGGATTCGAACCCGGGACCCTTATCTTACAGCCTTACAGTGATGAGCGCCGTGTCAACGCCTAAACCGTTGCGGCTATTGTTTACGTAAAAAGGGGCAGAAACAATTGGTCTTAAAATTTTGGATTGAAAACTTTGTTATCTTTGAATATTGGAATATTTGGCCGATCCATAAACTTGGCACGCGTACATCAAAATAGGTTTGAGTAGGTATGCGTATGTTGAAAATTTTAATTGTCGGTTGAATAAGTAATAAAGCATTTTAAATCGTTTGTCGATTGTCTGTTTTTTTAAATCGAGTGTGAGTATTCCAAGTTAGTCTTCTATCAAACTTAAGTCCTAAATAGTTAACTTTGAACTTTGAAAAATAGGTTCATTGTATAAGTGATATGTTTACTTTGAGGGGTTAAACTTTATTTTCAAAAAATTTCTCCATTTTTCAATAATTGATGTGTAGTTTTGTAACATAAGTGAAGCTTATGTAGACGAGGGATGAGTTGTTAATATGGCGGTGTCATCTGCGTATGTGGCGGTAAGTGTATATCAGATGTAAAAATTGTGTCCAACAGCGGTGCCAGTATTGACCCTTGTGACACACCTTCAAGCACTTCTTCCATCCCAGAAGTCTCCGTACCCTGGTTTACTGCGAAAAAACTCTCTTTAAGTATGATTGTATAATCAGATAATAGGCTTTCTTGAATAATTAAAAATATCTCGGTTGAAGTACATGCTACGTGGAAAATTAAGACAGCTGACCTAACGCTTAAAAAAAGTACAAATCATACGTTTAATAGCTAATAACTTTTTATTTTCTTACTCTTCTTATTTATTTATTAATAATATACAGCAATACAAAAAATTTTAAAATATAAACGCTATCTGTTATCAATAACGACTCTCCTCTAATTTCCAATCCTTGTCTGAAAAACCGCATTTCATAATTGATTTTTCTTGCAGTTCTTGTTTTTATGATATTTTGCATATTATAACCTGCGTTACATTAGGAAAATTATATTTAAATAAGTAGTCAGAAATGTTCAGGTACTCACCATGGCGAGAGGCTGTCTCCGTGTATTGAATAATTAACGTCATTGCAAGGAGGGACGCATTGACATTGTTCTTTCACTCCGTCGTGTAGCAGCTTAAGCAGTCTCTCTTGAAGAAGAAAAAAAACTGCTTAATTAACTTCATTTTGCATTACACTGACACTCCAGGATGGCCGGTTTCTCTCATTAAGGAAACAAACCTTTATATTTTGCGAGACAAAGCATGCCGTTGACGTCGCATATTTTCAAATCTGAAAATTTCAGGTTTAAATAGTTTATGAAACGTTCAATAAATGGTAGAAAGGATTTGCTTTGTTAACCAGTTTTCCTGTAAAAATAAGGGACGCAACCGCAAAGCCTGTTGGCAAGTTTCATCCTGCACTCGATTCTGCAGAGTTTGTACGTGTAGGCTGGGCTTATCTTCAGATTGCCTTCATCGAGGAAACGACACTTTCTCTGGGATATTCTGAGGCTTTTCGTCTGCTCTGTGGAGTATATGGTCAAAGCAACGAGGTCCAGCGACTGCAAAGTGTTTGTCCCATTTATCATATTTTTCTAGACCTCTTGGTAAAATACTAACAATAAAACCTATCCGTGAATTATATAAAAAAATATAGAAAAAACAGACAAGTTTTAGTGTAAACAACAGCCAGTGTTGATGTGGAGCTCTTGAGCGCCATGGACTCTCAGAGAGTGCTGTTAGGAGTAACCGTGGCGGGTGTTGATTGGTCGGTGGTTGTGGAGGCTGATGTTGATAGACGGTACAGCCTCGGGCACCTGTTAAAAGGACTATGCTGCTTGTGGCTTATATTGGTGGCCTTCACTATTAGCTATGACATCTCTTCGACGAATCAGTTTTAAGCCAGTTAAGCCCTTGCTTGTAGGCAGGCTGCATGTTCATTGTTTGTTGTATGAAAGGCAGAAGCATTGTGAAGTAGTGGTGAGACCCGGCGAAAACTTTAGTAAACCACTAAAGTCCAGCTCAATGGTGGAGGCTGTCCAAAGATAAGGCCAATGGGATCTAAGAGTGGCGTGTTCGCAGAATCATAATCAATTCAGGTTTAGCATTTTAATGACCGGGGTCATATAGTGGCCTTCAGGATGACCAATGTTGTAGTATTATGGTGCTGTTGAGTACCGCGGATTCGGGCAAGCGACGGATGCGAGCCAAGTATTTTTCTTGGAATCAGAAGGTCCTTAAATCATCCATAAAGGGTTATTCCTGTGGTGCAACGCCATATAACAGTAACACACTCAAGAAAAAAACGGATGGTTGCACGTAGCTTGCCATTTAAAGATAGAACCATTTGGATGCCACAGAAATTAAGAAACCGCATCTCAGTGATTTGCATGCAAAGCGCCGATATGACAATCCGTTTCGTAGTAGGTTTGTGACGGGGACAAGAAGTGAATCTTGAATAATAAATTTGTATAATTGGGAAAACCCAATGGAAGGGGGCTTGACCTAAGCTAATTAATTCAAGAGGCGGACTTCACCCAAAAATATTTTTCCTCATAAATAGATTGTCCGACTAAAGAGGAATGCTTATTTGAACTGCTCCTGAGAACGTAAAGTTGGCCGTTATGTCCTAGCTTATGTCCTAGCTCTCCTGGCCGGTCTGTCAGTCGCGTTTCACAATCTTCAGTAGTGGTTCTGTGTGTCACCTTGTCCTCCGGAGGTGATCAACCAACTTTACCAGGAGGGATTAGGGCTTTGTTAACAATTAGCAGAACTAACACTGAACATGGCGAGATGGCGAAAATAATTGGTTTCTTACCATGTAAAACTTGGGAGGTGACTCTCTAGAAGAGCTCGCTATTTCTGCAACCTCTGAAGGGCTATGGACGAACACCTTAAGAAATAAAATTATTTTTACCTTCTTTAACTTTTGTAATGGTGGATTGTATTTACTTTGAATCCGCTGTTCATCTCCATGACTTGCGCGAAGATATCGCCTTCCAAAGGGTTCCCCTTGAAAAGATCTCCAACCTCGACGAAAGTGAAATTGTTCTGCCTCCAGTACCTTGACAATTTTTGTCATTATTAATTATACATGTACACAGTTATTTTTTTTAAAGTTACTCAGGGTTGTTGTAAATCGCGACTTGTGAGTTGTACGAGTAACATAGGCCCAGCTCTGTGAATGTAGGAACGAGATCGGCCGCATCCGAGTTGCTGTTGCTCAGTACGTATCGAAACTGTAGCTTCGCGTCCAAAACTGCATCCAAATAATTCTCAGGCCTGATTGCCGGAGAGTAATTTTCCATTTTAGCGAAATTCGTATATGTAGCGTTTGAGAGGTCTCGAAGCCAACGTTCCGCCTCTGTCGCGTTGTCCGCACTTGGAAACCTGGAAATGAGATTTTTGCAGTAACGGACTGATTTCTTCAGAAGGTATTACCATTTAGAGACAACGTTCTCTATGTCCTCTTTGGTCTTTGTCTTCGGACAAATGGTACTCGCGGGGAAAGTGGTGTTCCATTCTTTGTAATTACGTTCCAAAGAGATGACCGTCGGATTCTCCTCGAAGCGGTGCATCGTCGACTGGCAAAGCCAAATCGCTCCATATAGGCCGCAGATGGAGGTTACAATCCAGACCACGCTGCACAAAAATCAAGTCGAAAGTCTCATTTAGGCGATTAGGAAACACCTACTATAAAAATGACCATGAGTACTACTCAAAGAACTCGTTAATTGCACATGATTTTGGTCTAACTTCCTGTTTTAAGAAATAGTTAAAGGTCTGACCATTTGGTCATTCTTTCTGGGAGTATGTGAGAAATTCTTTAATATTTAAAGAAATCTTTGCAATAGAGAGCAATAACTGTATTTTTATCATGAGCAACTGCACAAAATATGTGCCATACTGAAAATGACGAAATGTCAAAACTCAAGTGATCAGGTCTGATTTTCTTAAAGAAACCCACCTGTGATATATCTATTTCTGAGTAATTACCATAAAAACAGAGCGGTGATGTGTACAATTGTGAAGCAGGCACAATATCACTAAATAATTTCTTTTCAGCTTTAAATTTGTCTTTTTTTTATTGAGATTTTTTGTTTGGCCTTGCGGATTTTCTCTTGGGGTCATTTATATCATCAACATGGGTTAAGGGTTTTATTCGTGAGGCCCAATACAAACCTCTCCACCAATACAATCTTCAGTTTCATTAAAAAATAATGAGAAAAGGATGTGGCTGAGAGAACATCCTTGTGCTTCTTCCCTCCTTAGACCAATCATATCCTAACATAGTTAACTATACTAACTATACTATACTGTTAACTATACTAACCACTAGGGAAGGCCAATCATTCGCTCAAGGTTTCTGATAAATAGAACCACCTACGACGGCATCAAACCCTAGGTACTCTCTAGGAGTCTCGCCAACGAACCACTACGAATCCAAACCCAATAGCAAGCTAAGGGCTTGGAAATTGCTTGCGACCAAAGTTCAGTTGGTCCGTCTCAACTCTTTTCAGACAGGATCTATTACACTGACCCCCAGTGAGACTATTGCGCACCCACCGTTTGTTCACCTACGATTTCTGCACCATTATTTTTCGCCTGGGAACCCCTTCCTTGTAACCCAGGGTTGAGACTAGGATTCGGGAGTAATCTAGGACGCAAAGGATTGCGAAAGGGTTGTCCGTGAATATGAAGCTCACCTTTTCAGGTTGCCCCTCATACCCCGGTTCATTCCTGTTTACGCAGATCATCATCATCGTCATTATCCATTCAGAGAAAGAGTTATCGGCCATTGCTTTGAAGCCTTGCTGGCTTCAAACCTCCCTTTTTATGGAGACCGACGGTTCGTAGGCTTACCCCTTCGGCTGGCGACCATTCCTCAGCCGAAGGTCCACCTGCTCCAGACTGTATTTGCTACTCTTCACGGTTTTTTCTCTCTTTTTTTTATTGTTCGATCCCCCGAAGAGAACCTTAACAGTGGCGGCCTCATAAAGGCTGGAAGTTGCATACAAGCAAAGGTCTAAGATTATTTTTCCAGTCTTCTAATGATATATTATCATAGATAAAATTTACAGTTTCAAGTGAATTAATTCTTCGCCAAAAATTTTTCTCTTTTTGTTTTTATTGATCTGAGTTAAAATCATGGCAAAATAGTGTTTTTACTTACTTAAAAAATACGGTCTCAAATTGCTTGTTTTTATCCAAATATACTAATTTATTACTGATTACTTTTTTTTTATACTAGGTTAAAAACACATTAAATGTGTACCCAAAATTTCTTGCCAATGTGGCCTAAGTGCCTATAACTTTTTAAACACGGTTTTCTGTCTTTTGTGTGATTGCATTTCAACTAATGCATATATTTCATTATGTATCAGTCGATTTGGTTTTTATCTAGGATAAGAAAATAATATACACGATCGAATAATGAGATCAGGTACATAAAAAGTTTCATAAACAAAAACGTCGTTTTCAGTAAAATAGGTAAAAAATTATTTTTGAAAACAAAAACCTATTCGGATTAAGTGCCCTTAAAAGCCATTAATATGAATTTTATAGCAAACATAAAGGGCATCGTACATATTGGATCAGCCGGCGCAATATTCCCCCCGCTGTTTAATGTTGTTCATAAAAATTCATATTTCTTATGGATTTGATCCAATGTCCACGGTATTTATTTTATTTGAGTCTATACCAACAACCTTTGGGTTTTTTGCCAAAAAGTAAGAGAGGTAAGGGTGAAATCAAGAGTCTCTTCTGTGATAGAGGGCCCTCGTAGGACCTCACTCGTAAAAGAATGGTCATCCTCACCCGATTAACAATAGGCCATGCAAGGTTGACACACGGACACTTTTAAGCCAAAGCCCGCGTATGACAAGGTTACTCGATGGTCCCACATAATTGAAGGGTGCAATTCCTTGGTTACATATAGAAAGCGCGTCGGATTGCCACACGATATGAGAACTGTACTTGAACACGGCAGCGAGTATCTGGCATCCATCTTCCGATTTTGGAAAAACCATGGTTGTTTTGTTGTAGATAGTGTAGGGCCTTTTCAGGATTGAATCGGATAAAGAAAACGTAGACTTTTCGTTTTCAAACACACGCTCTTTATTCTCTATATACATAAGCACTTGTAACCAATAACCTTCTTAGAAGTGACCAACAGATTTAAGTACGTCACTGTCTGACGTCACCTTGGCGCAACTTTCAAATTTATTCTCCTACAATTGTAATGATACTTAGCGTGTGTTGAGAGTGAATGTATTTATTAGCGTGATGTATGTATTAGTGAATGTGTAGTTAGAGAGTTGATGTTGGAAAAATTGAGTTCCCATCGACCCTCGATTAGGTAAAAATAGATGTAACGCGGGTGATGGAGGAATATCGTGTACATACCCTTACTGAGTAAATGTTATGTACATAACTGATAAGTTATTTAAGGGTGAGTGAAAGTGCGAATGGGTTTGGATTTTAGGAGCTGTTTGTGTGGGTTGAAATGACCTGCTGTTATTATCCCCTGCTGCCCAACTTCGGCGGCTGGAAGGATAACAGAGGTCTGACCCCGAACTGCCAACTCAAAAGCTGGAATTGCCGATGGACCGCGTCATAAAATGATTATTTATTTTATTTCACCAGATAAGAATTTGCTCTTCCTTTTATGGGTTCTTTTGGTGTCTTTGTAAAGTTAATTAAATTTTTTTTTTAGCAAGAGACAAAGTTTGTTTTTTGAAACGACTCCACTGATCCACGTGAAACATAAGGAGTGTAAGTAAGCCCGATTACTTCATGTAATGGCATAACCGGCCTCCATAAATACATTATAGCCGGAAATATAAAATAAAACGTTTCGGGAGTTTTTGTTGATGTAATCACTTGATGACTCATCACGATGACCGTATGGTCTATCTAGACCTTGTTGACATAGGCTGAAATAAGGGAGATTAAGCGTTTCGGCTTGTCTTCATCCTCAATAGAGGTTCTGTGGTTTATTTAACCTATAGGTTACTAATGTAACTATTTTTACATTTACATTTATTTACATTACATTTACTAATGTAACTAACAAAAGCTGATTTTTCCCAACGTATTCTGGTTTTTTCTTGGCGGAACAATTAAAAAAAAAAATTTAAAAATCCACAAGGAGCGTTTACTGAGCCTATATTTTTCGTTTTTCGTGAAATATTAACAAAATCATACAAATAAACTACATACAAACTAATAAAATTCCATTAAACTTTCATTTTCATTGCCATTTTTTCACATATTCGCACAAACTCTCGGCTACTCAAAAAATTGATACTTGAAAAAAATATTTCTTAACAAGGCTGAATAAGTTACGATTAGTATGTATTAAAAAATTTTATTGATTTTTTACGAGGGTTTACAACAACAGAGGTCATATTAACCCTCGGGATATCGGTGTTTTTGAAAAAAAAAAATTTTGTTTTTTGTAAATAATTGCAGGCCGCTAGATTCGAACCCGAGACCCCATATAATAAAAAATTATTGAATCTTTTGGTTTCAATTTTTCACGTAAAACATTGATTATTCATGCTTAAATCAAACAATCGTTTGACCTCATGAAAAGATTATTGCATCGATTCCAACAATATATAAATGTTATTCACTTTTCTGTATTGCACAATTGCCTTACATCTATAGGAACTATTATTTTTTTCAAAGACAAACAAAAGTGTAACGATATTGTCAGGATAAGCTAAACCAAATATGACAACCTGATTGAAAATTTCGTCAAGTTTGACTTACGTCTCGGAAGGGTGCCGGTTCCTCGCGGCGATTTGGGACAGCCCGTGTACGGACGAAGTCCTTAGGACGAGCCGGACGAAGTCCATGGCACCCTGGGCGAAAGCATTCCTCGTTGTTTTTCTCCCCCTTCCACGCAAAGCCGGCGAATTTTTCCTATCCCCGGCAAGTCCAGGGTTCGCGTATCTTCGAGTGTTTCTTACCACTAATTAAAAGTAAATTTATTTTATAGTCGTTATGAACTTTTAACATCCAATTTTAGAGACAGATCGGAAATTAAGTCTCATTGTAAGGCTTAAAAACGTACAGTATAGAAATTTTTAATTATAGAATTATAGAAAATTAGGTTCAAATAGGCACAAACAACAATATATTCTCAAAATAAATAACATTTTTAACATAACATAAAATTTTTGGCTCTTTCAATTTCTAATGAATGAGGTTCTGATCACCCATATCAAATTCAAAGTTGAAGCAAAAATTAATATATTTTGTGCTGAAACGTATCTTACTTTTGACCTGCTGATGTCGTGCTGGAAAATGCGGCGAGCAGGAATCGGCAGTTGTAACGCTAATATGAAAAAAATTGCTGCTCGTTCATATTTAGCATTTTTACTGATGATTTCTATTGTGACTACTTTTTTTCTTTGTGTGTGTTGTACTAAAAAAATTATTTAAATCGTTTCTGTCTTGAGTATTCGTAATCTGATTATCTCAATTTTCCCTAATTTCTTCCTTCTCAGCTTATGATTTTTTCGTCCATCTGATAAAATCTGTGAGATCGGCCTTACTATAAAGTAGTACACAAAATTATGTAGTACGATAGTTGATAAAAATTTGATTCTGCGATGTCATTTGTACAGGATTCCGAAAAGAGATCGAGTTTGGACTATATTATTAAGTTTATTTTCCACTAAGTGTACCACAAGAATTAAGACGTGCAAATAAAGTAACATTAATTATTGCATCTTTGTAATATAAACAGGAAAAGTTGTAATGTGAGAAAATAAAATATTTCAGCGAAGCTTAATAAGCTGCAGCCCAAGAACAATCCTGCTGTACCGCCAATCGAAACTGAAACAAATTAAAAAAGAATTTTAAATTTTAATGAAAAATACAATTATTATTGCAATTACATTAGGAGATATATTTAAAAAAAACTGTTATATGACCTACAGCTCTTAACAAGATAACTGATTTTATCAGCACGGAAACAGTTAAGAACTTGAGGAAAAAGAGACGTTGAAGGTTGTTTGCTCGTTTTGTCAGGGTTTAACGTCAGCAGATGTAGATGATCCTAAAGATTTCGATGACATAATAGAAGATGATTCACGTATGTTCAGATTCTACAACAGTTCATTAGTTCCACTTAATAAAATGAAACGAACGCACACTCTTTAATAATCATTCACTTACACAAAGAAAACACATACTCACCCACACCTAATCACTCTCACACAATCATCACTCTTCATTCATGGCATATTTTCATTTGCTACAACAATTCATTAGTTCATAATAACTGTTTTTGTTAATGAAAAGAAAAACAATGTATTTTCAGGCCGTTCGTTCAGAGGAGGATGATGTTTCTGAACCATCCACTACAGGAGAAAGAGCTTGCCATCCTCAAAACCAAATTTGCCTGGCTTTCCAGGTGATTCTCGAAAAGAATACGCTTACTAGAAGGTTAACCTTTTTTGCCAGATGGCACAAGTAAACTAAAGTAAAGTATCAGGATTCCATTCCAGAAGAAGAAGGAAATGTAAGTTCTCGAAAGAAGATTGTACGATCCTGTACCTACTACTCACTACAACTATTACACACAAACACACACTCGCTGTCTCACTAACTCACTCACACATTCACTAACTCACTCACCCATAAAATTCACAGGCTGACTCACTCTCACTTAACATTCACTCACTATCACTTGCCCTCTCATTCTTTTTTCTCACTCTCCCTCTCCCTCCAACTTTTTTCTCTCTCTCTCTCTCTCTCTCTCTCTCTCTCTCTCATATATATATATACACACACGCCCGCATAAATATTCATTCCCAAACCTCTTTCTCTTTTTTCTCCTTCTCCCAATTTTTCATATTCTCTCTCTCTCTCTCCCTCTCTCTTATACACACACATACTCAATTCCCTCACTAACTCACATTCACACCTCCCTCTCTCATTCGCTTACTGACACACTCTCACTCACATTCACTCACTAACTCCCTCACTCACCTTCTCACTCCCTCCCACTGGTAATCATTCCCTCTCACTAACACACATTCACACACTCACCTTCTCACTCCCTGTCTCATTCGCTTACTGACACACTCTCACTCACATTCACTAACTAACTCATCCACTCACCTCTCACTCCCTCTCACTGATACTCATTCCCTCCTATTTTCCCACGGTTGTGCTGTAAGTTGGACTTATCGGTAAATTATTATTTAAGAACTTACCCAGCAAATCGGACCAGCCGAATATAACATCCCTTTTCAGCCTCATCTTCGGATATTTGGTCAAGCCCCATTTCAAGTTGGTGCCAAGATTCCTTTTAAAAAAATTCAATTTATTATAAATTATGCATTGATAATTATGAATAGGGCGATTACCAGGACATGGTGTTGTCAGTGTCGACAAGAAAGTTGTCTTCGTTACATGAAGGAACGCAATCGCACTGGACCTTCGCCTCCGTCACAGGATCTCTCAGTTTTATAAAAAAATCTATTAAAAGAGAATCGGTTTGTTTAATTTTATGAAGTAGGCATGATTAAACAAAAAAGCAAATAAATTAAATTTTAACGATACAAGGAAAATCATACCCTCTACTCCAGTTTAATAAGATACGCAACAAAAAAACGAGCTGAACTTAGGGTTTACTTATTTATTTGTGCCTTCTTCTGTGGCACAATTAAAATTACACATTCGCATATTTTTTCCGTCGAAAAACATTGAATCATGGACCTGTAACCTAACCCTATCTAACCTAATTCTAACATAAAAATTGTACTTAAAAATTGTACATCTAATCCAAAAACTTATCCATTAATATTATATAATAAAGTATAAATATGTTATGTACAAATTAATTAATTAAATACCTCGATGTTTCTTGACGCATGCCAAACCTCTTGAATTACACACTTTCGTCTTCCTTCCTACAACAAATTGCACTGTTTTGTAAATAAACACTGCATTAGATACGAAAGTAAAAATATTATTAAATCCATTAGATTTGGTGGTCCGATTAACCAAGTAACCTCTTTTAATTAATTAATCTTTATGTAGGGTATTGGTTGAGATAAAAAACGGCAGTGTCACGAGCGGGATTCGAACCCACGACCTTTGGCTAAATACGCCGCTGTTCTACCACATGAGCTATCGTGACTTCGATCCACTCGGACACCAACTTCCCACCAAGATAAAAAGTTGGTGTCCGAGTGGATCGAAGTCACGATAGCTCATGTGGTAGAACAGCGGCGTATTTAGCCAAAGGTCGTGGGTTCGAATCCCGCTCGTGACACTGACTTTTTTATTTCAATCAATCCCTTACATAAAGATTAATTAATTGAAATAAATATTATTGTTCAAAATAACGATAGAACAAAACTTCACTCTTGTAATACTTAGTTTGGACGTTTCCTATCTTTTTGGTCTATCCCCACTGTTTTGGTCTGTCAGTCGGATGTTATTTTAAGGCGGTTCAAGAAAACGATTGTTTTAACACTTACCCATGTGACGGTAAAAGTGTGGAACGCAGTTACACATGGAGATCATTTTTTTCACCCTGCAGTCCATTCTGCACATGTTGTACGAGTAAACGGGGCTGATGGCGAGATTCGATTCCCCTGGGTGCCTGCACTTCCTCTGAGAGATCGTCAGCTCTGCAGCCGCTTCCGTACTGTAAATGCTTTGGGCCGTCACGTCCAAAGTTTTGTATGAGTTGTTCTCCGCTCTTATATTGGCGATCGCTGCGTCCGGCACCTCCCAGGGTCCGTGTATGAACAGCTGTACATTTGAGAATTCTTCATTTGAATTTCGATAAGCTCTTAATGTCATTACCTCATAACCAGTGTTCATGTTCATGAGCTGTGCGAAAATATCCCCGTCAAGAGGACTTCCTTTGAATGTCTGAATGTCTGGTTCAAATGGGCAATTGTTTGTCTTCCAACACCTAAAAGTATACAATTAAAACTGCTCAAACCAAATTTGTAGATGTCTTACTTTGGACTGCTGTATTGTGCAATCGCTGAGTTATAAACGTAGCATAAACCGCTCTCTGTAAAACTCTTCGTCATTTCCAGTACGCTGTACATGTTCATATTGCTGTTGCTGACGTTGTACTTCAAAACCAGCTTGACGTCTTCGAGTAACTTCCAGTAATCTTTCGGTTTGATGTGGATGTTGTCACCGTTTAGCTCGTTGTTTATCAGCGTAGTGTTGACCAATCCTTCTATGAAGAAGGTCAAACCGTCTTTGTCTTCTACGTGTTTAAAGCTGAAAACGAATGAAATCATTAAGGGTAAATTAATTTAAATTTAGGTGTGGAAAAATACTTTGTTTCGACATAGGCGTCAACGCTCTCCGATTCGTATTTCATCAAAGGGCAGAGAGAAACCGCTGGGAAGTTTGTCCTCCACTCTTTGTAGTTGCGTTCGATGGACACGACAGTCGGATTCTGCGAGAAACGATACCAAGTCGACAAACTCAACGAGGTTGTCCACCACATCGCAGCCACCACGACGATCACCCAAAACAGACTATTTGAAAAAACGATAGTAAATCTCAGGTGTATGAGTCTCGCACGCCCATATTTTCTCCGCTTCACGGAAAAACATTGGATTATGGATATGAACCTAAACGTAACCATAATCCTAATATTAACACAAAATAACCTAATCTACCCGCCTCTAACCTTGTCTCTAATCCTAACCCAACCCAATCTAACCTAACCAAGGTCAAATTGGCGCTGGGCTTGTAAATAACAAACATACACGGTTCAAGATACAAAAAACATTACTACCACTAATCGCAAGTACCCGTAAATTCTATAATAATAACCTATAAACAAGTGATTCGCGCGTGCTATAAAGTGCAACAAACTTTAGTAGTGAGTTTGCAATTAAAGTTTCCACCAGGCGCACTGCTGGAAGTCACCACTACTTCGACAATGCTTCAGCCTTGTCAATAAACGAAATAATCAAATAATCATCGTTTTCAGAGGATGAAGGTTGTTTAAGTAGAATAATATTCATCAAATTATTCACAAACCAGCCACTGAAGACTATGATGATGAGAGACGACCATGTTTGTCAGTTTATTCATTGTTTCCTGTTTTTTGCTTTATTCAATTTGGTCGTACAATTGGCTACTCGTTGACAATGTTGTCAACAGCCCAGTCCGTTATGTCGTCTGTTCGGCTATCTAGTCTGGGTCACATAGGGTCCATTTGTATTTTTCCCTGAATACTTACTTACTAAAAATATATTACTGAAACATTTTTCTTTATTCATTAGTGTCATTTTTTCCCTTCTGGATGTCAGCGTCAAACTGACAATTCAATGGACACAACAAATAACGACAAAGAGCTGATCTTCCCAGCCAATCTTGTAACCTTCAGGCTGTTAAGAGCCCGATTGCAGATTACTTAAAACAACCTGCGGTGTTTTCTTTACAATCAATATTAGCACGTTTTTCTAATTATTTTTATCCCAAGATTCATATTATAAAGTAGACAGTTGCTGATACACTTTTAGATTTTTACATAAGAAGAACAAACTAATTGTCTATTTCTGTAAAAGATTTTTTTTTAGAACAATGCATTTATTAAAACAACAATGTCGTTTCATTCACGTATTTACGTACTTTTCAGTCGGGTGTCTATTTTTAGCCACGATGTGGCTAAGACCATGGATTGATGATAAATTTTGTTATGGAGGTTGTAAAGTTAATTGATTATTATTAATTTGCATTCACCAATTATATAACTTTTTTATTTTGTAGTTACTTATGGAGTTTTTGATTTAAAAAAAGAACAAATATAGAAATGAAATTATAACTAAACAATCGGTTTATTATTGTGAAAAAAAATATACATGAACAATATAATTTCTTATGATAATTATCAGTAATATCCTAAAGTATTAAATTTAAATAAATTAAAAAAAAATAATTTTCTCTTTTTTATATATAACCTCCTAATAATTTTTTTTGTAAATTCAAAACTAAAGATTTCCTTTTTTACAATAAACGTTTTAATTAAAAGTAAAAATTTAACTTACAATCAAAATATAATTATGAATCAAAAAATTAATTTTCTTCCTTAATGAACAAACAAAATAGATCCTCTTCTTCCGAATGAGTATTTTTTTTATGGCTCACCGTTGATAAAAATGTTCCCTTATTTTGGCCGATGTTCACTGTACTGCGTTCAGCGTAAGACTCCCTTCCTCTTCTGTTTTTCTCTTGATCCTGTAGGTCCAGTAGGGCAGCGTTGATTGTCCTTGTTGTTACGTAACAATGTGCTGATGAAAAGGACGACGTAATCTTTCGCGTCTGTCAGAAAGCTCTTGCAGAAGCTTTTCTTCTTCGCGACCTTCACCTGCGCCTGCATTCTACGGGATTTGTTTCCAGAATGGAATTAATCGCTTGTCTGCTAAACAGAGTTGAATATTTAATGAGCCGATACGCGATATAACGCTTGTTTATTTCAGCATGCATTCAATGAGAGCTGGTTAATGATCATGCTCCGCTAAAGCGAGGTTATTGATGTTTTCCATCGGGGAAGGGGGTGAAAGTAAAGATTAAGAAAGAGACATTAGCAATAATAAAATATTTAGGTCTGCATACATTGACAATTGCCTAACAAACCAAAACTAGGATAGGTTACTTCATCCTAGCTGGTACGTCAGATGATTATTAGATAGTCAGGATGATAAATTGATAAATTACTAAACTACATGTTCACGTAAAACTATCATCAGTGCAATGGTTCAATTCATTCCTGAAAACTTTTAATGTTCAACTTTTTTGTCACAGCTATCTATAAATAAGAAAGAAAATACATTAGTTATATATATATATTAAAACCTTTTATCTTATGACCATAGTGTGTAATGAAGACGATCAAACAAAATGCAAATTGTTCAGCAAAAAAGAATATATTTTTGGGCTGTATACACATTTTTTTCTTGTTGGGGAGAGAGAGCAATTGTGTTGGATTAGGTAGAGTGCGCGCTGGTCGGTCGCAATAAAATAAAATCCGAAATAAAGAACTAAATTGTCAACGGTTTTCCTGACTTTTTTTAAAACCAAGATAGTTTTACCTAAAACTTGTAATAACTCTGGCCAAAAGTAAAACATAACCCTAGTCTATTAATTACCAACGGGGCTTCGTCCGAACCCTGGATGTTGTGTCGCATTAAGGATGTGGGAAGTGGCACTCGCGTTGTTTTGGACGCGATATTTCTCAAAACGCAAATTAAATTCTTCTTGAAAATAAAAGAAATAAAACTGAAGTAAAATAACTGTTGGAGTCTAATAGTGGACAGTACGGAAACGATTCGGAAGCGAACAGGACTAGTCAAAAAAGGAAGGATTATGGGGATGAGAGCAGAGTTAGGATATGATTATAGCGGTATTTGGGGGATAAATAATTATAATTCGCGATATTTGGCACAAACATCTAGTTTAGATTAGGTTGAGTTTGGAAGGGATGGTCAGGTTAGGTTGGGCTGGGCAAGGTAGGAATTGTTAGGTTATGTTGGGTTGAGCTAGGTAAAAATGGTTAGTTTAGATTAAGTTGAGTTAGATATGAATTTTTAGGTTAGGTTGGGTTAGGTAGGAATGATTAGTTTAGATTGGGTTGTGTTAAGTAGGAACTGTTAGGTCAAGTTGGATTGGGTTAAGTAGGAATTGTTAGATATGGTTGGTTAGGCAGGATAGGATAAAGGATCAGTTAGGTTACACATGATTTAAGGTTTCCTGGGAGCCGGGAAAATATACAAGTGCAAAGCGCTAGCTTTGTGGTCCAAATGCGTTATACTTTTTTGAACTATAGAAAATCGTAAATCACAAAAATTGAATTTTTATCTCCTGCTATGAAGAAATTAACTACAAATTTAAACATCATTTTCCGCAAAATAAAAACAATTTTGCATGAAGAGTGTAACCTTGGCTCCTTATATGGAGCAGATAATTATAGGTAAAGACATGAAGATAGTTTTTGAGTACAATACAACTTTCTCTACACCCTGTTTTGTTTTTCTAAGAAAAAATATTCCTTCTATTTTATCTAGATTTTTATTGCTTAAGATTAGTACTTACTACTTGAGATTAGTATCTTAAGTAGTAATCTTTCGAGAAGTGCTGCCTTGGGTCCTTATAGGGAGCAGATAATCATGCCACCCGATATGAATATTGTTCTTGAGAACAACAGTGACTTTTCCTAATTCCTGGCTAGATTCTTTTTTGGGGGAGAATAAACTTCTTTCAACCTATATAGTATCTTGTCACTTTGGGTCAGTGAATGTATTTACTAGCAAGAATGCATTTCGGGTGGGTATTAAGTGCCATATTGACCCTTACATAGGTTAACTGTTTACTTTGTCCTGTTTGCGTAACATCGAGTAATCATACTGCCTTCTAGCAATCCTATTACACAAAATGTCTGCTTCTATGTCTTGTGCGTATTTTTTAACATTAATGAATGACAAATCTTTATGATTGAATCGGGGGAATTCCGATCTTCTGGGAAAAAACGCGCATTTCAACGAACTAATTTATGTAGTTTTATAACTATTGTCTATATAAAGCAACAAATCTGATAATAAATTTTTTATATAAGCTTGGGTGTTTTATCCTGAATGTTTTTATAGTTGTAAGGTCCTGATTATTCTAATAATACCAATATATATCACGAGTTCTAAAATAATCTGTGTTAAACAGAAAAAAAATTAAAGAATTCAAAATGAAATCGTAGTGTTCCTATGTGTCCTCGTCCTCTTAGTAAATAATACCTTTAAATTAACCTAAACGTAAATAAAGTTCAAGTCAACAACCGACAAATCCTAAATCAGAAGAGAAGAAATTTCAATAATGGTACTTCAATGCCAACAAATAGTCAACATGGAAAAAAATACGAAGTTGGGCAAATTCCATCTTACTAATTGGCAAAGCCTTAAAAAAAGGGGTCCGCCCTCGATTTTGTTCAGTGAAAGGGGTCCGCTGGCTAAAATGTTAGGGAAGCCTTGATCTAACAGAACTAATCCAATGACCACCTGGAAGCTGTTTAAAAACTTAGCCTTCGTAAAACGACAGACGTAGAACTATCTACTTCTATCAATCTCTGGTACAAAGCCACTTGGAGTTTGGTCACCCGGATCAATCAGCGGACCGCATATGAATGAAAGAATGTAAATCCCGCTAAATAATTTATCAAAATGAATATACAAATCAATATTATCTCCTAATATCCTACATCTTAAGGCATAAGATTGAAACGGACTTGTTAGGTTAGGTTGGGACTGTGACAGTCGGATTGGAATCACTGAAATATAGTAGAATCTTGGTTTCAGTTTTTTTATATGGAAGATTCTGAACAATAAAATTAATTCTTCAGTTTTATGGAACCGCCTGTATCGACTTCTAGCGGATACGAGGAAAAATGAGATTTGAAGGTCTGTGAGGATGGTGAGGTCGGATACGAAGTAGGGAACTTGGGAAATAATTTCTAAGGATTGCAGGTTAGATTGACTGGATTCTTTAGGGTTCAGGTTTTTATAGAGTCGTCTGTATCAACTTCTACGGAATTCGAGGACAACAGGGATTTGAAGGTCTGTGTGGATTATAAGCTGGAATAAAAGTAAGGAGCTGGAGAAAGATTTTGGACCAGACTGACTAGATTGTTTGGAGGTCCAGGCTTTTATAGAGTCGTCTGGGACCACTCCACCAGTTTCGAGGAAAAACGAGATCTGAAGGCTTTGTGGAGTACGGTTGGATGCGAAGTAGGGCATTTGAAATGGATCGAAGGATTTTAGATTGGAGATTCTTTGCTGGTTGGAACCTTTGGCAGAACCCCAAAGTTGAACAATTCCATACGTCTAGATTGGTGGTAGTAATGATGTGTACATAAGGGGTTCATTTTGCAGTTGAACTTTCGATCTGTTGTCAAGTAGAGTTTCGAGGAGAGTGTGGGATTCCAAAGTCCAAGTCTTTTGTCGATGTAAAGTCCCAAAAGCGGACGAATCGTGTAGAGGGGATACGTCAAAGTTGATGGTTATTTGCACGATTTGTTTACTTTGAGCCTAATCCTCCATTTCTTGAACCGTTCTTCCAAACAGGAGAGAAGGTCCTGGATGTTTCTAAAATGGATCTGGGTTTGCTGAAAATATGGTAGTGTCGTCTGCAGTGAGGGGTACCGTATCGGTATTGATTTGTCTGGAGAGTACAGTAAAGATAATGGGACCAAGGATGCTGCCTTGGAACACCCGCTTCGATAGCGGAAAGAGGATTCGTATTTTTGAAGGAACATGAGGTTATAAGTAAATTGGAGGATGCTTATTAATTTCCGAGCAGGCTTGGTTCCAAATCCGACAGAAGGCCTCACATCTAAAGCACCCGAGCAGCATTACTTCCGTTCTAAGGAGACTGCGATAATGTCAACCACTCTATAGCACTGTCGGGGTAGAGTGATGTCGCCCGAACCTAAATTGATGAAATGGAATGACGTGAATAGTAATAGGTGTTTCAAGAGTTTTTCAGGATCAAGTGTGACAGGAAACTGCGAGGTGCGATGTTTTTTAGGTTTTTAAACTTTTGCTTAAGATTGACAATTTCCATTGAAATAAGAATTAGGTAATTTTAAGGAACAAATAATACTGACAGTATACCGGCTCGAAAGATTAGGAAAAGGAAATGATAAAATAATAAAACTGTATAGAAAACGTCAAAAGATTGCGTAAGTCCGGGTGACAACAAAAATAAAGCGTTAAGCGGCCGTGAATGTATAAAAGAAATAAAAACAAGTCCGGACTTAATTACTAAGTCAAAGGCGTATGGTTAAAAAAAAGAAGTCCCTGTTTTCCCAAGAGCCTTTTTTCATAAATCTATCTATAATCTCAAATCCATTTGACTATATCATTCAAATTTCAATTATAAAGATTTCCTTTTAAATATTATTTCGAATAATTAGTATTTTTTATTTTAAGGTTGAACAGAATAAAATAAAATATACTTATCAGCCTGGGTTGTGAAAGAATAAATAACATTAAAATAACACAGAAATGTTTTCTATAGTTAATAATTAACAAGCAAATTATTTTTAACTATTTTTTTGTTGAAAACTATATGAATTCATGTTCTGTTTTCAAAAATTACGATTTAAAAAGCTGTACCAGATATAAACAAAATCCACGAGCATTAAAATCAGTTTTAATACGTGTGAAATTATTTAAATATTCGTATAGAAATAAATAATCATAAATACAAAAATTATTTTCACATTGTTATTTTCAAGGTCTGCTACAAAGGGGCAAAGAAAGAGAAAATTAAGTTTGAAAATATTATTTTTCCTATAGAAAACTATTTGATAAAATAAGACAGCGAATTTGCAAGACAAATACATAAATAAGGATTTTTATTTTTATTAATAATAGAAAGAAGTAAGAAAGAATGGTTCATATTCTGAAAATAAAGATCTTTTCACGAAATATATATTGTTATCAAATAAAACTTGTTATCGGGAAAGATTAACATAATAAAAAAAGTCTGAAAGGGTCAGCCTTATCATTTTATTTTTATCAATTGACCTTTCCGGTTTGTATTTGTTGTGGTGTCACGGCGACAGTCAATTTTTGTTCTACGGCCAGATTTTTATCAGCTTTATCAGCTCAGTCAACCAGTGTCACGGATAATAAACAATGCCAGAATAGAACGGCAGTGATATTTGTTTTTATCTTAATCCGCCTGTCTGATTGCACACGAACACGAACAATTGGACTTATAGGATTTCAATAAACTGAGTTTACAAAAATCAAAAAAACCAGGCTTTCTCAGTTTGAATCTTCATTTTATTTACATCCGGTCTTCAAAGTTTTGTACAATATTCTCTTTTATTTACAGTCAATTTACAATTGAGTTGGTCCATTTTATGAGAGGTAAAGTGAAGAAGATTTGAGAAGGAAGGACGACTGGCGAGCGTAGTCCTTGTAGAGGTTGTTCGATCTGCAGCAGGACTGGCGCGATCTGTGGAGTTGAAGACGCTTACTCACCTGCCTGAAAATTTTACAGAATTCAATTAATAGTAACACAGACAATTTAGTGTGTTTAAAGAGAATAAATTTTTTCCAAGATAAGGTTTTAAACACCGCACAATAATTACATTAAAAAAACATACCTAGCCTTTAATCCAATGCTAGTCATTAGACGTTGAGGGTTCATCAAAACAGACATTTACTTAATAATTTACATAAACAATCGAATTATCAGCGTTCATTTAAATAAAAATTCTATCAAGAAGATAGTAGTTTTAATCAGAACCAAGTTCAAATCCTTGTACCCTAACAGCTTCCTATGGAAAAGTAATAATAAACGTAAAAAGTTAGTCAAACTGATAAATACAATCAATGATTAAGGCTAATTTCTTCCCATTGGAATCAGTAATGACTGCTTGTTGCTAAAACAATACCATTACGAAGAAAATAACGCGCAGACTGAGTAACTACTGTTGATGGCGAAAAAAAGAAGAATAGTCAGGATGATGTGAGCAGATCAAGCAAATTCGTCATACACATCCAAGCGATATGGTGTTTTGTGACGACGGCTCTACCGCTATCAAGCTATGCTGGCAAGATAAGGATCATCAAGAGCTAAAAACACTGGTAAGTCAAAACATCTTTAACGAGGGTGAAAACCGGGCGGATTCACTTCTGATCCCATCTATAACTATGAAGTGGATTGACTAAAATACAGCTTTTCCAAAGCATCAGCAGATGTGCTACCCACCACTAATATTGATTTCCAATACCGAACCTACTTTCAGTAAACCATGTACTGCAACTGTCCGGCATCACACCACAGGAAATGGAACTACGGGTAACATTGCCAATCAGTGAGTACGCACAAGAAAATACTGCGAATTTCCAACGTAAGATCCGCAATCTTCAACGTTCTATCAAATGGAACAAACGGCAGGTTTTTACTTTTAGAAAAATCAGGGTCTACCCTGAAGCGATTCCAGCCGTGGTATCAGCACTACAGATGAATAATGTTCATTCATTAGAGCAATCCTAAGTCGTCGATCTGTGAGGTACTACGATTACAAAATATTAACCTCGTGGCTAGATTATCGAAGAGAACACATTGCCAAAATGATGCACAGGCTAACCAACCGCTGAAGATGACGAGAATAGGCAGGCCCTGATTTTAGATGATCAAGTTGCAAACCTCACACATCCACACGATATTTCCTCAAAAATTTTGTTGTTATTTCGTCTGAGGGCAGAATAACAAAATAACACACAGATAAACCAAATAAACCAACCACTGAGGATGGCGAAAACAGCGGGAATAGGTAGGTCAGGATTTGGGATGATCAAGCAACTACACACCTCACTATCCACACAATATTGCATCACAAATTATTAACCCTGTGGTTAACAAAACACGCACGCACGCGCGCGCGAACCACACAGATGATGGCAAAAAAAGGGATACTAGTAGGCAGGTCTTGGATGATCAAGATCAGGATTTGAGATGATCAAGCAACAGCACACCTCACACATCACAGACTATTTCTTCAAATATTATTAACCCAGTAACTTAATCATCTAAGAACACATTTACAAAATAACACAAAGACAGACCATTGATAACCATTGATGGTAGCGAAAAAGCGACAATAGGCAGGTCAAGATTTGAAGTTATAAATATACTACACATCTCAAGCATCCAACAATATTGCAAAATAAACAAAGACCAAAAATACACTGACGATATTCGATAATAAAAGAAAAAAGATAAGATAAACTCGATAATAGCTTGATCACGATGATATGAATGAAACAATGAAACAAGCAACGTTCGTCTCACACATCCACACATATTTCATTATAAATTATTAACCCTGTTGCTAAATCGTCTCAGGACAGCTTGACAAAATGACGCACAGACAAGCCAACCACGTGAAGTTGGCGAATGACACAAAAATAGGGAGGTTTTGCAACAGCAGAGGTCATATCAACCCTCAGGGTGCCGGTGTTTTTAAAAAAAAGCCCATTTGTAAGTATGTCGGGTTGGAATGCAGGGCCGCTGGATTCGAACACGGGACCTTTACTTTACAGTGATGAGCGCCGTGTCAACGCCTAAACCGTTGCGGCCACCGACGCCCCCAATAGGGAGGTTAGGATGATATAAAACGAACAAGCAACCGTCACTTCACACATCCATGCAATATATCATCACAAATTATTTAGCCCTGAAGATAGATCGTCTCAGGACACACTGAAAAAAATAGCGCACAGGCAAATCAACCACTGAAGACGCGCGAAAAAGCAAGGGTAGACAAGTTAGGATGATAAAAATCCCTGTGTCGTTAAAGTAGATTGGTCGTTTTTCGAACATTTTGGTCTGATTATTCGCGCTGTTTTGATCTGACAAAAAAGTCGAGCATTGGCAGTTGTTTGGAAACGGCCAACCTACGTAGAGGATTCATCATCCCCTTCACCTCAAGAAGAAATATTTGAGAGTTGGAATGAAAAGATCCGTTTGTCGATGGTTTAAAATTTTTCTTCAGGAGTAGCGGATCTATGAAAGCCAGAAGTAGAAGTTCAAGATCTTTCGATGATGAACTTTAAAAAAAAAGCAATAAGGAAATCCACATGAAACAGTCAGGTATGTCTTCATTAGTGGCAGTTCCCAGAGAGTTGAAATTATTTAGAAAAGTTAAAAAGCTCAAAACGTGGCTGCTTCATACGCTGATGCAACGTCAACAATTGAAACGTCAAGTGATTGAGCAATTGTTTGCATGTGTAACAGCTTGCTATGACATGGCAATCGGTACGATCAGGTCTGCCAGATGTCAGATGTGTTACCTGATCACATGCCAATGCAGAAGTTCAAGATCCTTCGATGTTGAACTTCTTAAAAGAGCTATAAAAGGATATCCCTATGAAACAGTCAGAGGAGGTATGTCTTGATTAGTAGCAATTTCCAGAGATTAATTTAGAAGAGAAATTATTTAGAAAAGTTAAAAAGCTCGAAACGTGGCTGCTTCATAAGCTGATGCAATATAAACAACTGAAACGTCGAGGGATTGAGCTATTCTTTGTATGTGTATTAGCTTGCTATGACATGGCAATCCGTACGATCAGGTCAGTCAGATGTCAGGTAGATGTGCTACCTGACCACATGCCAAAGTAGAAGTTCAAGATCCTTCCATGTTGAACTTCTTAAAAGAGCTATGGAAGGACATCCCCATGAAACAGTTAGAGGAGGTATATCTTGATTAGTAGCAATTTGAAGAGAGTTGCAATTATTTAGAAAAGTTAAAAAGCTTCAAACGTGGTTAAACAGCTGATCCCAACAATTGAAACGTCAGGGAGTGAGCTATTGCAAGTGTACGTTGGCAATCGGTACGATCAGGTCAGTCAGATGCCAGTTAGATGAGCTACCTGGTCACATGCCAAAGCAGAATCTTCATATTAACCATTTGCTTCATTTGATCAAAAACGACAGCAGTAGTAGTAAAGGTGCTATATGAATGACTATGAAATCCTAGCAATCCCCCTTGCTAGACTGTCCCCAAGACTATAAGTTCTTCTGGCTGGGAGCACATTATTCTCTTGTTCAAAAAAATGTTTGCAAATTTGAACTTAGCAGTTGGCAATTTTCACTTAACAATGCAATATATGTTATTTTGTAAGTGAAGACTTTTTAAAAAATTGGAAAAATGGAGTCTGGCGACCTTGTTTTTGTTGGAAACGAGGTAAAAACGATTCGACTCATTCATTAAAAATAATTGTCCCCACTGGGGTCGTTCACCGGCTGTCCCACATTCTACAATGACACCTCGTACTTTATGAACGGCCGGCTTACCTGAAATCCGGGTAAAAAGGGACGTCCTGGAAAAGGGTGTGCATCCTGCCCCTGTTCGGGTCGACAGCGGTGGCCAAGCACCTGTAGAGCCCTCTGTCCGTCGGTGAAATATTGTGGAGGTGGAGAGTGGACCCTTTGGGCCGACCCAGGACACTGTACTCTCTCGTCTCGCCGACAGACTTGTATATCTCGTCCAAGCTGCGCAAGGCTCCTAGATCGGCTCTTTCCCAAATGATGTTCTGAAATTTAAAATTGTGAGATTCCCTCTTGTGATCTGAATGATGAAGATGTAGTTTGGGTCTGCCTATCATCTTTGAGTCTTGTGTGAATTATATGACAACTCAATAGAAAAGCGAAACGCGTCTGACGTACCAAAACAAACAAGGTAGGCCAGAATTAATTGAAAATTATACTTCTGAACCAGTAGAAAAACGAAATTATGAAATCAACTGTATAATTTTGAAATATTAACAAAGCCAAGATTCACAACCGACCATTAAACCGTCTCTTTTGTAACAATATTGTCTCATGTTGAAGAAAATTATCATTAATCACTTCAGTTTGAATACGATTTATTGTATGAGGACTTTAAATCAAACAGCTATTATAAACTTTGTACATAACTTGGAACAATAATTGTGAAGTTATTTTTTGTTCGTTCCCGGTCCGTATGCTGTCGCTGTGTTTTGGAAGAAAGTATTTTTCGCCAATGTGCCTAAAACAACCTCGAAGATTATGTACAAGTTGTTTTAATTTATAATTTATAATCGAATTGAAAAATGACTATTCGTATCGTTTTTTTCTGCTAAACAACCGCACCGTTGTCGAAACGGAGGACACCGACAAAGATAACGAAGGCCTTAGAAACATCCCACCCATTTGGCACTTTTCCCCAGGAAAAAGGAAATTGAACAAAACGACAGCAGCTCGTAAAAGTTCGACAGTAAGAGAACGATTATTACAATTAATTAAAACAATTAATTAAGGTTTTTAGTTGAGATAAAAAAGTCAATGGCACGAGCGGGATTCGAACCCACGATCTTCGGCTAAATACCACTCTACCACTTGAGCTATCGTGACCTCGATCCACTCGGACACAACTTCCCATCTCAACCCCACCTTTTGAATTTTCCCTCCTTTTTGCCATTTTTCAAATGTCGTGTAATCGGATTGGATTCTCGGCGACAAATGAAATTCATTCATTTCATCGTGAGTTCGAATCCCGCTCGTGCCATTGACTTTTTACTTAATTAATTGTAATATATTAATTGATCAAGCGTACCACGAAATTAGTGAAATTAATTAAAACATTAAACCGACTTGATATTACAAAAAGCGACTCAGATCCACCCACGACGCGGATCCGTTAACTTCAAGGCTAGTCAAGCTGGGTTTCTCCAAGGCGTAAAACTTGCTTTTCTAATCCTCTTCTCTTTTTTATTATAATTAAGTCTAGAAAAACAAATTTTACACTTTATTTAAACGACAAATCAAACTGAATATGCACGGTGTATAGACTTATAGATTACCCATTTAATCCGGGAACGATTAACTTTAGCAAAAAATCGTCTTATACAAATCCCAATTTAATTTTGGCTAGATATCGCATGGTGCTAACAGATTTAACATAACTCTCTCATCTACCTGTGAAATGACTGAAACTTTGTTATTTTAAATGAGAATCCCATATTTTTTTGAGCTTATTTTATGACACTTTTACTGAAAGGAAAATTTCGATAGGATCGACAATTTCTGAGTTAGGCCCGACGGATTCAAGCTAGATGAGAAATTTATGTTAAATCTGTGACCACCTCGCGATTGCTAGCCAAAATGTATTCGGGGTTTGCATAAGACCATTTTGTGCTAATGCTAAACTTTTTCGAAATAAACCGGGAGGGCTATCTTGATACAAAAAGCATACCCCCTCATGCGTCTTCCGTCGGGCATAACTCAGAAATGGTCGATCCTATCAAAATTCTCCTTTCAGTAAAACTGTCATAAAATAAATTCTAGAATCGAATTGTATAATAAAAAATAAGATTCTCATTTAAAATAACAAATTTAGTGTCATTTCCTTGCTAGATGAAAATGTTACCGTTAAGTCTGTTACCACCATGCGATTCCTATCCGAAAATAACTTGGGGTTTGTATGAGACCATTTTTTGCTAATGTTAATCGTTTCCGAATTAAATGGGTGGACTTTAAACGTTGATACACCCTGCACATAGACGAAACTAATCTTCATGAAATTCTGCAATCTTAATGATCTTTATATGATAAAAAGGGAATGGTTTTATTTGTGTATGAGTGAATGTGTGATCGAAAGAGAGAAAACGTTAGTGAGTGAGTTAGTGAGAGAAAGAAAGAGAGAAAGAGAGAGAGAGAGAGAGAAAGGGGGAGGCAGAGAGCAGAGAAAAAAGAGAGAGGGAGAAAGAGTGTGTGTGTGTGGGTGAATAACAGAGGGTGCTTTGGTGGTTAAGTTGAGTGTGTGTGGATATTTGAGTTCATGAATAATCTGGATCACAGTATGGTCTTGATGAAAAAACAAATTCAATCGTTAATGCCAATCTTTCGACCTATTTTAAGGTCATCATCAGTGCAAAACAATCTTAAATATGTATACATAATTAAATTTTTAATAGATGTTTTCAAAGATTCGTCGAAGACCGACTCAGTCCCAACACTGCCAAGGAGAGTAAGGACTGTAACGATCTATAAACATATATTTCTGATAGTGAGTTAGTAAGTGAGTGAGTGTAAGAGAGATAGAGAGAGGGGAGAGAGATACAGAGAGGGAGAGGGAGAGTGAGATCCAGAGAGAGAGAGAGAGAGAGAGAGATACAGATGGGGAGAGAGAGAAAGAAGGAGGGAGGGAGGGAGACAGAGAGAGATGGAGAGAAATAGAGAGATACAGAGATTCGTTGAAGACCGACTCAGTCCCAACATTTCTAAGAAGAGTAAGGACTGTAACAGTCTATAAAATTTGTGATAGTAAGTAAGTGAGTGAGTGAGTGTAAGAAAGAGAAAGAGAGAGAGAGAGGGGGGGGAGGGAGGAAGTGAGAGAGGAGAGAGAGGGAGGGAGTGAGAGAGGAGAGAGGGAGACAGAGAGAGAGAGTGAGAGGGAGGGAGTGAAAGAGGAGAGAAAGAGAGAGGGAGTGAGAGAGGGAGAGAGAGGGAGGGAGTGAGAGAGGAGAGAGGGAGACAGAGAGAGAGAGTGAGAGGGAGGGAGTGAAAGAGGAGAGAAAGAGAGAGGGAGTGAGAGAGGAGAGAGAGAGGGAGGGAGTGAGAGAGGAGAGAGGGAGACAGAGAGAGAGAGAGAGAGAGAGAGAGAGAGAGAGAGTAGAGAGATACAGAGAGAGATGGAGAGAAATAGAGAGAGAAATAGAGAGAGAGAGAGAGAGAGAGAGAGAGAGAAAACTTTAGACTTTTTTTTTCTTTTTTTGGGTATAAAGCACACAGTACAATAAACTTTGTTATTATCTCTTTCAGTCTCTCATTTAAGAGGATCTAAGGAGCTCCAACCACTTAAAGAGATATTTAAAAATTTCCTGACAATTCTGGAAGTGTCCAACAGACTACTCGCTGTACGAATTTATTGGGTAAGCTCATCAACTAAGGATAGCAATAAACTGAAAGTTGAGCCCATAGCTGGAGATAATAATCTGTTTGAGTTTTAGCTCCTTGAGTTCATCAGTTCCTGGTACTTTCTTATTTTCTATGCATACACAGGCTTATATTATATACATAATTTTGAAAGTCAATGTTGATATATGCAGTTTTCATCGTCCTCATCCCAGTAATAGCTTAAGAGGCCTGATGGTTTTCTTCAATAACCAAGTTCTAACCACCAGGGCTTGGTGGTTAATCCTAGCTGGTTATTATGCCTCTGTACATAATCCCTGCTAAAATCCTGCAAACAGCTTGATATGCTTGAAACATTGATTGTTCTGGCCTCTTAAGAATATAATTATTACTCAATCCTCCTCATTTGGAATCCATTTGGTAAAATCTTAACCTTTTTGAACTCTGGAGCTTATGAAATCCAAGTGAAATGGTATTCTGAGAGAGTGTCAAAACAAAAGTCAAAGACGATAAATAATGAAAACTTTAAAATATATTGTTCAGAAATCGTGAGATGCGGTCTGGTGTGATGTAGGTTTCAGAAAAACATTTTCTTTATCGTGCCAACGTTTCGATCTTTATTGAGATCATCTTCAGGGCTCAAATGTTTGTCTTCTGTGTAATTGTGCCATTCTTGCGTGTCGTGTTGAGAGTGCCCATTGGCGTTGGCACGATAAAGAAAATGTTTTTCTGAAATCTACATCACACCAGACCGCATCTCACGATTTCTGAATAATTATCGATTAACGGTCACTAATCACACTTTAAAATATAGTTATTGATGACAAAGTGGTTGGAGAAAGTCAAGTTGAAAAGGATCAGACAGGTGATAACAAATGGTTAAGTTGATTACTTGAAATTTACTTATTTTCAGACTTAAGAAGAGTAAGTTTTGACAGTTAAAGTCAATTTATTTTAACTTTAATTTAATATAAACGTTTTGATATTTACTTCCTCCTGGGTACTATGAAAAGGGGGTGGGTAAAGAAAATTTAATATGGTAGTGTAAGCCACTGAACAAATTGGTGTACTTTTCTGTTTGGTTCACAAATAAGGTTTTTCTACAGAATTCTCAACTACTTCCTGTAATCGAAAGGAAAAATAATAATTGATATAATCTCATGATACAAGCAATAATCTTATCAACTGTCTATATTATTTAACTATTAATGTTCAAATTGACAGTACGATTTCAACGACGTTTAGCACCTCGAACTCATACGCAAGGTGATTTTTTAAATAAGCCCCAAATTCTACTTACCGAAAGTATGTGGGCAGTCGGAGGGAAATCACAAGTCAATTCAGCACCCCTGGGAAGCATCCGGTACCTGCCGTGCCCTGACCGGACCCTTTCTGGCCTCCCGGCTTTAGGAAAACTCCATCTGAAAATTTAAATTAGACGGTTTTAATTTGTACTCAGGATTTAATAGTTTGAAAGTGGGGTAACAAAAATACTGTGTCTTCTTGATATCTGCGGGATGAAGCACCTTTAGTTTTGTGCTTTCTGATAATTTTGGTTTTTCATTAGAGCTACAAACAACTCTCTCTATTTATGCATTTTAACAAATAAAACTTTTTCCCTTTAAGATTTGGACCATTGCTCCGAAGAGGATATAGCCTGAAGGAGCGAGGTCAGGACTAAGCGGTAGAAGCTTGAGTTCATTCATTTCGGATCGTTTTTCCCTTGGATATTTATTATTGTAGCTTGTTAATCAAATTTTTCTTATTTATCCAAAGTGGGTGTCACTTTTAAACAACCTGTACATTTTTTCCGTGTATAACTAAGATTAAATGCCCTTTAAAATAAATTTGTATTAGCTAAGTCCAAACTGAGCTCGTGGTCTTGGTAAAAGGTAAAAGTTCTTTTGAGAGGTACTTGGTTGTTGAGATCTGCGAGGTGAAAAACCAATACTTTGGACTCTTCAACCATCTTAGTCTGCCCAACCTCATTGGTATGGTCTGCTAGATCTGGCAGAAGCCTTTCGACACTCCGTCAACTGGACACTCACGACCAGTATTCTTGATCGTCACTGGTAAATGTTCTTTCTAGAGCTACTTGGTTGTTGAGATCTGCGAGGTGAAAAACCAATACTTTGGTCTCTTCAACCATGTTAGTCTGCACAACCTCATTGGTATGATCTGGCAGAAGCCTTTCGGCCTTCCGTCATCTTCAGTAATTTGTTAATTCTGTATCCTCCCTCTCCATAAGAAACAGTACAAAAAGGTGAAGTTCCGTTTCACACTCTTCATTGGTCGGTCAGTGTGTCATTTGTCATACAAGCCTTTCGGAGACAAACAACCCCTCCCATTTTTACGAATTTCTTCATTTTAGGTATTCGTGTTATTAAAATGAGTGAACAATGAGTTTTGTAAGTTAAACATCACTAATTACTAACTGAACTCAACTGCATCCTTAAGAGCTGATAAAACTATAGTTTCATCACCACTCAGACCTGAATACAATTATCTGGACACAAGCAACATTCGTGATTGTGAAATGTCAAGAATCTGACAGACTGGCAAGATGGACCGGCAAGGGTGGTCGTAGACACCCAAACCTGTTTGATCGTTTCCGATAATCCTTTTATACTTATTCTCTCTAGTCTGTCGACTTGGTGTGTCTCAGGCATATTTCAACATTTCGCCTGTGTGTTATTTTGGCGATCTGGTTGGAGATGATCAAACTGTCCATCGTAATCTACCCACAAAAGGCATCCATTGAAGATGCCGAAACGAATCTGACAGTGCAACTTAGATAGGCAGACCAGGAAGATCAGAGCTAAACTAAATGTTCGCTGTTTTAGGCTGTCTCCATCTGCAATGGGTAGTCTCTTGACCCCATCACTTGTGTCTTATATAATGGCTGGTTGATTAAATAAACAATGTCGCCAAGCCAGCGAGCAAGTTTCCTTTTGTTAATTCGGCCTTGTATACCCACGTTGATCTTCCGATGGTCGACCTGAACCATGTTCTGCAGACATCCTAACTTTTCAAACCACCTCCTTAGTCCTTGAAAATTTGAACGTACAATCTAATCTTGGTCTGCGTATTCTCCCAAGGTTTCGGAATGATCTGCTTACAAACAGAAATTCACCGTTTCCTCTTACAGTTTAACGTTTTTCATATCATGCAATGAGCCTAATAGGATTTTATTGTGTGATTGAACAAAAACACTATCGCCTCGTGATAAAATAGGTCTAAAGAAAAGGCAACTCATTCAATAAACTCTCCACTAAATATTTACGCTTCCTTCTAACAAGAAGTGTGTAATTCGTGGATTTTCTTCGGTCAGTCATACGTGGACGTTTTTTTGCCTCCTCTCGCTCGCCGTCAAACTCCACGGCACTGCAGATTAACGAAGGTTGAAAAACCGATCGTACATCCTGCAAGGGGCCCCCCTTGTGTAAGCTGGCGACAAAAGATTTTCCATTTTCTTGTTCAACAGTGGCCGGAATCACGCGGCTATCCGCGCCTAACTGCATCCTCATTACAAGATTTTAAAAAAAATCAAAATTATACGCTCGATAGTTTTTGTTAACACACGAAATACAGATTAATAGAGAAAACATTTTTTATGAAAATATTTCAAAACTCAAATGAAAGGCCGGCCAGATCGTCCTTTCTTGTAGAAACTAGCGACTTTTTGAGAGGCAATAAACAAATGGAAACAAGGGTCAAAAAGACAGTACAAATAAGTCAATAGAAGAATACAATTGAAAGCTATGAAGAAGAAAAGAAGTTTCTTTTTAAAAAAAACCCTGTCTACATTGAATAATTAAATTAATTAACTTTTTAGTTTAGTGCTTATTATTAGTTAATTAACTTTAACTCTTTAATTTTCCATTTTTCATATTTGGTTTCTCTTTCGGTTTTGATTCACCTTTCAAACCCAGCCCATCAAATTGTACAAACTTTTACAGTCAATTTTTTTCGATATAAACAAAGTTAAAGAAAGGATAAATGGTGGAATGAGATGTTGTTCAATCTTTTTAAAAAGATAGTTCCTGCTCACAGTTAGTTGTTTTCAGCGATCCGGGTTTCAAGCTTATAACTCATCATCAGTTGAAAGAATTCGACAATGAACTGTATGTCCAGAGACGTGGTTGTCGAACTCTTTCAATCTGATGATGAGCTATAAGCTTGAAATCCGGATCGCTGAAATCAATTAACCGTGAGTAGGAACTATCTTTTTAAAAAGAAGTTTAAAAATTGTTAGAAATGGTACATGAGGCTAATATCGTTAAAGTTTCATCCAACAATTGTATTTGGGGCATATTACACGATTAAAAGCATCGTCACTCTACTTGACAGTGTTGCATAATTTTTCTCTTTTGAATATGTGGAATTTGCTGTTATGTTAGTGTTATTTTTTCCCCTATATTTGTGTGAGATAACCACATGATTGATCTTGTATGGAATCTATGGTTTGTCATTTTATACTTTTTAAGCAGATAATTGCTTTATTACATTTTGTTTGATTACGCTTTATGCTTTAGGCACTTGTTATGTCATATACTTTATATCTCTATCATATTTTCCTTTTTCTTCTTTTCATCTTAACTAAATAATGCAAAAAAGTTCAGAGTACGATAATATTGTTATTAATCGAAGCAAAGAGCTTAAAATGTTTCAGTTGTAAAAGACCGTTGGGCTTATTTTTTCTCAAGAGACAGTCGAGATCGTGGTGCTTGATGAGATGCGGAAATCAACTGTTAAGAAATGATTAATCTAAATGGAGTACTTAATGACTTACTGGTTTATCACCCTAGGGTAGTAATGTTGCCAAGGGGGCACGATGTGATTGTATCCGAGCTCCGAAGGTACGAAAAGGACGACGAAGACAATGCAACCGGCTTGAAGTTGGTTCACCATCCTTGATGTGTATCTCGCTCTCACCTTTTATATAGCTTTTCCCCCTACCCCTCTTTCGGCCTGCCCTGTAACGAATTTTCACCGGAAAATCTTCAAAATTGTACACGAACCTGTATGGTACCTTCGAAGTGTCGTGGAAGAAACGACTTCATGATTGTTATTTTCTTTTATCGGCATGTTCTGATAATATCAATTATGTTAATTGTATGTCAAGAGAATAATGTGAAAAAAACCAGAACTCGTACAAAGTTGTTGTTTACATGGAGCTCCACATAAATCACACATTCATCCATTCACACGCACTCACTCATTCACCCATAACGTGAATGGGTCACTCACGTCACTCACGCACACTCTCGTCCGTAACATTCACCAACTCGCTCACTCTCGCTCTCAGTATTATTTATTTGTATTTTATTTATGTCGCTCCCTTCATATGCTATCCTTAACCCTGTTGAGTATTTACCGTACGGAGGTGATTCTTCTATGATTTGATTATTCGTCTCGTTTATCGTTCTTCTACGGTTTTTGCAAATCCCAAAACCATTTTTCCTAGGCCTGAGTGGTACTGTGCAGTCTGCTAAGTTAATATATTCTGGTATCTTCTGCTTCTATTCAGAATCTTCATGAAGTTCATTGGTTCTGAACTTTTCCCCTACCCATCTTTCGGCCTGCCCAGTAACGAATTTTCACCGGAAAATCTTCAAAAATTGTACACGAACCCGTGTGGTTCCTTCGAAGAGTCATTTAGGAAAGATGCTTGGTTCGAGATGAAAAAGGTGAAATTTTGGATGTATTGATTTCAGGCTAAATCTACTAATTCAAAATGTTTGTTAATTACTTACAACCTCCAGTCAACAACTTCATGGTTGTTATTTTCCTTTTATCGGCATGTTCTGATAATACCAATTATGTTAATTGTATGTCATGAGAATAATGTGAGAAAACCAGAACTCGTGCAAAGTTGTTGGTTACATGGAGATCCACATAAATCACACATTCATCCATTCACACGCACTCACTCGCCCATAACGTTCACAGACTCAAGCACTCTCATACACTCACCCTCTCGTCCATAACATTCACCAACTCGCTCACTCTCACTCTCAGTATTATTTCTGCTAGTTAATATATTCATGGTATCTTCTACTTCTATTCAGAATCTTCATGAAGTTCATTGGTTCTGAACTTTTCCCCTACCCATCTTTCGGCCTGCCCAGTAACGAATTTTCACCGGAAAATCTTCAAAAATTGTACACGAACCCGTGTGGTTCCTTCGAAGAGTCATTTAGGAAAGATGCTTGGTTCGAGATGAAAAAGGTGAAATTTTGGATGTATTGATTTCAGGCTAAATCTACTAATTCAAAATGTTTGTTAATTACTTACAACCTCCAGTCAACAACTTCATGGTTGTTATTTTCCTTTATCGGCACGTTCTGATAATACCAATTATGTTAATTGTATGTCAAGAGAATGATGTGAAAAAACCAGAACTCGTGCAAAGTTGTTGTTTACATGGAGCTCCATATAAATCAGACATTCATCCGTAACGTTCACAGACTCACGCACTCTCATTCACTCACACTCTCGTCCATAACATTCACCAACTCGCTCACTCTCACTGTCACTATTATTTATTTGTATTTTATTTATGTTGCTCCCTTCATATGCTATCGTTAACTTGTTGAGAACTTACTTTACGTGATTCTTCTATGATTTGATTATTCGTCTCGTCTATCGCAGTTCTTCTACGGTTTTTGCAAATCCCAAAACCATTTTTTCTAGGCCTGAGTGCTACTGTGCAGTCTGCTAAGTTAATATATTCATCTTCTGCATATATTCAGAATCTACATGAAGTTCATTGACTATGAACTTTTACAGAAATCCATCGCGTCATGTGACAAGTCAAGGGGCCTTTTAAAATTCCGTCTCTACTTTCTTCTTAAATGTTCTTTTATCAACGCTGAATATGGCAACTTAGTATAATGAGGGTCAGTAAACATGTGTTGAACGAATCGCAAACCGAAAAGCTCCACCAATTTTAAATTGTGTTTGTTCAGAACAATCATCAGCCTGATTGCTGGGTTATCGTGTCTTTTTTCCGTTTAAAATTGAATTGATAGCGTATCTCAACGTTGATTATTCGTGCTTGATATGTACTGTATTTGTTCATGGAAACCACTGAAGGAAAGACGAAGCGTACAAGACCAAGGTTGCATGATTTATGTATGTTTCACAAAACTGTACACATCAGCTTATATTGTACGAATATTTACTGAAACAAACAAAATCTTTAGATACAAAAGACTGACTCTTGGACTAGTTCGGAGTTTAAATAAAACAATTAACAATTTTCAGTTTATATGATTATCCATTAAAAAAGATTCTAGTGAAAGGTGTCTTCCCAAAACAATCCATATTTCGCGTTTCCGTGTCATCTTTACGAGGACAATTGTCGCGAAGGTTGGATCGAGTTGCAAATAGGTAATTGGAGTTATGCTTTGATGAAATAACAAACCAACTCTTCGATCCCAAGGGGAAATGATTTTTTTTCCTTCTTATGCCCTTAATCCAATTTCCTTCATGTCACAGTTTCGATATCTGTCTGATACATAATTTCTGACCGTCGAATTGCCACGGTTAACTGAAACAGCGGGCAGTACTTGAAAACTCAAATGAATTTGCATTTAAGAAGTACAAGAAAGCAAAAATTAAGAACGTGTATTATATTTTATGCCTTAGATAAGAAATTATAGTCAGGTAATGACCATTTAAAAAAAAATTCGTGTCGGCAACAAATGTAATCATTTTACATATTTTGTAAATCAATAAGAAAGATAGGCTCATCGGCAAATTATAAGCCAATAAATTTATTACTAGAAATAGCTTAAGGTCGAGTTTCATTGCATGAAAACTTTGGTTTACTCACAAACTGCTTTTCGTAGTTGTCAATAAATATTTCTTAATATCTTTTTTTTTTCTCTTTTGCTTAAGTTTTAATTTTCGTAATTCTCTCTTATGATTAACAGTATAAATTTTAAAATTTCAACGCCATCTATGAGCCAAATAAAACAATCAGTAGTTTGTTCGTGGGGACCCAAACAATTTGATTTAATTACACTTGGGAAAAGTTCGATTTGTCTTAAAGAAATTTCATTTTGATGTAAAAAAAATTATATGAGTCTTTGACATGGAAAAAGTTTCATTTGATTTAAACAAAATTGAATTAGACTTGGAAAGAGTTTTAATATGACGTGAAAATACTTCAGTTTGGTTTAGAAAAGTTCAATTCGACTTGATAAGCATTCGGTTTTACGTTTAAAAAAATTGACTTGGAAAAAGAAAAAATTCAATTTGACTTGAAAACGTTTTATTTGATTAAGAAAAGGTTTAATTCGACTTGAAAAAATGATCAATTTTATTTGAAGAATTTCATTTTCATGTAGAATAGTTTGAATTAGACTTGTAAAAAGTTCGATTTGATTTGAAAAAATTTCAATTAGATTTAGAAAAGTCTGAATTAGACTTACAAACTGTTCAATTTCACTTGAAAAACATTCTGTTTTGTGAAAAAAACAAACATTTAAATTAGACTAGGACAATTTGACTTGGAAACGTTTCATTTGATTTAGAAAAGGTTTAATTCGTCTTGACAAAAGTTCAAATTGACTTGAAGAATTTCACTTTGGTTTACAAAGTTTAAATTAGACTTGGAAAATGTTCAAAGTGACGTGAAAATACATCAGTTTGGTTTAGAAAAAGTTCAATTCTACTTGATAAGCATTCGGTTTTACGTAAAAAAAATTGTCTTAGAAAAAGACAAAATTCACTTTGCCTTGGAAACGTTTTATTTGATTCAGAAAAGGTTTAATTCGACTTGACAAAACATCAGTTAGACTTAAAGAATTTCACTTTGGTTTGTAAATTTTAAATTAGACTTGGAAAAAAGTTCAATATGACGTGAAAATACTTCAGTCTGGTTTAGAAAAAGTTCAATTCAACTTGATAAGCATTTGGTTTTGCTTATTGCAAAAAATTGACTTAGAAAAAGACAAAATTCTATTTGACTTGGAAACGTTTTATTTGATTTAGAAAAGGTTTAATTCGACTTGAAAAAATGATCAATTTGATTTGAAGAATTTCAGTTTGATTTAGAATAGTTTGTATTACACTTGGAAAAAGTTCGATTTCACTTGAAAAACGGTTTTGTGAAAAAAAAGTTGAATTATACTAAGACAAAATTCAAACTGACTTGGAAACGTTTCATTTGATGTAGGAAATGTTTAATTCGTCTTGACAAAAGATCAAATTTGACCTGAAGAATTTCACTTTGTTTTATAAAGTTTGAATTAGACTTGGATAAAGATCAATATGACGTGAAAATACTTCAGTCTAGTTTAGAAAAAGTTCAATTCTACTTGATAAGCATTCGGTTTTGCGTAAAAAAAATTGGCTTAGAAAAAGACAAAGGTTTAATTCGACTTGAAAAAATGATCAATTTGATTTGAAGAATTTCATTTTGATGTAGGATAGTTTAAATTAGACTTGGAAAAAGTTCGATTTGATTTGAAAAAATGTCAATTCGATTTAGAAAAGTTTGAATTAGACTTGGAAAAAGTTCAATTTCACTTGAAAAACATTCGGTTTTGTGAAAAAAAAACTTGAATTAGACTAAGACAAAATTCAAATTGACTTGGATGCGTTTCATTTGATTTAGAAAACGTTTAATTCTTCTTGACAAAACATCAATTTGACTTGAAGAACTTATGTTTAGAAAGTTTGAATTAGACTTGGAAAAAGTTCAATTTGATTTGGACAAGGTTTGATCAATATGTATCACAGACAAGAAAGACGTTCCTCATGGTTTAAAGTCGTCTGAGGAAGTCTATCACACAAACTTAACTAAAATTTTTCTTCTGAGCATTTATAAGTATTAACTTTCTTCAAAAATTGCATGACGAATTTCAGTAGTTTTTGGGTTCATGTCAGTTTATGTTAATATAATAATTTTGTTATAATTAAGATGGCGTTTATTACTCTTGTGATGGTAGAGACATTTTTCTTTAGTTTATTGTTATTAATTTGGAAAATGTTCATGATGTAGTTCAAGGTCTATCTTACACCAGAAGATTTTTTCCTTCCAGATTGGTTTTTAAGAATGATTTTCATGCAAATAAACCAGTAACATTTTTCTATTATCTGTTTTGTTCTTTTCTTACCCGAGGAAGCTGAAAAGGGTTGTAAACATTTTTTTCTCCCTTAACGAGAATGCGGTGTAGAACTAACGCGATTTGAGCCGGCTCGGCGTTTTCTTCTTCGCCATTCGGTGCAAAATCGACTAGGGAGAAGGGAAAAAAATCAACGAGGAAGTTTATCCTAATATCTGAGGAATCTGAGATGAAAAAGTCGCCTTTTGCATTGCGAAAAAGCCCGCTGCTTCTATTTCACGGCCGTTGAGTTCTTTTTAGAAATATTGCTTTAGAAAAACAAATAATTCTGGACGAAAACTCGTTATATATCTATAATCGGACTCATGCTACTCAATTAAATCCAGAAAATTTAAATTTCCATGTCTGAATAAACATTAGACTTAAATCAGTTCAAACTATAACCTTGATAACCGCTAGAGCCGATAAAAAGTAATAAAAGGTACATACATCAAAAAAGTTTAGAACCAGCAGAGTCGTACAGTACAGAAATTATCCAATTAATTTTAAAATGAACTGTAAAATAAATAAACCCTGATGTCTACAACGGAAATCGAGGTTAACTCGATCTGATGTCTTGTGAAAATGGCGGACCGAGAGCTTACCTTTTCTAATTACTTGTACACTTTAAATAATTATAAACGGTAAGGTACATAACCCCACAGACGACAGTAGGAAATCCCACAATTTAATTATATATTATTAATTACTGATTAGCCATTTATATAAGCTCAAGTGTACACATACATGCACATTCACACGTGTCAGGGTTGAGTCTGTCACCTCTCACCGTCCACCAGCAATTCCAGCTTTTGTGATTTACAATAAATTAATAAACACAAGCCTCGAGGATCACCCACCTGGGTGTTGGCAGTCCGGAGTCAGACCTTGGTCTTATCCGTCCAACTGAGGTTTAGACTCCAGGGTTATCAACAGCTAGATCATTTCAGCCCCAAAGTAGATCAAATCCTCTCATTCTTAACTATTCCATCACCATTTACAGTTATTATATAATTAACCTAATTGAGGGTTGAAGAGTACTCAAAATTTCACCATCAGCCCTCTAACACTACTCATTCACGCCAATAAATACCCTCATAACACCCTGCCGTTTCTTCTTTTATTTCACAGAAAAGGCAAAAGAGATCTGGTAGAATACCCATTACGGAGAGGCAGTGGGCAATGGCCTATCAGGATACGTATCAGCCTCCTAATTCCATTCCTTGAGATAGAGAATAGCCATTTCTGCTGGTTTGATCGCCTTAACAAACTCTTTTGATTGCCTGTGTCCGGGGAATGCCCCAGTTATTAATACTCTTTTGCTGGGCTCATAGAGTGAGGTAATACCGGTTGTGGCCCGACAAACGCAGTATTAGAACCTTCTTTGGCCAGGCCATCCACCTTTTCATTGCCATGGTGTCCTTTATGTGCTGGTATCCAAATAAGGGTTACCTTGTTCTCACACCTGGAAGAGATCCTATTGAGAAGATCTAGTATCCTCCATCAGTCATGAGGTTGACAAATCATTTTGTAATGACCTAAGACTAGCCTGACTGTCAGAAAAAATTCTAATGTCTTTTCCCTTAATTTTATTTTCCATAAGTGTTCTACAACACACATTAATGGCTCAGATTTCCGCCTGAAAAACGAAGGTGTTATTACCAAGAGGGGAGGAGATGCCGATTCCCAATTTTGGTATGTAGATTCCTGCACCACTCCCTCTACATTTGATAAGTGAACCATCTGTGTACCAGTCTATGTTACAATGGTCATCATCCAAACTATAATTGTAATCACAAGGGGTGACTACCTGAAAGTGCTTTTTCCCCGAAGGGGATTTAATCTTTTTATCACTAACGTTTAATAATTGACCGTTAACCTTACTCAATAGTTGTGAAATTTTTGAGTGACCTATGTTATTGCACTTATGATTCCAGCTAATTAATCTGTAGCAGCTGATTAGTGCTCTGACCTTCAATGTGAAGAGGTGTGGTATTGGTTATGATTTCAAGTGCTAGGGTGGGCTTAGTTGAAAATGCTCCTGTCATCATCAAACAACCAAGTCTTTGAAATGACCTTAATTTGTTACTGTTCCCTTTATTTTCTAGACCTTTCCACCATACTAAAGCTGCGAAAAATAATCTAGGTAGAATGATTGCAGTATATAGCCATTTGGCTACCCATGGTTTGATGCCCCATGTTTTACCGACAATTCACTCAGATGACCCTTATTCTACAAGTCAGATCTTCCGAGGACCACCTATCAACAGTGCTCTTTATAAGTGAGAGTTTCTCTGCTGATCTGGTTCACTGATGTTGTCACTTTCTTTTAATCATGCATTTTTAGCATCAGCCTGATTGCGGTGGTTAAGTCCAGAGGTTGGGAAGTCCCAGCCTTAGTCCCCTTGTCCTCGTCACAAAGGCTTATGTAGAGGAGGACAAACCCAGGCCTGAAGGATACACATGGCAGTCCTTGAAAAAGCTTTGGGATCTGATAAAAAGTCTTGAGCTTAATGAGGAGCTCAAGACAACAATGGGGATGAACAATTGTAAAGAGGTCGACCCCTCTAATCTAATCTAATCTATCTATTGAACCAACTGGTTGATTATTATTTATTTAGCAAAAAAAAGAGAAATTTTTATTATCAACATCACTAAATTTGCAACATGTATTTCTGTAAATATTTACAGTTTGAAGATGTAAAATTTTATTTTCAGTGATATTAAAATAATTCTAATTCTACTTTCTTGCCATCATTTATGCTCGAGTCATTATAAATTTTAAATCCCTACCCTACTACACAAGATTAAATGTTGATTAGATACTCCCCTTCTTCCAATTTGTTCAACTAGACAAACGAATTAATTGATCAACACCTCTACCATCTTGTTACAGTTCAGTGAACACACCAGTGAGAAGGGTCATCAATAATCATCGCTGCCACTGAGAAGTTATCAGTTATTGTTTGCCTCGATTAGAAAAATGTGGAAATGTTTAATTTCAATTGTTTTGGTTCCACTAATAACAGCTTACAGTATGTAAAATCTATTTTTATATATTAGATATATTACAATTTTTTTTTAGTTTTTGAAGAGTCTTTGGGTAAAATTGGTACAAAAGTTGACCCATTGATTACCGAAAATGCTGTGAATGATTTGATGCACAGGCTCATTGGCAAAAAGTCAACTTTATTTGTTGTTAAAATCATTCCTGAACTTTTACAAGATGGTAAAGATGTGTTTAAGGTGACGTAGCAAGATTTTGCATGCTTATATTAAAAATACAAAAAAATATTTAAATAACTTTTTACAGGTGAAAAAATTAAATTCTTCTGAGTTGGTTAATATAGCAGCTTCTAGTGGTGTTGCTGCAGCATGGGGATTTCACCATTATTTAAAAGAATTCTGCAATTGTCACATTTCATGGGATGGCGATCAACTAAATCTACCAGCCGAATTCCCAAATGTTGACATTACTGTAGTCGCTAATGATAAGTATAAATCTGACCAATTTCCTGTCTTAAAGTTCATTGTTGTATGTAAAGTATCTTTTACTTAGATTCCGCTACTATCAGAATGTCTGTACGACCAGCTACAGCTTCGTATGGTGGAACTGGACGAGATGGGAGCGCGAGATCGACTGGATGGCCATGAACGGTTTCAACCTCGCTCTTGCTTTTAACGGCCAGGAAGAGGTCTGGCGGTCAGTCTATATGCAACTCGGCATGTCGAAAAGCGATATTTCTGAGCACTTCAGCGGGCCCGCTTTTCTTAGCTGGTATCGACCATTCATTCATGTGGAGTATTGTACAAAATTAATGTTGTCACAAAAACAGGAATAGGATGGGGAATATGCGAGGTTGGGGCGGCCCACTGTCTCTGAGTTGGCACAAGTCAAGTTTCTACCTTCAAAAATCAATTTTGAACAGGATGAGACAACTGGGCATAATCCCTGTACTACCGGCCTTCGCTGGACATGTTCCAAGGGCTTTTGACAAGTATTATTTTTTTAAATAAGTTCATGTAAAATATTATAATTACTCTAATAAATAGGCTGTTTTTAAAGATTATTTCCCGACGCAAATCTTACACTACTTCCAAATTGGAACAACTTTGCTGATGAGTATTGCTGGTATGTAAATTTTACTGTGTGAACATGTCCATTTTTCTACCTACAAAATTGTTTTTCTTATGCAATGTTTTAATCTACTTACATATTTCTTGATGAAACCCTTTTCAGCCCGTATCTTTTGCACCCACAAGACCCTCTATTCCAAAAAGTTGGAAAATTGTTTTTAAGACAAGTAAGTAAACTGAAAATTAATCGTGTCAAAACAGATTAAAACAGACATTTTACAAGTATATAGCAAATTACGGTACTGATCATGTATACAACTGTGACACCTTCAATGAGATGAGACCCACGTCTGATGACCCAAAATTTATAAGAAAAATTGGAAAGTCCATTTTTGCATCTCTATTGAAAGAGGACCCTCATGCAGTATGGTAATTAAACAACAATTTTGTAAAATAAGTAAAATGCCAACATGTATCCCACCCATGACATTGGCTTTTTTAACTCAAATTTTTTGTTTAAAAATTAATTTATATATAATATAATAAATGGGGCTTGAACTGTTTAAAAAAATAGCCCTTAATAAAAATAAAAAGTACAAAATGTTAAAAGTGCAGTATTAAAAGAACAAAATTACAAACTAATTTGAGGGTGGAAACACGTGGCTTGTGGGGTTCTTCAGCTGGATGAGGCACTTCAAGATACTTGGGCTGCAATAAGTCCCCAGATTGAGGTTGGATGTGGATGGTGGTACTGCATACACATCTTCTGAACAATCTTATGTAAAATACAACAATGGAATAAATTCTGAGCAAAAGTGACTTTGGTGTGTGTGGTACTATCTGTACTCTGTTGTCCTCCGGCTGGTGAATTCCCTTGCCTCTGCCACTCGCAGATTATCATAATCTATTTTTTTATATTCTAGACATATTCCCATACTAGTAGTACTTTCATTTTGTGTAGGATGCTCCAGGGCTGGGTGTTCAAACATGACTACTCATTTTGGACGCTGGAAAGATCAGAAGCTTTAATCACTTCAGTACCCAGAGTGAGTCATAGTAATAAGCATGATCATAAATGAAATTATACATAAAATATGCTGACAAATCATTGACTTCTAATTTTAATGTCAATTAAGTCAATTTGATGAAATTTTTAATATTTAATAATATTTAATTTTTTGCCCAAAGCTTGATAGATCCTGATATTTTCATTCTTAAAGTGTTTATCAGACTATTTCAGGATTGTTGACTAAGATGATCGATGGCGATTAGGCTTTAGGCCTACAAAACAGTACAGTTTTGTCCAGAAATTCATGACGTTAATTAAAAAATTATTGCTCTTACAGAAGTTTTTTTAAAATGAATATGTTTTGTTTCTTTCTAGGGGAGATTGTTAATTCTGGACCTTCAGGCTGAGCTCAATCCTCAATATATCCGCTTGAAAAACTTTTTCGGGCAGCCGTTTATCTGGTGTATGTTGCACAACTTTGGCGGTACACTTGGCATGCACGGATCCGTAGACTACATAAATGAAGTAATAGCTGAAATTGTGGTACAATTTACAATCTGAAATTACAAAATGTTTTTAGAACGTCTTCAAGGCAAGGAATGCAACCAACAGCACGATGATCGGGACCGGCCTCACTCCAGAAGGCATTAATCAGAACTATGTCATTTACGATTTGATGATGGATATGGCCTGGAGAAAGTCACCGACTAATCTTGTGAACTGGTAAGATTTTCCATTAAACATTTATTATTGCTCATTTTTATTTTTGTTATGACAGGCTGAGCAAGTACACAACAAGGAGATACGGACAATTTAATACAAACATTCTTAATGGATGGATTTTATTAAAGGTGAAATCATTATTTACAATATAAATAAATGACCCTTAAAATTGTCCTTTTGTTACCATTAAAGGAAAAATTAATGACGTTTCCTTAGAAATTATGATTAACTCTTTGTACTTTATAGAATTCAGCATACAACTATATAGGAAATGATTCTCAACATGGAAAGTATATTTTTACACAGCTGCCTTCTTTAAAGCTTAAATCAAAAGTATGAACAATTCTTGAATTTTATAAATTTAAATTTTATACATATTTGATTTCTTTCAAGATATGGTTCAATGAGTCGATGGTTTATGAAGCTTGGACTTATATACTACAAGGTTCAACGAAGCTGAATTTAATTACAAATACTTTTAAGTATGACTTAGTTGACCTGACAAGAGAGTCATTGCAGTTGATGATGGGGACTGTTTATAAAGTTATAGTCAATTCTTTTAAAAAAAGAGATAAACCTTGCTTCTTGTGAGTAAAATTTGATATTTGCTCGATAAAATAAACTTCAACAGAGTGGTTTTTCTTGTTTTAGTGATGCGACAAATATTTTTATGAAATTGATTTATGATTTGGAACAAATTCTTGCTTCAGATGAGCATTTTTTATTAGGAAGGTGGTTAGAAGATGCAAAGCTGGCGGCATACACACCGGCTGTAAGGCTAATTCCATTCGCCATTTCAAATATTTTTAATGTTTTTATTATATTTACAGGATGAAGTACTTTTTGAAATGAATGCAAGGAATCAAATCACTCTATGGGGGCCACAAGGAGAAATAGCCGATTACGCCACGAAACAGTGGTCAGGTATTTATTGGAAATAAAAATATTTTTGGATTCGTCTTTTAATTTATACAAATCACAGGTATTGTAGCTGACTACTACACGCCGAGATGGTCTTTGTTCTTCGAATGTCTTTCAGAAGATCTGAACATGATCAAACCCTTTAACAACTCTCAGTGTTCAAATAAAATCTACAATGAAGTCGAAGTGCCGTTCACGTATAGTAGAACTCGTTATCCAATTTATGCAAAAGGCAAAACACTTCTTTTTATATTATTTTATACATCGTTGACTCTTGTTTTCCTTTTAATTGATGCAGGCGACTCATTGGCTTTGGCGAGAGAAATTCATGACAGATGGATACAGAATAAAGACCGGATTTGTACATAAACAGAATCTTTCAGAATCCTATGACCTGGAAATGTATTTATTTTATGTACATTATGTTTCATCTATAAAGTATTATAAGTCGTTCAGTGCACATATATCGCTTACTGTAAAATAAAAATAAAATAAAAAAGATAAAAATACTTTTTTTTGGGGGGGGGGAATTTATGCAAATTCAGTGTAGTAATAAGGGAAAAGATTAAGCTCAGACTCAGTATATTTCATTTGTTAATACATATCACAACTTAACATATTTTTTGCATTAGTGGTTCTGGATTCGAATCCTGGTACAACCCGTGGCTTTTAAATGAAAAAAGAGCTATAAAGTGGTTTGTCCCCTTGTGTGCAACAACCAACCGGTCATTGGATGTTAAGTCTTCCTGTATGGCAGAATTACTTGACTTACTTTACATGCCAAACTCAAATTACATGAAGAATCATCTGCCAATAGATAAAACAGTTTGATGACTTTTTAATTTTTTATTATTATTATTTATTCCAATAATTATTCTTTTCATCTCAGCCAAAAACCTTGGTTCGAATCCTGCTTGTGACACTAATTTTTCATCTCAACCAAAAACCTTAGATAAAAATAATAATTAATTGGAATAATTAATATGGTTAATTATGACTATTAAGCAAATATGGATTATTATTATTATTATTTACACATTCAACCTTAGTTATGATGAGTAATTTTGGTTATTCATAGTATATCATGATAAAATTAAATATGAAGGAACCATCCACTGGTGACTCATCCTCACTCTGCACACCACCGAAGCAAATCCCTCGGCCATTGCCTCTTCAGCCGACGTGGAAGATTTCCAGGTAGGGTTGGTGTGTAAAGTTATTAGAAGAGAGGGTTTTGGTGTACGAAAAGGAATTTCTGATGTATTCTTACAAATTTGTGAACAAATTGAATATGGAGGTCAGTGTGAATAGATTGGAGACAGAAGGGAGCATTAAGGATTTTTCTTAAGATTTTGGATTGGAGAGATTGGATACGGGATGAATTGCTGTTTGGTTGAGCCCCAAACTTGTACTCAGTAGGTGCATATCGACGAATGAGAATTTTGTAAAGGGTAAGTTTGTTATTAAGGTTTTAGGTGAGATCTTTGGTCAAATCCGCAAGTCTTGTCAATTCAGGCGAATGTATGGGTTCTGCATCAGTCTTTTATCAAAATACAGACCCAGATATCGTACTATGTAGTCAGTACCAATATGTCATTCAGTTATAATGGAATGTGACTTTCTTAGTGTGAAAGTGCCTTGAGCATATTTGTTCCCATTCACTTTGATTCTCCATTTGCGGTACCAGTCTAATAGGATGAGGTGACTGTAGATAGGAGCTTGCAATGGATGACTGTGTTTGGAGAAGTAGGAATGTCAGCACTGTATATTATAAAAAGGATCGGGCCAAGGATACAAAAAATTTTCTGGAATGTAAGAGGATATTATAACAATAGCAGTCAGTTAGGTAAGATTGTAGTAAAAGTCACTGGGAAGAATCTTCTTGTTTTGCCAATAAGCCCGGGTGCCATACCCAGTCAAAACACCTGAGCAATACAGTTTTCATTCAAGAGAAGCAACAATAGTGTCCACCATACAGTGCATCTGTTGCACAGTGGAGTGAAGTAAGTGAAACTCAAATTGATAGAACGGTAATGTGTTTTTTCATTCTCAACAGTATGCATTAATCTTTTAAGAAGGTTTTCAAGGATTTTTGCTGGAGTAAAAAGGAGACTGATAAGACAATAGGAACCAGGAAGTTGGACTGGTTTGTTAGGCTTTGGGATCATTCATACTACATATTTCCACTGGTTTGGGAAGTATTGAGTTTGTAAAGTAGTCCTTTTTTAGGTAAGTTGTGCAAAACTTAAGGAGTAATTAGCTGGCCCCATCCAATCTGATGGTTTGAATTAAATTCAATCTTTGCACAAAAGGTACTCAGAAAAGCAAAAAATCTACATCCATACATCTTTCAGATGATCAAGTCTAATACATCTTCAATGCCTGGGGATCGAAAGAAACAAACTTGCAAAAGAAGTAGCAGCTTGATCCATAAATACAATTAAACACCCAGACAGCACTTAATTAGAAACCGAACAGCTTATCAACAAGAAAAAAATAATGCTGGGCTAAAATTCCAGGTCTGAAATGACCAAACATGTTTATTACCATTTCTTAAATGAGAAGAAAGTTTCTTACCCTGGCAAGAATTAAGAAAAAATTTTATTTGCAAATCTGCTAGGATGAGCAGACACCATTAGTTGGGATGTCCTATGTGACTGTGTCTCTTTAGCCCATGGAACTTCAAGAAAAAAATTTAACCTTTCCAAAGTGTGAACCTGGAACTTCCTTTTACTGGAAGAATAGAACCCTACTGATTCTATTATTGAAGTTGGTGCAGATCATCTGTTGTATGTCATGAGTTTCATCATTTCCGCCTGCACCGCCTTTGTTCTATCTTAACCGCTAAACTCCTGGCTATACTTAAAGCTATTATCGTTTATATCTTTTGAGCACTTTTTCAGCACTGACCACAACTAAAAAACATCTCTCTAAATCGAGACATACAGGATATTCTTATAAAATTAAAATAGTATCAATACAAAAATGACAAAACATACAACGGATTCCTGGCCATGCTGGCATAATTGAAAATGAAAAAGCAGACAAAAAGGAAAGAGGCTGGCTCAACCGGTACTCCCCGGGATGGACTCCCCTTCAGTGACCTCTACTATCAAATCAGGCAGCTCATCTGGTATGCTTGTGCAGGAAACAAGCTCCTCGTAGTAAAAAAAAAATAGAAAATTTATGTAAAACAATACGCATCCTCCTTCAGACCTTCCAGGAAAAAACATCTATCCCTATAACTATTCCCAAAATTTTCAACTTCTTACAGACATCCAACTAATAAATAAAATGTAACTTCATACCCTCTCCAGTTTGTTTCCTCTGCTGTTAGCAGTGTTCCTACCTGGGGTTTTGAGGGTTGTTCCTTGGCTGAATTTAGAATTGAGTAGTGTCTCCCCAGCCTTGTAGATCAAAGTATCAAGTGAGCTTAAAGTGTGAACCCCCATCAATAAAGCATCATACTTACTGTTCAAAAGAAATAGCCACAGATTCCATGGGGAAACTCTTAAAAAAAAAAAATAGATGAATCAGATTAGATAGACCATCAAAAGATAGATCCGTGGGGTTCTATTCTTTTCTTTACTGGGCCGAGTCAAATTTTGACTGATAAGATCACTACTATAAAAAAACCTCTAAATAAAAAATATCCACATCTGCCTACCCTCGCTGATGGTCAGTCGTCTTTCAGCTCTTACCCCATATTAAAAGGTTCTGTTAAAATGTTAAGAACAAATTTAAAAAAATATGGAAAAATTAACACGGCTGACCCAATTATAGACAGTACAGGTAGATTAAGAGAGTATCAAAGAAAACAGTTGTTTAGGTCTTAGTTTGGAGCAGTGCCAGAAGCCGTATTTTTCGGCCAAAGGCATCGTGATCGGGGCGCGTGGGGCAATTCCGGAGGGCTTCAGGAGGGCCCTCCACGACCTCGGATGGTGCTCCTTACCATGTCGCTGATCGCTCTGCGTTCTTCGCTGGCTAGCAACAGTGACAGATGCTTCATGCTACCTGTCAAGCATAAGCCGGCCAGTGAGTTGCCCCAACTACTCCCGGATATGGACTGACCACGGCGAGGAAGAGGCTCTACGATGGACCAGAGGTGGCATCAAAGCAAGGAGCGGCCGTCCGTCGCAGGAGGACTCCCCGGACAGCGCGGACGACCCGAGGAAGGACGGATAGAAGATCCCCCTGGGCATCAGCCCAGGTAAGAATTCCACAATGGAAAAAAAAAATAGATTAAGAAAGTATCAAAGAAAACAGTTGTTTAGGTCTTAGTGGACTTTTCTAAAATCACCAGACCCCCAGAATTGAAAGAGAAAATTCTAATACCATTGTTTTATGTACAATACGACAATTTTTTAAATTAACTCTCTTATTGTTTCTTTTCATACAATCTTGCCTTGTGCGGCAATATACTTGACATAAATATTACAGCTTTATAATTATTACAAGTTGAAAGAATTAAAGAAAAATTTGTATTTATACAAACAATAATTTGTGATAACTGAATTATATTTAACTTTGCATTATAAATTACATCATTATGGCATAAACGTCTCTCTGGACCTTGAAGAAATAAAAAAATAAATTTTATCAGACTATTCCTTCTAAACTACAATAAATTAAATATTCCTGTCATTATATTTTTTATTTTTTTTTGCAATTTAATTGCACGAATACATAAGTTGTGATGTATGGGCTACAAAAGAGGAATTTTTTAATAAAAAAGTACACTTTTGAAAGTTAAATCTTATTCAAATACCATAATGCAACTTCTTTAATCGATGTAAAGAAAATACCTGGTGATAAAGAATTTACACATTCGTATTAACAGTTAATCAATAGTTCAAGTTTTCTTTTCTCGACGGAAAAAAAGTGAAATTTTCCTGTAGTTTTTTTTTACACTAATCAAAATCAAATTTCAATGAGTATCGAGAAAAATACCTGAATCAAAACCTACTATTCAATACTTATACTAAGCACATTTTAACTATTTATAATTTGTAAAATAAAAGAAATGATCTAAATTAATTTTACCTGTGTATTTCCAAATATCGTGGCAGTGTTTTTGACAAGGTGACTAATTTTAAAGAGTAAAAATTAAGCTAAATTTTTTTATTGTATTTATTCAAAATCCAATTTTTTGTTATTTTTTTGTTTAATAACAATGGTATTTACCTATTAATAGCGTTAACCAATACAAACAACCAAGTGCTTCTCTATTAATACCTATATTAAAACAATTTGATAGCAAATATTATCCGACCGTATGTCAATTGTAATTTAATGGACAAAACGAATTTACATTTTAACAATTTTAAAATTACATTTTAATATAAGTTGACAATTAGCCTCTTTACGGAGTGAACTAATTTGAAATAAACCTTATAAACAAAGTCACAAAACCCATGTAAACTTGATTATTTGTTTTTAAATATTTTCTATTAAGAAAATATTTTTTTATGATAATCGTAATTCAATAGCTAATTATAAAATGTGCTATTTATTTCATTCTTTTTCACACTTTTATTTTTGTATTTTTAATAACTCATTTATACTTACACTCAATTTTTTATCATTAATAAATTCAACATTTATTTATATTTTTTCTAATTTAAAAATTCTTTATACCTTTATACATAAAACAATTTTTTTGTATATGGATATCTAAAAAGAAACATTGATAGTTGTATTTTTTTAACATATACATTTAAAATGTATTAGTGTTAACTATGTATATGTACAGACAATTACTTAAAAAGAAGAAAAAAAATTAACAAATAGTCTTGGTCTTTTGTTAAACATTTACTCAGAATTACAACTACAAGCAATAGTGCCGATAAATAATAGTAAATAAAGAACTGTAATAATTATGAAAATTTATAACAATAAAATTTTGTTTCTACTATTGTCTTCACGAAATGCCTCTTGAAATACATACATCTCACTAATATTGTTTATTTTTTCATATATATTTTTTTACATTCACAATAAAACATGCAGGCATTTTGAAACATTAATATTACATTTATATTATAAAATATCCTTTTATTAAACACAGGTGAATCGAAGTTGTAATTGGTACAAAGAAATCGTACAGAATCACAACTACTCCTGGAGAATTCTAATTCGACTGTTTACACAACAAACAATATATTCCATTATTATTTTTATTTCGTTTTTTTGCTTGAAAATATCGTAAAAATACCATGAGATGCAACTTGTAGACTGGGGCTATAATATTATTTGCTTAATATTGTTTAGTTTACCAACAAGCAAAAAGCGTAAAATTAAAAATTCCTCTAAATTAAATTGATATCTGAACGAGCAACATTATTTAACTATTATCTAAAATAAGAGTGAGACCAAAACTTAATTTTTTTTTTTAAGTGAACATACAATGATAAAATATGACTATTATTCTTAAATATTATTCGTTTATGTATATGACAATAATATATCCCTAAGACTTATATTTTCAAATCCTGTCTTTAAAAACGACATAGAACTAATTTAATTTCAATTTTAAAGATAAATATGTTGCTTTTAACTTCTGACACAATTGAGGGATACAATTCGTGCTCTCGGTGGAGAGGAAACGCCCCTCCAAACCAGACAGTGATAAAAAGAAACATTCGTAAATCAGAAGCATACAATTCTTTTGCTCAATGTTTGCTCCTTTTTTTTTCGTTTTTCATTTTTTATTTTAAAGGCTCAATTCATAAAGATCAAATGGTGGAAAGTAGAAGCGTGGAATTACTTGATAGATTCACCAGTAGTCGCAACATGATATGGTGAACCGCTTTGGGTCATGCCTGAGACAGAAGAAATAAACATGCTCATTGTATAATGGTACAAAAAAAAAACTAATGCTTTGGCATTAAAAAAATAATGATACAAGTGACAAAATTTTTCAAAGTTTAAAAACAAATCAAAATGCAACAGTAATAAAGCGATAAAGCAAAATCCTTGGTTAACACTCTCACCGTTGTCGTGGGTTTTTTCAAGACCCATGGAATGTTTTTTTTATCCTATCTATTATTCTATGCATTCCTCTATTCCGTCTCTTTCCTGAACAAGAGTAATTTTATTTGAAAATTTAGAACAAAAATATAATTGTTATTGCTTATTTAGCAAAGTCTATTATTTAGACCGGTGTATAACGGTCCACGTTACATTTTTTCCAGAACATACATACAACATACAAAGAACAATTGTTAATACGAGTTACTTTACTCAAATCAGGTAGGAAAAAAAGGGTTTGCCCTACTAATCTCACCCTAATCCCTTACCCTTTGTCTATTGTCCTGGTCTTGTTTTTTTTTTAAGTTTTCACTTTTTAGGTTCTATTTCTACTTGGGTTGATATTTTGTTATAATTTCGGAGGCAGGAAGGAGAACAAAATGTTTTCTTCACAGTCAATCTTGTCACTGCACTGGCAATGAAAATAAATATTTTCCCAGATGTGAAAAATGCAAGCAATTCGTACGTGGTAAACATTCAGTGTCAACCAAAAATGGGAATGTATAAATTGTGTAGAAGATTCATAATGTAATAGTTAGGTAATAATGTAAAAAAATGCTAATAAAATATTATCATAGCTGCATATGAAATGTTTATAAAATGTAAAATTATATAATGCAAATAAAATCTGAGCTAGCCATGAAAATTTTTATTATAAGTTACCTAGGTATACTAAATAAATAAACAAAACAAAAAACACCTAATTATTGTAGTTTTCAGTTTAAAAAAATGTTGGGCCTAAAATGACTTTATTTTTTACCGACAGGGTTCAAGTGTTAATATGCATGACATAAAATGATTTGTTAAATAAAACGAAAAACAACACTTTCTTTGTCTTTGGTATAATACAAATTTAATAAAACACCAAAATTATTTGAACAGGCTTTTCATGCATTAAGTCTTTTTTAAGAAGAAAAGTTTAAAAATTCTAATTCTCGGTTTAAATTTTGAACATAAAAAAATACTGTTTTTCATACTCACTTTATTTATTATAATTTTTTTGAACAATTTCTAGAATTGTGGAAGATGAACAAATATTTTAAAGAAGCAGTTCAACTGATTAACAGCACCAGATAAGCCACTTGATAGGCTTCATTATAGCAAATAAACAGAATATGCATTCTTTTTTCACTTCAGATGGGACAAATCTGTCAAGAAATTAGAATAAATATTTGCATGGATCAGTCTCTTTAATTTTTCAAACCAAAGGCAGATGAATGATAATATTCAAAGTTCTAGCGATGTTTTCTAACAATAGATTTTTTAAAATTACAGTTACAACAATGCTAGTGAGCTACAAGCAACTTTTTTATGAATTTCATATTATAAGATTATAAGTTTAATTTTTTTAAATTATTTTAATTATTTATACTTTTGATTTAGTAATTATGGTATCGATAAAATAAAGAGATAAGATTATCGATCTACAACCTTCCCAAGTTTTCTTCCTAATTCAATTTTTTATGTAATGGACAAGATAATCAATAAAGTGCGTTAAAAGTAAACTGCTCAAAGAGTGAATACCCCAAAATTGGTGACCCCAACATGATCGGAAGTTAGTAAGTTCTTCTTTGACAACATATAATTTTTTTTACCATGCTGGACGACTGTGAAGGGAGGGCTTCAGGCGTGCCGTCTCATCAGCACATGGCTCAGGAAGCGGTAAAGTTGCCTCTGTTTTGGACGAAAGACATGGTCCTCTGGTTTGAAAATAGCCGCATTACGAATGAGAAAACAAGGAATTTAATTATATTGTGGGTGCTTTAGATAATGATATTTTACAGGCTGTTCGGGATATTGTCATTTCTCCTCCTCACAAAACACCTTATTCGGTGTTAAAAGCAAGATTACTTAAACATTATGAGGAGTCTGATGCTATTACGGACAACAAATTGCTAAAGGACCTCCCTTTGGGAGATAATAAACCTTCTCAACTATTATCTCAGTTGAGACAAATCGGAGATGGTTGAGTGACTGAAAATTTCTTGCGAACGCTGTGGATACAACGCCTTCCCATGCATGTTCAAAGTTCTCTGGCAGGATCTAATGCCTCCTTGGAGGAGCTGGCCGAAACAGCCGATAAGATTATAAATATAGTGGGTGCAACGTTCAGCACCAGCCTGAATTAATTCAAGGCCAACTCGACGACATTAAAGCCCGAATAGAAGAAATATCAACACAATTAGCTGTCTCACAACCAATAGGACGAAACAGAGGTATAGTTAGAGAGCAAAGCAGTCGCCGTTATATCAGAACTGCATCTTCATCTTCGGGCAGAAAATTGTGTTGGTACCTCTACCGTTTTGGTCATAAAGACCGCTCATGCATCCCCCCATGTACTTTTTAGGATTCAAATCAGGGAAATGAGTTCAGGCAGTCGCTCCTATGAAGGGCACATCGATTGTTTATTGCTGACCACATGTTGAATCGTTCATTTTTAATTGACACGGGTGCCACACTTTCTTTAGTTCCCCACAAATTGGTTCAAAATATCTGCTCTACTGGCGATCTTCCATATTTGGTCATAGCTAATGGAACCAAAATAACAACGTTTGGACAAAAAGAATTAACTGTAAACCTGGGATTCACCAAACCAATTACTCGGACATTTGTAGTCACCGCAATCGACACTGCTATAATTGGTCCTGATTTTCTTATCGCTCATGGATTACTCGTTGATATGAAGAACCGACATTAGTCAGAGTTGATAGAGAATTATCATCAGTGTGTCAACTCCACCCCACGTACATACATGATATCCAAAGTATTAACCCTACCATTCCCTTAAAAGCAAAGAAATTATGTAAAATCTTTAGTGTGCCCTGCAAAGACCTTCCTACCACAAAGACCGAAAACTGGATTGAGACAAAAGGCCCCCCAATACATGCAAGAGCGCGAAGACTTCCTCCTGACAAGTTATTAGCAGCAAAGGCTGAATTCAGAAAGTTGCTTAAGTTAGGTATTGAGTCCATGGGCTTCCCCACTTCACATGGTAAAAAAATCAGATGTTATATGGCGGTGCTGTGGTGACTATAGGTCACATTGCCTGATCGATATCCTGTCCCACATATTCATGATTTTAACATGACCCTGGCCGGCAAAACCGTTTTTTCAAAAGTTGATCTCAATAAAGCATTTTATCCGAGCATGACCAGTGCGTCAGGAAGATATTCCTAAAACTGCAATAATCACACCTTTCGGCCTTTACGAGTTTGTCAGAACCCCGTTTGGATTGTGAAATGCTGCCCAAACTTTTCAATGAAATTTTTACTGATGTGGATTTCATCTGTATATACTTAGATGACATTTTGATTGCCTCGTCAACTAGTTCTTCATCGATTACACACACAATGCTGGACTCAGTATAAACAGGACCAAGAGTGAGTTTGGTGTCACATCTCTTAGCTTTCTTGGATTCAACGTTTCACCACAAGGAATAAAACCATTCGAAGACAAAATCCGTATCATATTAGATTATCCCCAACCAACCAGAGTTCATCAATTAAAACGTGTTCTTGGGCTCATTAACTTTTATCATCATTTTGTACCTCAGGCAGCAAAGATTCAAGCTCCACTCCATTCTCTGTGCAACGGAAAACAATCTGACCCTATCATATGGTCGGATACCACGAAACAAGCATTTGAAGACACCAAAAGCAGCCTCAGCACAGCATCTACCCTTGCACACCCAATGCCCGATCAACGTTTTATTTTGGCGACTGATACATCTGACACGGCCTCTGGCGCAGTCCTTCAACAAATCCAGAAAGTGTAGTGGTTCCTTTATCATTTTTTTCCCAAAAGTTTACACTTGCAGAATGTAAATACTCGACTTATGACAGGGAACTCACTGCTATCTATAAAGCTATCAGACACTTTCGGCAAATAATTGAAGGGAGAGAAGTGTTAATATGTACAGATCACAAACTAGATACTTATGCTTTTGCTCAAAAGCTAGATAAGGCTTCTCCAAGACAAGCTAGGCAATTGAGTTATATAAGTCAGTTTACTACAACTCTTTTTTTGTGTAAAGGGCTCAGACAACATCCCAGCAGACGTAATGTCAAGGATTGACCCAATTAATACATGCTTAACCCTGTTTCTGTGACCGAATTGGAGAAAGCTCAGAGAGGAGATACCGAACTGCAGTCTATCCTGGCAAACGATCAACTGAATATCAGGTTAACAGCTGTACCTTTCCAGACATCGTCTTCATCAGAACCTATCATATTGTATTGTGACTCTGGCCGCCCATACATTCCTAACTCATTGCACCAACGTCTCTTTCACTCTATTCATGACCAGGCACATCCGGGTATTCATAAAACTACCGTTGATTTCAAAACTGTGTGGCCATTTATGAGAAGGGATTGTCACGAATGGGCTAGAACCTGTTTACCTTGTCAACGCAGTAAGCCAACAAGACACACAAGGTCAATGCGTGATGATATTGCGATCCTAATGTTCCGATTTGATCACATTGATATAATTGGGCCACTACTGCCATCTGAAGGTAAACAGTATTGTTTGACTGCCATTGATCGTTTTTCAGGATGGCCTGAGGCATAGCCTATGATGGACACAACTGCAAAAACAGTAGCAGATATATTAATGACACAATGGGTTTCACACCACGGGGTTCCCCGAAACATAACAACCGACAGAGGAAGTCAATTCACTTCTAATCTGATGTTGGAACTTAGTCGCAGCTTAGGTGTTCATTACATTACAACAACGGCCTATCACCCCAAGGTAATGGTAAAGTAGAACGTTTCCACCGCACTTTGAAAGCAGCCCTAATGTCACACGCCAAGCTTCAATGGACAAAGATTCTTCCATTGGTACTACTTCAGCTAAGGGTATGTATTGGTAATGATGGATTTTCTCCTTCAGAATTACATTATGGTTCCGTTTTGCGCATTCCCGGCCAGCTCATGGAACACCAGTGATGAAAAAAGTGACTTTGTGCATCGCCTTAACCAATATTTTGGTTGAGCAAGAAAAATTGAGAGGAAACTCAATCATGGCCCAGCAGGATTCACCCATCCTGACCTTTCAACAACTTCTCACATATTCGTAAGGCAAGATGCATTGCGTCCAGCTCTTAGCCAACCCTATAGTGGACCATTTAAAGTTCTAAAGAGGTATCAAAAATTTTTCAAGTTGTTGATGCATGGTCAGGAAGATAGTCGCAACAGATCGCCTCAAGCAGGCATACTTATTACCAGCAACCACATTACACAACCACCCTGTGAAGATATACCACCCCAACAATGCGACCCAAAAGATGTGCCAACTACAACATCAGGAAATGCAGCACGCCCTAAGACTCTGAAAGGACGGACAAGAGTGCGTTTTGAATTAAAGAAGTCACCAGCTACGACTAGAAGCGGAAGACACATCAAAATGCCTATAAAATTTTACAATGAATTTGAAGTATTTTCTTACACTTGTTTTGTTTTTATTTGTTTAGTTCTTTAACTTTAATAGTCAAATTATATTTTTACCTCCTTTTTTAACTAGATCTACAACCTTCCCCCAAGTTTTCTTCCTAATTCAATTTTTCATGTAATAGACAAGATAATCAATAAAGTGCGTTAAAAGTAAACTGTTCAAAGAGTGAGTACCCCAACACTTTCAATCTAAGGCCTTGGTTGGGACAAAAAAGCAAGTGCATGAGGGGGGATTCAAATCCACACCCTCTGGCTAAATATGCCACTGCTCTACCACTTCGAGCTATCATGACTTCGCCAAAGGTCGTGGGTTCAAATCCCACCCATGACACAACTTATTAAAAACTTGAAGTTTTAAAAAATAATTAGACTAATATCTGCGTATATTATAGTCAAACATAACATTATTTAAAAGCCAAATACAGGGGAATCAGAATTCATCTATCAATTAGATTTCTAAGATGCATTTCAATTTACTAATGTTCGTTATTTTCATTAAATAAATTTACATTTAATGAAAACTTAAAAAAAAAAAAAAAAAAAAAAAGACCGATTTCATAAATTACATTTTTACCCACTCACAAATGTTTTGTTTTGTACAAATTTTCACGTACTTTCATATCTTGTTTCATTTCGTTCGTTTTCAAAACAAATACGCATTTTTTTTTAAATTTTGATTCTCCATTTTGATAAGAATGTAACTCGAAGCATAGTCTTTAGAATTTAATTAAATTTTTATTATTAGGTTCTCCTGGTCATAACAATTGCATAAGATAAAGCCATAAAAAATTGATAAAATTTAATATGAGTTTAAAACACTACTATAAACTTGTTTATAAAATAATAATTTCTTTAATTTGATACAAGTTCATAAAATGAGCATAATTTTTAAATATAACGTGTAAAATTCATTTGTAATTTTATCCTTACTAGTCTGTCTACCCTCACTGGGTTGGTATGTCCGCCATCATCAAAATTGAGCCATTTAGGGTCTGTTTTTGTGGTGTTTGTGCTGTAGACTTGCATGACAGACCAACCCAGAGTGGATAGGCAAGATGATCGGTAAGGATAGGTAAGGAGGTAAGGACCAACCCTAGCAGACAGGAGGAAATCTCACGATATATTCATTGCCAAGTTAAATATCAAAAATAAGACGTATAAACGAGATAAATTACACTAAAATATTAGCTATTGGCACAAACGTTTGGCCCACCAATGTTAAATTAATTACCCAGTCTCCTACAATTATTAAGCAATGATCATTTGTCAAATCGATTGCAATGATAGCACCATAAGTTGAGCAAAATTTTGACAAATAATTTTAAAGAATCTAAACAGCTTCTTTCATACATCAAATCATCTGAGGGGAGTATTGAACAGTTTTGAAAGACTATAGAAAAATTGTAAATTTAAACAATAACAATCCTTCTAAAATATCACACAATCACAATCGGTTTTTTTTTTTCTTTCTTTCTGTCTCAGAAAAAACTAGTCAATTCATTCAAGTCAAATGCGGGTCTTAATTGATTAAAATAATAAACTCTCGTAATAACACAAAAATAATGCTATTTTCAAACTTTAAAAAAAGTAGAGAGCTTTTTTTAAATCGTAAGTAGTTAACATACAGCAGTGCTTCTAGCTTGTACATGTAATCTAAAATGTGCTGTTTTATTCAGATCATAGCAAAACCAAGTATGCAATCAAGGCAAGACAAGTATCAATTGCAAACTATCCTTTCATGCTCAAAAAGAGAGAAAAAAAAAGTATAACATAAAATTAGTCAGGTCAAAAAAATTTAAACTTTGATTTTTTCTGAGAATTTCTATGCTTATTTTTAAAAATTATCTAATCTAAAACTGAGATACTTATTTAAATTACAAAATTTTGTTTAAGATAAAAATATTTTTACATTTTAAATAATTAATGAAAGTGTAAAATAAATAAGGTAAGGTGAGAGTAATAATTTTTTTCTGAGAGCTAAAATAGGAAGGAGACAAATAAGACAGGGGTTGTCAAACAGTGAAACTCAGTTCATGACTCATTTTGTTCAGTGAAAATCTTCAAAGTCAATGAGCTTCGCATCAGTGCTAGAAAAGGGCACTAAAAAAGAAAAGAAAAGAAAAACTAGAATAGAAAACAAAAGCTAAAAAAGAAGCATTTAAGAGTATTGGAGTAAACACAAACTACCTGTTGTGTAGGTGACCTGATCTGAAGTCTTCAGGGAGGTGTTTTCGCTCGGCTCGTGGGTGGCGTTAAAATTCTGGGCATTTCCTGAAGTTGGCTGGGAGGTCACTGTGTCGCCACAAGCTCCCTCATCGTCTGAATCCTGTTAAGTGAGTAAAAGTAAGAATTTCAAGTTAATTCTCAACTGGGAACAAATCAATATTTTTGTTCTCAAAATTTGAAAAACAAAGAAAAATATTAAACAAAATACAAATTGTTATTATACACTGTTCATTTTAAAAAGACTATGCCTTAAATTATTTTTAAAAATTTCAAAAAATTTCAAATTTCACAAAAGAATTCTTATCTTTTAAACTATGGTCTAGCAAACATCATACTCTCAAGAGCAACAAGTTACAATTTATAAAATAACACGGTAATTATAAAACATTTAAACATTTAAGATAAGACTTTGAGAGTAACAGTAAAACTAGTTAAAAGTAATAAAAAAAATTCATGCAAACATAATACAGTTCAATATCTACACACTTACTAATGTGGAATAGTGATATTCTTTATGCATGTAGTTTTTGTTGTAGGTGCGTGTTTGTGTGCAATTTTTTTTAAATTCCTTATAACAAGACAGATTTAAAAATACACATAAAAATTCAATCTCTTCTACAATGTTTTACAAAAATTTTTTTTTGAAAAAGTAAATAGTCGGAAGGCTATAGAGCACCAAGAAATTTGCTTAATTCTTTAAAAATATAGAATTAACAAGAAAATGGGCAACCATCCCGTTTTCCGTCTGTCCCTTGTTGATAAAAAAAAACCACAATCACTTTTCCAACCTTCAATTTATTTAAATATTACGTGATCGGTAGCCCTCAGGTTACTAAGAATGATATTTAATAAAATATGTTAGTAATAAACAGCTCTGCATGATGCAATGTACAAAATCATCAACATTTTAAGTACTGACCATTAAAAAAATAAACTGCACAATAACTAGTTACAATTTATAATCAAAATTACACAAACATTTTGTTGTATTTCAGAAGAATGAAGTTCTAAGACTTTTATAATTATAGAACAATTTAAATTACTTCTCTTAGAAATATAAATAATTTGTGCTAAAAACATTTTAGTTTAAAGACAAACTGTTGGAATGAAAACTGTCATCCTCAACCGATGACATCCAATTTGATCCACTTTAACTTTCTTTTTGTTTTTTAATTTTGTTATTCTTTCAAAGGTTACTTAATTTAAAAATCACTTAGGGAACTTTTTTTGAAAAATAAGAGATTAAAAGATTTCTCAACCTGATCCTGAAACGTACAAATTAGAGTTTTTTGTATTTTTGATGTGTCCAGATTTGTTATATGCGATGAACATTTTAAATCAGACCAATGTTCACTTGTAAACTTTAAAAAACAAAGAAAGAACTTTTTCACATCAGACCTTTTTTGGTTTTCCATACAGAAGAAAAGAAGGTAATTTTTTAAACATAGCAAATGAAAATAAATAAAAAATAGCAGAAAGTTCCTATAAATTTAATTGCAAAGAATGACCCAAGTCTATTTTGACTAGAGATTTGTGATTCCTGTATTTTGTTAAATAACCAGTCACAGAAAACACTCAACCTGATTCTAGAATAAAATTTCAAACAATTTTTGCAACCTTTTTAGCAATGTGCTCAATATGTTGATAAGCTATGTAGTTTGTGCCTAACAGATGAATCCAGCGAGGATAGGTAGACCAAGATGATTAAATTTCATGTTTATCACTCAAAAAAATCACAATTTAAAAGTACATGTAGTTTTTGCCTAATAAACTAGCCAGGGAGAACCAGCACTGAAGATGGCAAAACATGCCTGAGAAACCAAACCCAGCGATAGGCAGCTCAAAATGATTGTAAATTATAATCATTCCGCAGACGCCATGAAGAAAAGTCATGTACATGCCTGACCTGAGAGCAATATTTGCTCGTCATCTTCAGTAGTCTTTATATTCAATAAAAGGCTCAATATTAATATACCACGAATGATAAAAATATAAAACAAAATTGTGGCAAATTAAGAGTGAACACAATCTAGTTTTTTTAGCACTACACAAATTATATCTACTTTTAAAACAGTTAAGTATATACAAATTGTACAACTCAAGCATAAATATAATATTAATTAAAATTTAATAGAACAATTTTTTTTGCCATTAACAAGAATTAAAAAAACATTGACAATTTAGAATTTAGCAGTTGTTTTATCCTAAATTGCCTCTCCTTGTTGGTTCAATCTGTCAGATAAGTTTTGTCACCTCTGAATATTGTAAAAAGCAAAACACTGACAGATCCAACCAGAGATGCTAGGCAGACCAGGATGATCTGAAACGAAGACAAGACAGGACCACCTACCCCCCCCCCCCACCCGGCCGCAAGAAAAATTTCACAATTTAATGAGAGGTACGGTAACATTTTCTTAGTTGATGGATTAAGGTATTCGACTATTATAGCCGGATTTTGTGAAGATCTACTACAGAAATGATCCTGTAGAAGTATGAGCTTAATCTTAGCTTAATCTTAATAAAACAATCATTTTGTAATAAGAACTTAGACATATTAAACCATGGGTAATTATTTTAATTTGTCCATGGGCCAATTCGATCATGAAAATTTTTTGATCAAAATGGCTCAAACCAAAAATGATCAATAATTAAAAAATAATTGATAAAAGAGAGATAAGGTTAAGAGGAAAAAACAGAATCAACCAGGATTGGAGATAAATGTAGTGGTAAATATTTAAATAATTTTAAAAATAACATTTTTATCTTAAAATTAATTATCTGAGAAAACGACAGTTCCAGCCTTCTTTTTATAGATTTAAACAGATTAATGCAAAAAGGTTGTAGACTTTAAACAAAAAGTCAGTAGAAAAGCTATAAAACAAATCACATCAATAATTTGCATGATGCAAATTTTCAACAACTTTAAAAATATTTTTTAAAAATTAATACTGATTTCTGGTAGTAAAATTTGGTAGGCAAACCTTGTGTGTGAAGTAAAAGTAGTATTTTTAGTCTAATTGTTTACATTCTATAAATACATGATTTATTGACCTTACCAGAACAATTAAAGCTATATGTAAAGAGAAAAATATGTAAGATCGAATCCATTAGGAAATTAGGAAATTGTATGATTTCTAGCGTAACTGCACTTATGGTAAGGCTTACCAAATGATACACTTTAATCTTGGGCTGCCGTTAAATCTCCGAGTTACATGTATGTGTTCATTGTGTGGATTTCGAGGCTATCAGGGCTATTACTGCCATCTTTAACTGTTTTATTCTAGAATGTAAAAATCAAATGAAAAAAAAAGAAAAAGAAATAAGAAAACAGCATTTCCTTGGAAAGGTTGGAAAGAGAGATAAATATTTGTGTACAATTTCGATATGCTATTTTTGTATTTGTCTGAAATTGTATAGAATAAAAATAAAAGAGATTTTTGATGATCTGTGCAATATCTCAATAAGGATGTATTACTTCAAAGGAAAAAATATAGACAAAATTTACATCAACCCCCCCCCCAAAAAAAAAAAAAATTACATTACACACTATTTAAGAAATTCAAAACATTAAATTCAGGTGCGAGGATTAAATATTTAAAAAATGAAAAGAAAGAAGGAAGGGAAAAAAATTATCAAGTTTTTACCTAAATATCATTGTTACCATGTCAAACTATCAAACTTTTTTTTCCACATTTGATACATGCCCATTGCATTGGACACAATAAATCTTATCAAAAAATATCAAATATTTAGCCAGTCCTGTTAGAAATGCTAAATAAAGCTCTCAAAATATGTATATTCGCCCTTTTGTCACTAATAATACACTGCTGCAAGTCAACGAATACACATACATATTTGTTACTCAGGTGTTGTAGATATCAATAAGATTACCTTTTTTTTATACCAGGAACTGAAAAAGTTCTCTTACAACTTATTGTACTCCTTCCAGGTACAATTTTTGGGATACTTGCGCCAACACACATGTGAATTGAGTCCCCATGTTCTTCTATCGAAGAAAATAATTTTCACATGAGGTTGGGACAGAATTCAGGGTTACCGAGATCCAATTCCACCCCGGACACTCTATTCATGGCAACTTTCATTGTAGCCATCGCCTTCCTAAAAGTCCAGAGTGTGTCTTAACCTCTCGGCTACTGCGGCCCCACCCATTCATTAGCATAGTATCATATATGCCATATTTTTATTGTACCTGCTATTAACCTTTTTATATTTTTAATAATCTTTTTATGAAGTATTATTTTTTTAAACCTTCTATTTTTCAATGACAAATATAAAAATGTCAAAATGCAATACAAATCAAACTGTATAAAAAGCCACATTTGCACTCTTGAAACAAAGAAACAAGACAAATCACTGGTTAGTGCTAAGATGCAAAGTGATACATATATGATATCATTTGATTCGAATATGATTTTTTTGGAAAGTAAAAAATCAGTAAACTGATAGTCACATCACGCTAAGAAATATTAAGCCAAAAAATAGAAAACTGTCTTTTAGCAAAGCTGACCACTGTCCCCGAGTAACAATTTTCATATTTAATCGTTTGACATGATAATGATACTACTAGAAACTCAAAAGTTAATTGTTCAAAATCAAGAAATAACTTTCAAAAAGCAAAGTAACTCTTCTAGAAGAACCTGTAGCATGATCGTCATAAATCATTCTGGTCTGGGTCCTTTTCACGGGTTTTGTCTGCTTTTCATCACCTTCCATGGTTGTAGTTTTTTTTTTTTCATAGTCTTTACCATGTTTACAAATTCAGAAAACCTCTTACAAACCAATGAAGATGTTTAAATGCGAAAACAAGGAACGCAAAACCGAGACTGACCAGGATGAACAGACTACTTTCCACCATACCATTTCTCATTCAAAAAAACAATTTTAGTTTTTGATGCAATGATCAACATATTTTACATGCTAAGTATGCAAAATATACTTTATGACAATATTATTAGTATCCCCGTCAAACAAGATTTTTTACAGTTAAGTTTGGAAATGATTTTTAAGCTCTGAATAAATTTTCAAATTATTACTTTTGTTTTTTCAACGAATGGCTTACCAAGCAAATTTTTAATTATATTTTAAATGCATAAAAAATGCTTAGGGTAAAAAGATAAAACGACCAATTAAGAATAATTGTTTAGGTAAAGGCTAAGCAAGACTGAATTCAAATAATTAGTAGCTTGAATACAAACAATAGTTGAACATACACAGATTATTTGCATTGTAATATCCAAACCAAGATTAATTTTAAAAAGTAGGAGATTGTACAAAACAGGCTAGGGATATACAGATATACACCCAGAAACAACAGGTTTTACACGTCCACGATTCCTTTTAAATTAACGCTACATATTTGCTCACCGATTGTTTGGTACCTTTACCAGTAATTTGGAAAACAAAAGTAGGACGTAGTCATGCATAATAAAGTAGAGTAGACAGATCCTTAACTGTTCTGAAAGCATGCAGGATTTTGAAAAGCTTGATAATTAAAAATGGTGCGGCTTACCTGGTTCGAATGCTTGGTAGGCTGTGCAGTCACCGGGTCTCCTGCATTGTTTCCCTCCCTCTATAAACAGATCCACATTGCTAGACCCTCAGTTGTAAAAAAAAAAAATTCAACATGTGAAACGATTAAACAATTAACAGATTAACGAATTGAACTTTTCTACGACTTTTTTTCCCCCTTGTCACAACGATTATAAACAAGTAATTTTATTTTAACTTTAATGTTCATTTAAATAAATGTGAAAGAATGACATATTTTACAGATTCCACTAAGTTCATTTTTGATAAATGATAATTCAACTCACGGATTTGTTGTTTACCTCAACCATCATTTACAAAAAGTGACTACATACTCTCACAATCTTCATCATTTCTATCACTGTTTGTTCAAATTTTATGGCTTTTACAGGAAGTGACAATTTTTCTAGTACAATTAAAAATAATAACCATTGAAAAATCTACAGTCTGATCTATGAATCATCAAATCAAAATGAAGTACTTATAACATCATGATATCGGCTGGTAAATAATATTAAGCTAGCAAGACAGAGTGGCACAATGGCAATTATTTTCAGATAGCTTTTTTTTCTGTACTGTTTAAGTTTCAAAATAAAGTGGATTTTTGGTCCGATACTAGTGCTTTTTCGTTGTAGTCTACTTTTTATTGTTTATACAAATGGGTGGAATTTTCATTGTAATTAACATCGATACCTCCAATTTGATTCTAGATTGGCATAACGACCAATTCTATAAAGTTCATGAATTGTATTTAAGTAATACTAAAGCGTTGTCAATGTCTGTTTAATTAAGAGTCGAGTTGATTCAAAGGAGAAATAAGGACTCTTATTAGTAAATTTGCAAATAAAAAAGGATCAAAATTAAACATAAGAAAATTAATCGTTTCACATGGTCTACTTATTTATAGCAACTAAATACAGGTAATGGTTTACGTGGCGAGAAGCCACAAACAACTTCAATAACTATCAGGAAGAGAAAAAAAAAATGCAAAAGTATAATTCCACTCGAATCGATGTGTCGATCATGCATAACAAATTGAAGGAGTTTATTGAAAAAAAGGCATTTTCCCATGTTCAACCACCATGCACACATATAACAGAAACATGGTGTGATTTTCGGAAATATATACAGATCAAGGGATGATTTTAAAGAAGAATTGAGAGAGATGCTCAAAAATATATGTGAGAAAGGAGAAGAGATGCTCTAGTTAACGATAATAAAATTAAACTTATGGAATTAAAAGAAAAAAGGTTTGCAATCTAGAAAAAGACTTACCTTAAGGAAGAATAGTCAAATAGATAAATAGATACAAGGCCATTTTACCCCTTACCTGCTAGTTATTGAAGTGTTTAATGACTCTCTAAAATATTAAATTCAAAAGCATAACAGAGAACATGCCACACTTGGAGAGTATGATTGTTACTTATAAGACCCACCTTAATATGGCTTCCATTAAAAAAAATATATATTATCAAGAAAAGATTAAATTCTCAAAATCAAATTGGGGGAAGTGGCAAATGAATGGCTTAAAAATAGCCAACAAGAAAAAATTAAATTAAATCTTGATGTAGATTAAATAGAAGGTACAGACAATTTGCACATACGAAACTTTCAAACTCACTGGCACACTTTTTTTCTCTTTCTCTACTCACATGTAACGTGTGGTAGTTCCCACTGTCTTCTGGAGACCGTGGCTTACACTTCCCGCAGCAGAAGTTGCAGCAGCAACAAAAGCAGCAACAGCCGCAATAACATACGGTGACTAATCCACACAAGACGATAAGTAACTAAAACATAAAAAGTCAATTTATTAATATATCTTTGTTGAACAGATTTAATATGTTATTTTTTGGCCAACCAATATAAAAACGAGACTAAAAATGTGATAAATCATTATAGAATTTATTTAAACATTTACCAACACTAACAAATAACAGTGTTGAAGCAAACTCAAGCATTTTCATTCTGCTGGACATATTTTCATGTTTGTCTTAAAAAATGTTTGGTTTTTTTTATCAAAACAATATTTGCTTAGTATGCAAGATGTTTTCTGAAGAAAAGCCCATCCATTTATTTTTTTTTTTTTTGTTAATGTATTAATGTATTTAATGATTTTATTGTATGAATTTTTAAATTTATCCTCATAAACTTAAACATCTGAATCACCATTTAATCTCTGGGCATTGTTGAGTACTTATTGCATGTTCTTGTCAATTTGTTTTTTCATTCTATAAAAGTCACAAGTATAAATTGTTTTCCATCCAATAATACATCCAAAATCATATCTAGTGGATAACAAGTGCAAAAGAAGTTTATTAAGATAGTTTAAAAAAATTATTTATTGCGTCATGGTTTTTGTTCAAGTGAACAATATCTAGTTTTCTTTATTAGCACATTTATGTTTGCAGGAAGGACTGATATAAAGATAAAAATAGAAGGAAAAACTTCACTTAAGTGTAACAAAACCAAATATTATGTGTCTTAATTCTAGTTTGTACTTTTCATTTACCGACGAATATTTTTAAAATTCAAAGACAGCCTCTTGTCAAAAGAATGAAGTAAACAATGTGAGTATGATCAAGAGAGATAAGTGTTGTTTTTTTATTATTTCTCCCACACCGAAAGCCGAATCGCAATTTATTGTTTATTCTACTAAGAACACACTGAAATATCACAGGATACAAAAATGATATTTAAACAAGTGGCAATCGAATTTTATTTTAATTTATTCAAAAATATGTAGCCAGAAGTCTCTTTTCAAGAAAATTAAATATTTTAAAAAATGTTATAAATGGCAAAAGTGGAATATATATTTTAAAAAAAACACTAAGAAAAGAAGAACAAAATAAAACAAGGCAACCTAAAATGTAATTGCTATCGTTAAAAAGTTAGCCAAGAGTTCTTTATCAATTTACAATTATCACCTAATCTAAAAATTATCACATACCTTGCACCATTTTGATGTAACTAAGAAGTAAGCGTTGACGTTGTCCTCGCCAAACTGTTCAGCAATATACAATCCAAGAGAGCCATAGTTGTCGTAAATGTTCCTCTTGGTCATATCACTAAGGATGGAATGGGCCCTGTTAACATCTTTGAACTGAAAAATATATATTTCAATAAGAGTTTGTTTTTCTTTTCAATCATTTTCCAGCCTTCTTACCATTTCTGCCGCTTCGACATTGTCAGGGTTTTTGTCTGGATGGTATTTGAGGGCAAGTTTTCGATAAGTCTTTTTTATATCCTCAGGTGAGGCCGTCTTCGGTAGGCCGAGGATGAGGTAAAGAGAATCCCCTGATGTTCTGAAAAAAAAAAATACAAAATAAACATTTAATTTGTATGTAATGTTTTATTGGTGCATCTAAAAGCACAAATAAATTAAAACAAAAACTGCCATTGTTTTCATTTCAATTATTGTTGACATTCATTAAAGGGGGAAAATATTAAATAGTTTTCCTGAGATGTTTTTGCCTTCCTCTTCTTCATGATCAATAACATAATCATAGCCTACAAAAAGCTAACCCAGCCACCCCAATTTCCTCACACGAGGGAATTAGCAAACCTGTAATGAAGGTATGTGGTATCTTTTATTCGGACAATGCCGAATGGGACACTAATAAAAGAAAAACAATATTCAGCAGATCCTTGCTGCGCAGTGGAAATAATACAAATAAAAACGAAATCCGAATTACAACAAAAATTTATATTCCTTTATAAAAAATAAACAAACAAACTCAAAATCTTCGAAACAAAATATAAAAAAATCTCAATCAAAATAATCATACAAAAAAGAATTAAAATATTTTCTTTTGCCAACCTGTTAACGATAGTTCATAAATGAAGTAGACTCTACGACTGCCTTCAAGCTACTACACGTTATAGCGAAAGCAGCGCTAGTTTTTCAAACTATTTGTTTGGCAAATGAACTATTTACGTTTTTTATATAATACACATCGCAATAACAAATTAATAAAATTTTCTTGACTGAACAATTTAAATAAATAAAAAATAAGATTTTTTTTTCTAAATAAATTATTGTTTGTTTGAAAATTAATAAGGTTTACTTCATTGTTAATAATAATAATTTAACTTGAAAATTAAAACAACGAAGAGATAAACAAAAAGTCAATTAAATCAAAATTGTCGTGATTTTCATGACAAGNTCTTTACCCATTTGCGGATAAGTGAAGTACCTTCTTATGTTGGAAAGAGTTTTTTGAAATCCCCTGTGAGATCCGAATGCAGATGTGTGGAAATAATCAAAAATTACTGGATATAAAGCCTTTGGAAGTATCACTTTTGGTTGCAGCATCGTCGGTGTTTTTAAACACAATAGGTTTTCCTTGTTCATGATATAGCCTTTCATATTGTTATCGCTGGACATTGTGTTTATTATACTGGCTAATTTTGAGTCCGATCGTTGATGTTGTTGCAAGGACGTGAAAAATTCCGGATATCTTGTAATTGCACACAATGCGTACTGCCAGGTGTTATGAATGTTTTGTTCGACTTGATAGGTTACTGAAGAATGAATAATGTTATCAGGCTGTGTAAATCATGAAAGCGCGTCTGCTATATGGTTGGTTTTTCCTTTTATGTGCCTTGCTTCGAATTCATAGTTTTGAAGAAATGCAATCCATCTTGCTAAACGACCAGTTAATTTTGTCGAATTCTTAAATATCCAAGTTAGCGCCGAGCAGTCTGTATATAATATGAATTTATTGTGAGTAAGATACGTATGGAAGTATTGTATACAATATATTACTGCTAAGGCTTCGAGTTCACAGGGACTATAATTTTTTTCATTTGCGTTTAATGTCCGTGATGTAAACGATATCGGCATTAACTGGCCTTCAAATTCTTGTGCTAGCATCCCTGCGACTGCTACTTTAGATGCATCGGTTGTAAGTGTAAATGGCCGGTTAAAATCGGGCATTGTTAACACTGGTGGATTACTTATAATTTTTATAATTGCCTCATAAGCTTGTTGGCATTCTGGTGTCCATATTAACTGCGCTCCTTTTTTCTTTAATCCATGTAAGGGAGCTGCTATTGCTGATAAGGCTGTCACAAATTTGCTATAATATCCAATTATTCCTAAAAATCCTGCCAATTTCCTTAATGTAGTAGAGGTGGTATCCGACGAATAGCTTCCGTTCTTTGAGGATCTAGCTTTAAGGTATTCTGAGAAAGTAAATGTCCCATAAATTTTATTTCCAAACATCCTACTTGGATTTTTTCCGGATTAACGGTTAACTTGGCCTTCCGCAATATGTTTAATACAATTTTCACATGCTGAATGTGTTCGTTCCATGTTTTTGAATACACCAATAAATCATCAATAAAGGTCCACACGAATTTATATTTTACATGACCAAATAATTTTTCTATTAACATGGAAAGAACTGAAGAGCCTATAGTCAAACCAAACGGTACTGTTTTGTATTGAAATGATCCAAAAGGTGTGACAAAAGTCGTGATTTTTTTTGACTGATGCGTTAGTGGTAATTGATGGAAGGATTGGTTTAAATCTATTAGAGTAAAATATTTCGCATCTCTTAAATAGTCTACTACACTACGTATTGTCGGTAGCGGCCAATGCACATGTTCAATAATTTTATTAATTTTTCTATAATCCACACATAGTCGGTAATTTTCCGAGTGCGGTTTTTTGATTAAAATTGCAGGACTTCCATAATCTGAAATTGCTGGTTCGATGATATCTTTGTCCAATAAATCCTGAACAGCTGATTTCATTATTTTGAGCTGAGATGGATTAAGTGGGTACGGTTGAGATCTGATAATTTTATTTGAAGTTAGCCGTATCTCCACAGACAAAATATCGGTACGTCCAACCTTGGAAGTTAACACATCTGGATATTGTTTTTTTAATTTTTCCAGTAGTTCAGTATTTACATTTCCTGCTCTTCCTATTGCCGCTAGCTCAAAAGATTTTGCTGGTATTGATTCCCACTTCAATGACTTGCTGGGATTAAATGAAAACCAGGCTTTCTGTTCTGCTGGGAACAGTATTAGTTTCGTGCTTGTAAGGAAATCCATACCAATTATCATTGAAATTGGCAATCTTTTTATTACTAAAAATGAAAATGACCATGAATAATCTAAAATTTTTATTTTCAATTCCACGGTTCCCATGGATTTATCTTTGTTGAATTTATTGATATTATTTCTTCTTTGCTATTTTGTAAACGTATATTTGAGTTAATTTGTGTCAAAAATAAGAAGAAATTTTCTGAAATTGCTGAAGTTGTGGAACCTGTGTCGACAAGGGCATCTATTCTAATTGAATTCACCGAAATTTCGATGGTACCAACTTGCCCATTGCTGGTTCCCAAAGCACTTAGCTTTTTGATTCTCTTGGTTGGTTTCCTGCAGCTACTTGCGCATAACTCGGTATATGCACTGGTTGCGCGGGGTATGGCGAAAAGTTATCAGGGATTTGGTTTAAATTTTGCGGAGGATATCCATAAAAATTTGGCATTTGCCCCATTGCGTTATAATAAGGAGGGCATTGACCGTAATTGCTCATGTTAGGTAGAGTTCTCCGAAAGGGTCTATATTTTCTTTCATTATAAAATTTTTTATAGTTTTTGTCTCTGTAATTGGAGAAATTTTTACGTCTACCAGTTCTCGTGTTTTTGTTAAACTCAAGATCATAGTTTCGGCTGGGGCCATTATTTCGTCTGAATTTTCTGTTTTCCTTATTAAAATTTCTGTCGAACGGTGCATAATTATGAACAAATCGTCGGTGAGATCTCAAAATGGACCAATTCATGCCATTTTGACATTTACAAATGTTTTGTTGCCATCCTACGTTTTCTCGTGGGTAATTCCAACAATGATTGTGGTGTTGACAACATCCAAAGTGCTCACAATACGGCAATTTAATTAGAGGATAATTCTCATTAGGGACTGATGTAAACGGAGGTGGGTGAGATTTCTTTGCGTGGAAGTTCTCATCTCTTTTTTTGTTGTACCGTTGTTTTTGAGTATTCACGCCTAGATTCATGAAATTCAAAGGTCGTTTCTCATCAACACTGTTGTCGTCCGTATCTGATGTGATCACTTTCTTATCGGCCTTCTGTTGTGAAGAAAAGGATCTTTGAGATCTATTCATAGAAAATTGACGATTCGCTAATAATAATTCTATTTTCCCAACCTGAGCTAATAAATCATCCAAATTGTAAAACTGAGTATCAGGTCTAATAAGAGCTAAATATTTGGGACACAGCCGGTCTATCATTATTTGACAAATTTCTGATTCTGACGTGTCTCCGAATATTTTTGCATTTAATGTAATTTCATCAATATAATCCTCTTAGCGATTCCTCTGGGCCTTGCGGACGCATCAAATTATGCAATTTCAAATAAACGAGAGATGTCGGTGGAACATACGTTGTAAATAACATATGTCGAAAATCTTCAAATTGTATTTGTTTTTGCATTGAAGCCTGTAATATTACGTTTGCCACTGATCCTTTCAAATTATCCGATATATAATACAATATGGCCGGAAATTTTTGTCTATTCCTCAGGGCTATCGGATAAAGTGACTTTAAAAATTGAAAAATAGATTCTGGATTGTGCAATTCTAGTTTCAGTAGGGCCAACAATTTTCTTCTCGTATGCTTATCTAAATGAATCTGATATTTATTTTACAATTAGACATATAATTGTAGTCGTCCGAATTTTCAGAATTGTCGAAGTCCCAATGGAACGATTTTGGTGGTACTATCTCGTGCGAAAATGAAAGCGTGTTCTTACCGGTCATGGTTTTCGAAACATACCCATATTTTTCTTGATCTTTCTCCTCATCCTTCATTTTTCCTTTTCCTTGATTTTTTTCCTCTAATATTTCTTTTTGTTCTCCAATGTTCGGATTTGTGGACGGCTTCGGCTTACATTTTCAGCGCTTTTCCATTCGCAAGTTGCGTACCAAATTGTTTAATTAATGTTTTCACTTGCCTCGATTTTATGTCCGCTTTTTGGCATGCTGCTGATACCACATTCTTCATTAAATTTATAAATTCCATTTTGCCTAACGCTTGTCCACAATATTTGAACAATTCTGTTTCCGACAAGTCATCTATTATTTTCTTCTTACTTTGAGGTGTTAAGTCCGTAGTCATGAGATTGTGACTTTCCAAACTCGTTTGTTCCTTCTTATTTTGGGATGAAACAATTTCTTTTTCCATGTTTTTTTTTTTGCTATGGAAACTGCGTGAATCTATTTGGATTTAGCTCTGCTACCACTATTGTAATGAAGGTATGTGGTATCTTTTATTCGGACAATGCCGAATGGGACACTAATAAAAGAAAAACAATATTCAGCAGATCCTTGCTGCGCAGTGGAAATAATACAAATAAAAACGAAATCCGAATTACAACAAAAATTTATATTCCTTTATAAAAAATAAACAAACAAACTCAAAATCTTCGAAACAAAATATAAAAAAATCTCAATCAAAATAATCATACAAAAAAGAATTAAAATATTTTCTTTTGCCAACCTGTTAACGATAGTTCATAAATGAAGTAGACTCTACGACTGCCTTCAAGCTACTACACGTTATAGCGAAAGCAGCGCTAGTTTTTCAAACTATTTGTTTGGCAAATGAACTATTTACGTTTTTTATATAATACACATCGCAATAACAAATTAATAAAATTTTCTTGACTGAACAATTTAAATAAATAAAAAATAAGATTTTTTTTTCTAAATAAATTATTGTTTGTTTGAAAATTAATAAGGTTTACTTCATTGTTAATAATAATAATTTAACTTGAAAATTAAAACAACGAAGAGATAAACAAAAAGTCAATTAAATCAAAATTGTCGTGATTTTCATGACAAACCAAGGATTGTAATTTGATCATTTCTGATAATCTGCCTATCCTTGATGGATTTGGTCTGTCCGACAGGTTTTACAGTATTTAAGTAGCAGGTATATGTGAGCTTTGTTTAGTTTTCAAACACATAATTAAACAAGCAACTAATAAAAAATAACACTGTTTAAAATTTGTAAAACTATATCTGTCCATCATGATAGTCACAGCCTAAGACTATCAGGGGGGAAGAGCCTATATTTGTTTGACCTACAAAAACAGACTTTGACCCAAAAGGTGTATCAAACACATAATCTATTATAATAATAGATTATTATAGATACATAGGTATAAATAGGCATAATATATGACTTTTTTTTCATATACAGTATCTCCAAGGAAGAGTCAAAGCTCAAAAACTATCTGGAGGCCAGCACTATTGTGAGCAAATCATCTTCAACACAAAACATCAAGTATTATTGCTAACTATGTGACAAGCACACTTCCGCCCGAATAAAAAGCAAGGCAATACAATTACCAATAATAATCCTTTATGAATGGTAGGGTGTCTGTAATACGAAATAAAATGGGAAAATTACTCAATTGTTTGCAACCCTACAATTTTATAATAAAAAATCTGTTTTTATACTCTTTTTTTCTTTTATGTACCTAAGTACTTTACCTTTTTATATAAGGTGTATATTCCCAATATGAATATGGCTATAGAATGATGCGATTGTGCTAGATCAACTAAGATAAAACTAAAAACCTGGGTACAAGAGTTATTTCCCAATGAACACACTTTTGTTTGAGCCGGTAACATAGTGCTCAGTAGAGCAAGTAAATTCCTGGGTACGAGAGCTATTTCTGAAAGAACACATTTTTGTTTGAGCAGGTATCATAGTGCTCAGTAGAGCAAGATCGCAATGTAGAACATACCAGCTCTTGCTGCAACATCTAGCGTACACATGGCTAAAAAGGCATACCTTTCCAATATGAGAATGTCTATAGAATGATGCTATTGTGCTAGATCAACTAAGATAAAAGTAAATTCCTGGGTACAAGAGCTATTTCTCAAAGAACACATTTTTGTTTGAGCAGGTACAGTAGTGATCAATAGAGCAAGATCGCAAGTTAGAACATACCAGCTCTTCTTCTAGCATACTTATCTCTAGTAAGGCAAACCTTTCCAATATGAAAATGTCTATAGAATGATGCTATTGTGCTAGGTCAACTAAGATAAAACTAAATTTCTGGGTACGAGAGCTATTTCTGAAAGAACACATTTTTGTTTGAGCAAGTATCATAGTGCTCAGTAGAGCAAGATTGCAATGTAGAACCTACCAGCTTTTGCTGCAACATCTAGGATGCACATGGCTAAACAGGCATACCTTTCCACTATAAGAATGTCTATACTATGACGATATTGTGCTAGATCAACTAAGATAAAACTAAATTCCTGGGTACAAGAGCTATTTCTCAAAGAACACATTTTTGTTTGAGCACGATTGCAAATTGGTTAGAACATAGAAGCTCTTACTGCAACATCTAGCATACATATGTCTAGAAAGGTGTACCTTCCCAATATGAACAAGTCTATAGAACGATGCTATTGTGCTAAATTAACTAATATAAAACTGAAAACCTGGGTACAAGAGCTATCCCATTAAACCCATTTTTGTTCAAGCAGGTGCCAAATGCAAAGCACGATTGCAAATTAGGACATACATGCTCATGCTGGCACATCAAGAAAGGCGTTTCAACATACCTTCCTAACGTGAACATGATCTTATTTGATAAAAAAGCACTTTACCTAATTAGTTGCAACCTTATACATTGTCAAATAAAACCAGTCATAATGAAACAAATAGGTATTAAATGAAAAAATTTGAGAAGGAAGTTTTGGATCACTTTTTATTTATTATCTATTAGGTTTTTCCATATATCACGTATGAAGTTGGTACCAAATGTCAATATTTTCGTCATAGAACTGAATTTTGAGTTTTTTAAAAATAATTTTGAAGTTGAGTATTGCGCCTCGTGATAAGTAATTTGATGAGCAAATGTTTCTCAAAAGAAAACAAATTGACGGTTCAAAATAAAACCCGATTTTCCGCATTATGTAATGATGTTCTGAATACACAGGATTTATAATACAATAGATAATAAATGGAAAATGGGATTTTAACGGGTTTTTAAGGTGCAAGGGATGAGGTTGGTCAAGAGACTTACGATAATTTCCTTTTGTCCATTGTCGACGTTGAGGTCGGTCGGAAATCTGCTTATCTGGAGAATGCGGTCGAGAAGCGTTTAAATAAACGACGTCATTAAGTATCTCGGGGCTTTCGGCTCAAGCGAAATTCTCATCAAATTGTGACAAATACTCCTGAGCGGGTCGGTAACGGTCCTCCTCCTCGTTCTTCTTCTTCTGGCCTCTTCTTCCTCGCGAGACGAAAACGGCCGAGACGTGGTGGGAACAAAAAAGGCGTTTTCTCGTTTCAGCTGTTCTGCGGATTTTTGTTAACTGTTCGCGGCAGTGATGGTGGTGAGGGCGGTGGAGGTGGGTTTGTCATCGACCATCCAGAATCGGGGCCGCTGGAGACTGCGTCGGTCTCGCGCGGTACGGGTCGCAACTAAACCAAAGAGCGCCACTTCCAACCAGAAACGGTCCACAAATTTATTATTATTATTATTATTATTATTATTATTATTATTATTNTTATTATTAATTTCAATTCGCCTCGAAAATAAAGCGAGACCACATGAGAAATTTCTCCAAATATTTCTTCATTTCTTCTTCAGAAATTTCAAAGTTCGTTGTTAACGATTGAAACGACACTTAAAAATATTACATAATTTTCTTTCGGCCTAAAATTCACAGCTTTTTCATTTTTCAACATAAAATACATTTAAATACACAAACACTATCAGCCCTCCGGGATGGTGTGATTTTTCACTAACGACTTCTTTTACAAACTCCTTCTTCATCCCTGATCTTAAACTTTTTAAAATCTAATAGGTTTCAACAAAAACATAAATAACTGCATGAAATACAGTTTATTTTACGTTAAACAAAAATTGTATGCAAAGAATGATTTATGCAATAAATGAATTTGTTACAGAAAGATCAGCTGTCCATAGCAACAAGAAAAATTAGCATTTAACATACACTCTCTGTTTAAAATACATATTCGGCATTCAGACTTTAAAAAAAGTCAAAATGGTTTTTTTTTAATTTTAAAAACATGTGTTTTACTTCAAAGTTTAGTTTAAAACTTAAAAGATTCATGTGGCAAATTGGAAATGCATATAGGAATAGAAAAGTGCTTGAATGCTTAAAAAAATCGTGGACTTTAAAGTCCTTTGCCTTCCTGGGAACTGCGTTATATCGAAAAATGAAACGGCGGATCTTCTAACCATCTTCTATCAAAACTGGCAATTAATGATGGAGAGAGAGTTACAAAAGAAAGAAAAAAATTCAGGCGTGGCAGCCTGCTTTAAACTAAATTCATAGCATTTATGACAGTAATGAAAGTAATTGTGAAATCTTTGATCTCATGGGATCCATGATGTCATTCTAAGCTTCATTGGCCAGAAGATCAGCAAGACCATGTACAAACCCTAAACCTATACTTAAGAAGGCACAATCCTCCATCCTAGACTGGACCCAAAAAAGAAAAGTGGACAAAATCTATAGGTGCTAGGCACTTAAGATAAAAGTACCCTCATCAAAACTGGCAAACTGATTACTAGTATTGATATAGTTAGAGCTAAGCTCAAAGGAGTGATAGGACTATATCCAATCATTGGCATCTGATAACATCTACCTAATTTGGGTATATTCAATGATGATACCCATTTGTTGGTTATGCAATGTGCAAAAAGTCTATAGTTTTTTTTTTAAATTTAGAAAGACTAATTGTTAATTGGAATACTATATGCTGAAATTGTCAGGGTCAGGGCGTTAGTCGGTACTCAGCAGTCAGCACTCCTACGTAACTTTATCAAAGGTAACTCTGCTGTTATTGAACATATGTTATCGGGGAATTGTTCGGGGGAACCGTGTCAATTTATTTACTCTTGAATAATTGACGTCGTTGCTAAAACGTATTTTCGCCCAGTTTGATGTTAAAAACGGGTATTTGATTGTTTTCCACCCCTGTAAATCGAATCGTTTAAACTTTTAAGTACATCGCCCTTGACGTTTCTTTTAAAATCCTTATCTCGACATGGCATTGAATGGATCCTCGAACAGTGGGAGCGACGTCTCATCTCTTAACTTTACGGAGGCCGAGGAACTTAGAAGAGTTCTGATAAAATAAAAAAGTGCGATGATTTTTTAATATACGCGTCGAATGAAAAGGTATATTTGTTAAAAACAAACCTTTAAATGTTTAAAACCTGCAATGGATAATTGTATTTATATTTTCACAGAATAGCCCACGTTTTATAATTTAAATAATGCTTTGAGCCAAACGGGTGATGTCGAACAGGAAAATGCTTGTGAAGTCGTCGCGGATCGTCGGGCTGTGCTCTATCGCCAACTTCATCAATGCGGCCGACAGGGTGATAATGCCAATTGCCATAATCCCGATGACAGACGAGTTCAAATGGAGTTTACATTGGCAAGGCTGGATACTATCTGCGTTCGCCTTTGGGTACCTGACTAGTCAGGTAAGGCGGAAGTCACACTGGGCGAGATACGCGATAATTTACGAGACTGGTTTTGCAGGTTATCGGGGCGTGTGCAGCGAGCCGTTTCGGAGGCAAGACTGTCCTCCTTTTCGCCGTTTCCCTCTGGTCCGTTTCTACAGCGGTGACTCCTCTCCTGGCCACGTCAGTCCCTGCGCTGATCTTCTGCAGAGTACTACTTGGGCTTGGTGAAGGATTAGGTGATTGTTAATTATAATTTCACAATTCACCTCAAGGAATTTTTTTATTATGCTGGAGTACAGCGTGGCTGTTTCAGATTAAGACTAAATAATTTGCATTCAGTAGAATTTTTATTTTAACCGTATCTAAATATGGGACAAACTCAAGATCAATGTGTAGGTCATCTAAAAATAGAGAATAACAATGGACTTATTGTACACCCCTGCCTTACACCAGTGATCACGTAAAAAAAAACTTAAATAGACCTCTTTTAGAATACAAAGCTGAGAATGAATAGCCAAGAATTGACTTTTAAATATTCAGAAATTTTGTAGAAAGCCAAGATTTCCAAGCTAATGAACCAAATTTCTTCAGTCAGTACTGTCAAATGCTGCCTTAAAATATACAGTCAACCCTTGTTAATTCGAAACTTGATAATTTGAATTTCATGATAATTCATGATAAAAAAATTCTTTGCATTTTGATACACCCAGTAAAGGAAATATTTTTTATAATGGGGAGAAAAAGCATGCTATTAATCGAAATGGAACCATTTCCCAACTTTATAATTTGCACATTTTCTTTGTTATATCCTTTTAAATTTCCACCTAAGATTTTTTCAAATTTTCTCTAGTTTATGTTCTGCGGTCAGACTATTTGTACTCAGCACTGGTCACTTCAGAAAATAAATTAAACAAAGGACACCAGGCCATTCGTTGAAACGAAAACCACTTCACGATTTTTTTATTAATGCGTAACAGTGTTCAATTTTACAGTTGATCTATTTCCACTTTTTTTTCATTACTTTTACTATGTTTATGTACAATTTAAGTAATAACTAGGAAAAGTGCATATCAATTCTTAACAATATTTTTTCTTTCCTGTTTATAATACGAATTATTTTTGAGGTTCCTTAGGTTTCCAATTATCAAAAGTCGACTGTACAAAAAAACTATAGCTTTTTCCTCTTGACTAATACGGATTTATGAAATTGGTGAGCGGTGAGTTGAGAAACCTCTCCAAAAACCTGCTTCACATTTACTCAAAAGGTTGTTTGATATAACCAAAAATTCTGCATGATGATGCAACAGAAAAAAAAATAAATAAGCAAGTTTTTTTACTGAGTACAATCAAGAAATTCCTTTGTAATTTGTTATTTATGAAAAAAAATTACTTTGTATTTAAATATTTGAATTTTATTTTTACTTCATTTTTCAAGGCTTACCGACGATATTTCACATATTTGCACACAATGTTCCAATTGAGGAGAGGTCAAGGGCATTTGGATATCTGGTAGCTGCTGGCTCTGTCGGTCAGACTGTCGCTTCTGTGGTAAATCTTTAATTTTAAATTCCCCCAAAGTACAAGCCCTATGGATAAATGAACAAAATAACATTTTAGATATGCCCACATCTTGCCTGGCAGACGGGATTTTACCTGTTCGGCACGCTTGGAATCGTCTGGGTTCTTATCTGGTTCATGTTTTACAATGACAGTAAAACGATGCAAAAGGATGAAATACCACTTTTTGTACCAAGGGTAAAAAAAGAATAATAATAATAATATTCAGGCATGTAATAAAGTACAATTTTAGGTAACAAATCCAAATGTGAGATGGGGGGAATTTATAAGTCACTGGGCACTTTGGGCTATTTACCTTGCTCATTTCGCCATGAATTGGTCCAACTATATAATCATGCAGTGGCTCCCGACCTATCTTGCGAGGAACCTTGGTGCAAACAAGGAGAGCATCAGCCTGACCGCCGTACCTTACGTTATCAATTCCTTAGTTGGAATATGTAAGCAATTTTTTTTTTCTCATGAGTTAAAGCATAGTTAATTAATAATTAATGATTTCAGGTGCTGGACACTTTGCTGATACATTGGTCAGCAAGAAATGGAGTGTTCTTTCAGTTCGGAGGCTGATGACGGGGATCGGGCTGATAGGGCCTGGTATATTTTTGATCGCGTTTTGTGCAGTAGACAATCTTCTCGCAGCAGTTGTGTAAGTCCAAACGTCAAAATGAATTCGATTGATTATCTGCTTTACGTCTGATTTTTTAAATTTTTAGTTTTGTGTCAATTTCTATGGGGCTTTGTGCTTGCAACTCAGCAGGACACTTGAGCAACCATGCCGATATTGCACCGAACCATGCCGGGGTTACATTCGCTATATCAAATACTATCGTAAGATTATTTTTAATTTAATAATTTCCTCGAAAATTTTATTATTTAATTTTTTTTTCAAGGCAACCATTCCTGGCATATTGTGCGGCCCATTGACTGCAGAACTTGTGACGGCTTCACACGGCCGTTGGTTTCCAGTCTTTGTAATCGCGGCTAGTGTGAATATTACATCTGCAATAATTTACTATAGTCAAAGTTCAGCTTCCCAAATACTTTGACATCGTAAGTTTCATCTGTTTTGCACTAATTATGGAACAATAGTAATTTAAAAACCATAATTATATAGGTTTATTTTGTGTTATAAAAGGGAGATTCGGCATGATTTGTTATTAAGTAGATAGAAAGAAGCGAGGCACAAAATTGATTGATAGTAATGTCCTTGAATTTTTATTTATTCATTTCTTTTAATTAGTTCTCGCTTTGGATTGTAATAAACCTCTGGAACTCATATTTTGCCCTCATTCTGCAAGTTATACATAAATAAAACAAATAAAATTTAAAAAAAAAAGATGTAGAAGATTATAATCTTTCAAAAAGTTAAGCAAAACTTTTATGATAAACTCATTTGAACTTGTGATAGAAAAGATTTGTCACTGAAATTTATGATTGTTTTCATTGGTAGTTAAATAGTTGTTCTTAAATGTCAACAATGTTATTAAAAAATAATGTCAAATAATAGAAGTATATTTGATTTAAAAAAAAGTAAAACGAGTAGTGAAATGTCCGTTATAATTTGTTTTTGGAAAGAAAATCTGTTTTGATGTAAAAAAACAATTGTGATCTGAACCATTTCTTTTTGAAAAAAATCCCAATGTTTGCAGTGTAAACCAACACAATGCTTTTTAATGATTTTCTATAAACATTTTTTTTAACTATATATATTGAGTTTATTTATGACATATATATCGGTACATTTTACATTTATAATTTTTCAAAAAGTTCTTACCATCTTCCAAGTACCTTTTATATATTTGTTAAATGATTATCGTGCTGATCGTCCTTTCCCATTATTCCAGATACAATTCCACACTGGGAAGACAAAATGGGTGCTATAAAGGGTAATTAATTGTATATTAGATTCCTTGTACATTTTATAAAAATTAAAATAATAAAAAAACTGTATATTATATTATAAGATGTTAAAGATATAAGAATGATTTGTAGAAAATATAATATTTTGTCATAAATACAATACAATCCGGGTATCTGGTGATTTTGTAAGTATTTATTAGATATTCTATGCTGTACCTGACATTAAACAAACAAACAGTCATTTATTTATTTTCATTATTTCATGTTTTAAAATGAAGAAAAAAAAATTAAACAGCAATATAGTTTTTGTAACTAACAAAGAATAAGATTATTACAATTCCCTCCAAAAGCGTTTTAAAAATTTATTTGAAACGTTTCATTTGGACTCGCTATTTTATTTGCTGTAAGATGACTGATGAGTTTATTTAATAACGGTAGTATACAGTTTATTTACCATTTATCATTTGTGTTTGTTTAATTGTGTTCTATAATTTTTCTCTACTTCTTAGCTCTGCATTTGTTTTGCTGTTTGTTTGACATGTACACACACACACTGTTTTAATGTATAAAAATATTAGGTTGTTTATGTGAAATACTGTATGTAATGTATAAAATACGTGTTGCAATAAAACAATACCTGTTGATTTTTTTTTTTTTTTTTTTTTTTTTTTTTTTTTTTTTTTTTTTTTTTTAAACTCCATGAAGCTTGCACGTCGGTATACATGTGAAGTTGTGGGATTTTAAGGAATTGTGAGATTTCTGCTTAAGCTTGTGGGACTGAATTACATCCATCCGTCCATCAATTTTCTTTTAGAAATTCTTAGATTGCCGGTCTTCATTGAAGTTGCTCGATACTTTCCAATTTATCTTGCCTTATAAAAATGAATTTGTTAGCATGTATTACTGAATATGCACATTAATGACAGCTCACACAGTACATTTACACCATATTAGACATTATACAAACATTCACATTTTTTTAATCTTTCATGATTCTTTAATTTGGTTGGTGGAATAAAAAAAACTGAGAATTTCATTATATACAAATAGTTTATTTATTCTGAATGTTCAGGCTACTAGTGTTTAGTTCCTCAGCAACTAAAATGCATTTCCAAATTCAAGACTGTACTCCAGAGGAATTTAAGCGAACTGTAACTACAGCACATATATAAGTTAGAATATTGGGTGACATTCCTGCACGCTCTATATATGGAGCCAAGGATTTGCACCCTTCAATTAGGTGGGACACATACGCAGACTTTGGCCCAAAATTTAGTGTCTGAGTGTCAACCTTCTATTATAAATAATTAATATTTTAAAGAATTATTATTTTCCTTATTGTTTTATTATTAAGTTAAATTTATTTCTTAGATACGTTTATGTAAGGGGGTTAAGCCTTATTTGATCAATAAAATTTCCTTATCCAAACCATTATATCCCAAGCATTCAACACTCCTCTAAAACTTTTGCCTTATCCTTCAGAATTGCAGAGTGAAGAGGTGGGACACATAAGCAAACTTTGGCCCAAAATTAAATGTCTTTGTGTCAACTTTTCGATTATAAATAATTAATATTTTTCATGAATTATTATTTTCATTATTGTTTTGTATATTATCTTTTGAATAAGGAATATGCTTCCCCGGGAAGTATGTTTTACTTCCTCGCTGGCTTGATTCAGGTCCAAGGCATCTGAGTTTTTGAAAAAACTTGAATCATATCCTTTTCTTTTTTCCCAGTTCCTTTTTTCTCTTTCTGCTTTTCTTTCATAATGTGGTTTCATCATTCCATTATAAATAATATTTTAAAGAATGTGTAGTATTTAGTGACAGTTAATTAATGATTATGTGGAGATCGTGAAATGCAGTCTTGTTTGATGGTAGGTTTAGAAAAACATTTTCTTTACTGTGCCAACATTCTGATCTTTATTTAGATCATCTCCAGGGGCTAGGATTTACAAACATTGTTTGGATTATACAAATACATTTAATATGTGAAAATGAATTTATACAATGTGGTAGGCAATATAGAAATTTTAGGTTTATTCAAAGTACACAGAAAACACACGCTTTGAATGAATAAAAATTCTTTGTATACACAGAAAACAAACAGAGCTGAATATAAAACCTTTGAATAAACCTAAAATTTCTATATTGTGTACATCATTGTATAAATTCATTTTCACGTCTTAAATGTTTTTGTATAATCCAAACAATGTTTGTAAATCTCAGGCCCTGATGATCTAAATAAAGATTGAAACGTGGCACAATTAAAATGTTTTTATAAACCTACATCACACCACAACTCATGATACAAATAACCATTTTAAAGAATATATTATTGCCATTATTGTTTTGTATATTTTATTATTATTATTGTTGGTACTATTTTATTATATTTATAAAACTTAATTTATTTCTAATATAAGTACATGTAAGGGGGCTTAAAGCCATATTTGTACCTTTAAAATAAATAAGTGAATCAGTGTGGGAAGACTGTCTCTACGTCACAGATAGGAAACAGAGATTATAATCGCGGCCAGCGGTGTGTAAAGCTCGATTATCCGTTTTGTAGTGATTGGAAAAATGCAGGAAATATTTGAAGGAAAATTTAGGAAAAGTGTTTTTGGCGTTTGTAAGGAGATTTTTGTTGGAAAAGGGTCTGAAAAGTAATTTGTCATTGGTCGGATCGAACGGGCACTGATGGCCGGACGTCACTTCCTTTAATGTGTCAAACAGACGGGACTAGTGGTGGGGTTTATCGCGGATCTCACGGTTTCCACTGCCTGCCAGGGATGGACGTTTCCTCGGAGAAGTGAGAAGTGCACCCTTCGGTCCCGAGCCCGTTCTGATCGCTGAGCCAGCCCCGTCGTCCGGTTCCGCCGCCGCCTCCGCCTCCGCCTGCGAGCCCGTTTGCCACTCGCCCCGCCCGGTCCAAGCCAGCCCGGAGGCTCGACGGCCAGCGAACGAGGCCTTCGAACATGTCCGACCCATCGGGATCCGCTCGGCCAGAAGGACAAGGTAAGGCCCTGAGACGTCGCCCGCGACCTCCGCCTCCGCCTTCGCCTCCGTCCGCACCTCGCCAGCCTCCCAGGCCGCCTCTCCGTCCACGGAAATGCCCCATTTTCTCCTCCTCGACGCTTTTCCCGGCTGGCACCAGAAAATCCTTCACAGTTCCAAGATGGCGTTTCTCCCGATTTTTCACCCGAAAAATACAATTGTTCCCGTTTTGAATACGCGAAACGACCTCCTCGACCAATCTGATTTAATCCGTTTTAATCCCATTTTGGAAAATTCTCGGGAAAATTCACTGTTGCTTAAGATCCTCAGACCGTTTGTTTACCATCTGGCATTTTCCATAGTTGACAACGTTTATTTTTCCTCGCGCGAGAAAACCAAAATAGAACCGATCATTTGAAAACCTATCGCACTTTCGGGCCGAGTGGATTTGGGATTATCCGACAAAATCGGCCCCTCCTTCGAAATCCTCAGATGGACATACTCCAGACTCGACAATTCCATTTCATTTTATTTTATTACCGGATTCCCCGATCCACTCCTTCAAAAACAAAACTCTCGGCCGGAACTTCCTCGTTCACGATAATTCGGAGCGATCACAGTCCTTTGTTTCAGCACATTATTGATCTTAAAATTTTGACCCTTTTTTTATTATCGTAATTTCGGGAGGCCTTTATCGTTCCGATAACACTTCCGATTGCGAGCAGCCTCGTCTTAAACGCACCCGATCTGTCGCAAACGTCCTGGTTAAACCGAAAAAAAATCCCCCCAAAAAAACAAACAATTGATTATATATTAAAAATAAATCTATTCTTTCTTATTATGAACATATTTGGAAATTTAAAGAGTGGAAAGTCTCATAGTGAATTGTACCAGTTCAAAATAATTCCATTATATTCAAAGGCTACAAAAATTGGTCGGCCGGACGTTAAAAAAAACCTAAAACGGCATTTTAGGTCAAAAGTTAATTCAATTATTTCACTTATTAACTGAAAAAAAAATCCTTTCTGACAACTCAAATAAAGGTTTACAAAGATATAAGCAGAGAAACGACAGATTAAATTAAAAAACAAAACAAAAAACACAAGTACGAAAAATGTTAATTTATAGCTATAATACAACATAAAATTGTTCATACTTTTAACACATAAAAAAAATAAGTTGTGGTTAAGGTTGGGGGGGGGAGGGTTTTTGGTAATCCAAATGCAGTTATGGCGAGCTTTCGACTTGATTTGAAGTCGAGAGCCAACCCGTCCTGAAATGAAGTCGAAAGCTTTTTGGAACTGTCTTTGGATTATGATACAACACCAACCTTGACCGCAACCTCGAAAACTACATCGGTATAATTACAACAGTCCTTCTTACAATTCTATCAATAATTTATTTCAATGTATAAATTTTATGACGGCGTAGCAGAAATGATCTTTGAAGCTTCAGGGCCAATCAGCCCTTACGATGTATACAATAATCCTTGAAACAATTTTTTATTGCTTACTTGTATTTTATAACCAATTAGGGTAACACACACAAGACAACAAAACAAGTACTTGTATGTTTCATAAGAATTAAATATTAGGGCATATCAAAAATCTGTAAAGCTCCAGGACCAATCACTCAACACTTATGATGTATACAATAATCTTTGAAACGCTTTCTTGTATATGATAACCAGTTAGGGTGATACACACAAGAAAATACAAAAAAAAGTACATATATGTTTCATAATAATAAATATTCGGGCATAGCAGAAATGATTTTTAAACATCCAGGATCAGTCAATCAACCATTATGATGGATGCAATAATCGTTGGAAAAAATACAATTTTTTATTTCTTACTTATATATTATAACCAATTAAGATGATAAACACAAGAAAATACCAAAAAAGTACATATATGTTTCATAATAATTAAATATTCGGGCATAGCAGAAATGATTTTTAAACCTCCAGGATCAATCAATCAACCATTATGATGGATGCAATAATCGTTGGAAAAAATACAATTTTTTATTTCTTACTTATATATTATAACCAATTAAAATGATAAACACAAGAAAATACCAAAAAAGTACATATATGTTTCATAATAATAAATATTCGGGCATAGCAGAAATGATTTTTAAACCTCCAGGATCAGTCAATCAACCATTATGATGGATGCAATAATCGGAAAAAATACAATTTTTTATTTTTTACTTATATATTATAACCAATTAAAATGATAAACACAAGAAAATACCAAAAAAGTACATATATGTTTTATAATAATTAAATATTTGGGCATAGCAGAAATGATTTTTAAACCTCCAGGACCACAGGACCAATCAACCCTTACAATGGATTCAATAATCTATGAAACAAAGACCATTATTTATTGCTTAATTGTATATTACAACCAATTAAGTTGATACACACAAAATAATACAAAAAGGTACATATATGTTTCCATAATAATTAAATATTAAGGCAGAGCATAAACAATCTTTTAAGCTCCAGGACCAATCAATCAACCCTTAAATAGATACAATAATCATTGGGAAAAATATTATTTTTTATTTCTTATATATATAACCAATTAAGATAATCAACACTAGAAAATACCAAAAAAGTACATATATGTTTTATAATAATTAAATAATCAAGCAGAGCAAAACTTTCTTTAAACCTCCAAGGCCAAACAATCAATCCTTATGGTAATACAAAAATTGTTGAAACAAAGACAATTTTTTATTTCTTACTTACATATTATAAACAATTAAGATGATACAAGAAAATACCAAAAGAAATGCATGTGTGTTTCATAATTAAATAATTAATTTAAAACCATATCACCATGCATTGAAAATAAAACACTACTAGTACTATATTTCAAGCCCTAAAATATATGAAGTACAGACATCAGTATTGATTTTCATATTAATTTTATATTGATATACATAATTTATGAACAAGAAATATCAAAATTTTTGAAACCGTATTATTTTTTATTGCTTACTGGCATGTTACAACCAATTAAGCTCACATAGACATGAAAATAAAAAATTTGATACATTTATACTTTTCTTAATAGGCAAGTTATCAATTTAAACCCATTATACATCATTTATTTATTGAAGATATGCCGCCAGTAGTATATTTCAAGGCCTAGAATATGTGAAGTATAGCTGTATTTATTTTGAAATTAACTTTATAATGTATATTTAGGATTTACGTACATCAGAAATCTGCAAAACAGTACTAGTTTCTTTTGCTTACTTACATATTAAAATCAAATTAAGTTGTTATACATAAGAAAATGCAAAAGATAGGTATATGTTTCGTATTAATCAAATAATCAATTTAAAACCATAATATATTAACATTTATATATTGATAAGAAAATATCACCAATACACAGATTTATGAACAGTAAAAATTACACTCTTTGAAACAGTATTGGTTTCTTTTGCTTACTTAATCAATTAAACTAATATACACGAGAAAAAAAATAGGAACACGTATATTTCGTAATAGTCAAATAATCAAGTATAACTCTCATTATCATAGTATTTATGTATTGCAAAGAAAATTCCACCAGTAATACATTTTAAGACATAAAATTTGTCAGGGACAGCAGTATTGATTTCCAAATCAATTTTATACTAATATTTATGATATATGAACACGAAGAATCTCTGAAACAATACAAATTTTTATTGCTTGCTTATACATTATAATCAAGAATCAATAAATAAGAAAATGCAAAAACTAGGTACAACATGTTTTGTAATAATAAAATAATCGATTTAATTTAATTAAATATGAATTTTAGACTAAAGATTATGATTTTTAGACACCAAAAATTACAACCTTTGAAATAATACTGGTTTCTTTTGCTTATTTATGTATTATCAATTAAGCTGATATACACAGGAAAACCCAACAAATAGGTACACGTACATGTTTCATAATATCAAATAAAAAAGTTAAAACGATAATACCACAGTATTTACTTACTGAAGATATATACAGTAGTAATATTTCATCTCCTAAAATTTGTGAAGTACGTACAGTATTGATTTTCAGTTCATTCGTCAATTTTATACTAATATTTTTGATTTATGAACATCACAAAGTAAAATTGTCGGAACGGTATCATTTTCTTTTGCAAAGGTGTAGCAGAAATGATCTTTAAATCTGTAGGGACAACCCATCGATTTATGAACTCCAATATAATTTTTTATTGGTTTCTGATATAATCAGTTAAGTTACAGTTATACAAGAAAATGTAAAACAGGTATATGTATGTTTCATAATAATTTTCAATTAAGGTTTTGGTTGAGATAAAAAAGTCAGTGTCACAAGCGGGATTCAAACCCACGACCTTCGGCTGGGTTCAAATCCTGCTTGTGACACTGACTTTTTTATCTCAACCAAAACCTTAATTAATTGAAAAGAATTTATTTGGTCAAGCGGACCACAAAACCTAATAAAAATTTCATAATAATATTGAAAAAAAGAAAGAAAAAAGTTAAATAATAATATATAATCATTAATACAATAATGATAAGAATGAATACATTAAATATTTCTGTCTTGATAAATGAAAAAAATAGGGCACAAATTAGTGAAATATAATTAAGTAATGAAGAGAAATCCACTATATATTAGTTCTCATATAGTCTGATAAACATTTACTGCTTGAAATCCGGATAACTGCAGAATGAGTTTCTGAGTAGAACCATCCTTTTCTACTATTTAATTTATATACTCACATAATTACCATTTTTTTCATTAGTGTTCTTTATTGCATATTTACATATGATAATCAATCACATAATATAAATAGTATAATATAAACCGTACTAACGTTTCACAATGATAATTGCCATCAGTACTTTCAAGGCCTAAACCTTGTGAGGCAAAGCAGTATTGATCTTGAAATAAGTTTTACACTCACGTTGTACTACTTACACCTTTTACTCACATATAATCTGTTATTTAAAATTATTAGTAATACATTTCAAGACTTAAAGTTTGGATTAATTTGTAATTATAATCCAATTTTATACCCATCAAGCCTTCACTCAAATACATATTTTATTGCAAATTTATATATTATAATCGGGTAAATTTATACACAGAGAAATGCAAAAACTGAATGCATATATTCAATAATTGCAGAAAATATCAACTTAACCAAGAATCAAATATGATATGTGAATCTTAATGATTTGAAAAGAAAATAGATTCAGTATGAAACTTTCCGTAGGCATTGCAGTAATGATATAAAATTCTTATTTTCTTTTTGATAATTATGATTTTACATAGGATCGTAAAAATTTAACTAAGAGGTTCGCCTAGTTAAACGATTAATTAAAAACTACTCTTGTTCGAAGTCGGTCAAAACGTTTATAAAAAATTTAATTTACGTAAAAAAATGCAAAAGTGATTACACTAATTTTATATAAGAACGATGAACTGTCCTTTCTGCTTCATTAAAACAAATCAAACTTGTTACATAAAACATTTTACAAATGAATAAAATACAAGATACATATAATCAGAAACAGATTTCATGACAGAAATTAATATTTAGGACCAATTTTTGTCCATGTCCATCGATCTTTATGATTTGTGAATATCAAATAGAAACATCAATCCTGTTTTTTTATGCTTACTTACATGTCATAAGCAATTACACACATAGCAAAAATATAAACAAAAGGACACATAACCCACAATAAAATAAAAAATGTTTTACTAGTACATATTTACAATATATTACAATTCTTGATATGTTTTAAAATTAAAGTTTCGAGCTATAGTGAAAATTACCTTTTAATTTCTCGTGTCAATAAATCAATCCATATTTATGATTTGTCTAAAATCAATAATAAAAACATGTTAAAAACCCACAGAAAATCGATTACATAATTTATTACCTTAAAAGTTTTATCATTTACTAATATTTATTTAACGTATTGAAAAAAAATTAAGTCTCAAGTCTTAAATTATGAGAAATTACAGAAAATTGTGTAATTACTTTGACTAAGTTTTTCAATAATTATTTATGATTGGTCCACAATTAAATATTAAAATCTTTACAATTCAGTCAATAAATTGTCATACAAATTATTTATCATCAATACCTATGATTTGAGAAAAAAAAATTGTATTCGCTTATATGTTTTTATATTAATCAAAAAAAATATTAATTTTATACCTATAAGAAAATTTATCATTTTATAATTCATATTTATTGCTGAATAGAAGTTACCATTAATATTAAATATCAAGGTGTTAAATTTTGAAAGCCTAAATATTCCGAGGCAAAGAAGAAATTACCATCGATGTCTTTTCCCAATGTTATATACAATCATCAATCTTTCAAGACGCGAAAAAGAGGGAGGGGTTTCATTAGTCAGTCGTACGCTTCTGTGTTTTTTTTTTGTCTGCCTTTTCAGTTTAAGTTAAAACAAAAGTTTGTAAAGAAAAACGAATTATTTCATTTCTATTCTTAATAAAAAATTAAAACAATATGTATAAATGAAATAAATTATAATTGAAATAAATTAACTTTATTAAAAAAATATTTGCTATTTAAAATTGTTAATATGGATCTTTCAGATATGGACCAGTTTAATTTATATAAATGTAGTGCTCGGTATGATGAAAATTTGACCTATGCATCTATTTACATCAATATTTTTTTGAACTTTCAGTTAGAACTGTTATACTGCTATTAATGTAAATCTTTAATTAATCCTTAAATAATTCTTCAACCTAAAGTATGGCAAAGAAATTAAAAGAACAACTGGTCATCAGAAAAGAATTTTTTTACCTTTTTAGAAAACCTCGTGCAATTAATTGACAATAGATTTTGTATATTTTTACAAAATTAATATATTATAAAAAAATCCTGAGATGATCTAATTTAGTTCAATAAATGACATTTAAACAAGATATAATCTTTTGAGGAGAAAACCAATAAATGATTTAATGAATAAATCCATGTTGCAAAAGGCCAAGCAACAAAATCTTCTTGTATGGAGCGAATCTGAGAAGAGTTAACGGAAACCCTTGAAAAATGATATCTATCTTAGAAAAATATCGTTAGTGATCTCATAATCTCATATTGGCTTTTCAAGCCTTCTAGAAGTTATTATTTTTTTATATTTGCTATTATAAAGGACCAAATATCTTTTACATAGGATTTGATATTAATGAAAGTTTGATTTTCTCATGAATTAAAAAATGTGATAGATGAACCCAAGTTGGAAAAAAAATCATTTGCCTACATTATAACCAGGACTCTTTTAACTTTAGACTCAAGGCCAAGTTAACATTGCTACAAATTACTTTAAATTGACAACTTGAACAAAAAATATTACTACTCTTACTGAATTTAAACTTAAAAAAATTCTTTATACTGTCAGTAGTTTATAATATTCATTTTAGTGCATAAAAATTATATAAACCTTTTATTATTTTAATCATAGTAAACTGTATTAGCATGGCTATTTATACTTCTTAGCGTTCCTTTGAATTGCTTTCATTGTTCTAAAACTTCCCGTTTCTTTGATTATTTTGATTTTTGTCAGACATTAATAGTAAAATCTATTTTCTAAATAACCCCGAGCCCTTAAATCTATTAAAGTTTGTGATGGAAGCCTCCTGGAATTATAGGAAAATGCTTGTTTTTTTAATTTCAATTATTAAATTTTTATGTATATATAAGAGACACTCTGGTTATTTATATGTGCATAAATAGATATATTGTTATTTTAGTTTATTTATATAGTTTTTTCTCTTTTGTTTATTCCTTGAGAAGAAATGTGTTCTTTGTTCGACTCCGGCAGACGGTTGATAACCATTGCCATTATGTGCTTTTTGGTTATGTTCAATTTTTTTTACTCTCTTTTGTTTATCTAATAAAGGACTTTTTTCATTCAATAATAAAATCAAAAGGCAAGAATAAATATATAATCAATAAATTAGGAGCTAACAAACTTCTAATTTTATATTGCTTTATTCTTTCTTTGTCTGTAAAAAAATAAACAGAGAGTTTTAGGAAAACAGCTACCCCAGAATCTATTATAAAAAATTCCCATGGTCTTTCACCCAAATTTGACCAGACAACTTAGATTGATAATAATAATATCAATTATGTTGACAAATTGTAATGAAATTTTTTCTCTGCAGGTTGTTGAAGTGCAATGGATCTACTGCCGTCACTAAGATATCGACTAACTTCTTAGTGTCGATGCGATGTGGATCTGATTAATCTACAAGAGTGAGAATGCCATAACAAGAGCTCGAACGAGACAATTATGAGCGGTGCAATGGCTGAGTCTTCTGAGGTCCCTAACGCTGGACTCGGTGAAGATGGAATGTCCGGAGGAGGTAGGAAGTTTTTTTAAATTTACATAATTTCAAACGTGTTACTGTTCAGAAACTGTTGTTCTATACAATTCATAGTTCATTTATGTTATCTAATTGACCATAATAATTATTTCAATTAATTATTCTTTTTATGTAAGATCTTGGTTGGGATAAAAAAGTTAGTGTCACAAGCGGGATTCGAACCCACAACCTTCGGCTGAATCCCGCTCGTGACACTAATCTTTTCATCTCACCACCTAACCTTTTCTCTCATTCATTTTCACCAAGACCTTACATAAAAACATAAAAATAATAATTAATTGAAATAATTCATAGTATGGAGGCTGATCACAAACTACCATTGAAGATTAGTTCTATATGTTGTTAAGCTTTTAAATTGGTCAATTAAATTTGAAAAGCGGTTTTCAGTTATACTCTTGTTTTTATTTTCTTTCAAATTGAAATATTTGTGACTATAATGTAAATATTTCAATAGATCAAAATAGTAAGAATTTCATAGTTTCAAGTAGGACAAATTTTTTACTGTGTGAATTCAAAGGCTTAAGTTTCATTTAATAGTTTAATTAAAAATAGGACTTGCTCATCATTTCTTTTAAATGTATAAAGAAATAGACTATTTATACGATGCTGACTATTAGAATATTAATAGATTAATTAATAAATCCGTCTTATACATTGGACGTCTCAATTTAAAATTTCATAACTGCTCAACTGCTGCGAAACCACTTCAAATGTTCATTTATTTTTATTTTTTAATAAGTACTAGAAGGTTTATTGGCAATATTGTAGTCTATGTCAATAAAACCAAGGTGACATTGATGGAAAAATAATTCAATTACATGGTCAAATTTGGTTTTTCTGTAGAAAAACCCTTTTGTTATGAAAAAAATGTTTGAGAATAGAAAAAATAATTGGCTTAGTTCTAGATTTGATGCCATATTATTTAATTATTGTTAATTTTTTAAATAAAAAAAAAAGTTTTGTGTAGGTATTGAAACTTCTGCCTCTAATTCTTTGATTGATTAGGCAGATGGAACAAATATAAAGCTAAATCATGATTTATTTTATTATTTTCTATTCTTAAAGTTTTCCTAGTCCTTTTGAGAAAGAAGAAGAAAGCTTAATGTTAGACCTCGATCGTGATCAGTGTTTTTGGAGAGTTGTTGTTTTAAAACATTTTTAGGCAGAAATTATCTAATCTTGAAGCCTACGTTTTGTTTTTTTGACTGTTTACTGTGTTATACCTTTATTAGATTGACTGATTTTATAAGAGTGCAGTAGAAAAAGTTATTTAAATGGGTTTTGTGTTAAATGTTGGGCTACATTTCGCTTGGCATCACCAGTCTTGTTGATACAAATGACTCAGCGAGGCCAGACAGACCCCTTAATCGCCGGATAATCTCATTTTTATGTTGTTTTTTTCCCCGAAAAGAGCCAGGTCGTCACCCGGTTTCCCCACCGTGCCCCTGTGAAGGACCCTCGTCGAGCTTTAATTTACAGTTTAGATTTTCGTGGAAGTGGGTACAAACCAGAAACGACGCCGATGAAAACCGGGATGCCGGTAATTCCGTGAATTCGTAGTGGGGCATCGTCAGTGAGTTACGTCACATGCAAGACGGCATTCCATAGACGTGAATCCGCACACTTTCGCGTTTCATGAATGGGAGAATTTTTTGCCCCTGGCATGCCACCAAAGACAACCCGCCTCCCCCATGGGCTGCCCAGAACACACCCAAGACAACACGAATTGGAATCATGGCAGGATTCCGTACTGGATACCCCCGGAAGGTAAAAATTGGAACATTTTCAATTCGAATTTTATAAACAATAGGATTGCTAACAGAACAATTTGGACTACTTTAAAACCATGGCATATGAACTGGCCTGTTAGTCTACTACGACTTATTACACTCCATACTCCTGAAAAATCGGTCAGCCCCTTCCAGGTTTAATTGAGGGAAGAACCATTTAAAATTTAACATTCTAAATATTTAATATTCAAGAATGCCCGAAATGTAAAAAAGTGGTCCGGTTCAGTTAACTTCTGTAAACAAAGTGAAATTTTGCGGAAATTAATTAGAATTTTATTTTATGGGTTGTTTAACATTTCCCTGTGCTTAAAATTCTCATAATAGCATAAATAATTTACCAGACTTAATAAAAATTACAGTTTAGAATTTAAGAATGACCGCGGTTTTTCTTTTTGAGGCATGGACCCAATGCGCTTAAACTTTCGTCTTATTTTGCCCTAGTTCCGCTAATGGTCTTCATTGGTCAAGAATGGCTTTCATAGGTACTCTTTACCTTGCTATTGCAGGACAGTTGTAAAGGATATGGTCTGTTGACTTTGCCTTCTTTAGGTATAGTTCAAAATCATCTGTTGACTGTCATATTTTTTTCGTTTTTGGAGAGCTTACATTATTATTTTGTTTTTTGACAACTTTTACTATTTTACCTCTATTAGATTGATTTATTAGATAAGAGTGTACTAGAAAGTGTTATTTAAATGGGCGTTGTGTTAAATGTTATGCTACATTATCGCTGGGCATTACCAGTCTTTTGTTGATACAAATGACTCAGCGAGGCCATACAGACCGCTTAATCGCCGGATAATCTCATTTTTATGTTGTTTTTTTCCCCGAAAAGAGCCAGGTCGTCACCCGATTTTCCGCTCGTATCCCAGCGTAGGACCCTCGTCGAGCTTTAATTTACAGTTTAGATTTTCGTGGAAGATTTTCTTTTCTTTTGTGAGGCATGGGATTTTTCTCAGGGGCATAGTATCGGATGTCTTCATTGGTCAAGAATGGCTTTCCTACATTTACCTTGCTATTGCAGGACAGTTGTAAAGGATATAGTCTGTTGTATTTGCCTGCTTTAGATATGGCTGAAACTCATGTGTTGTTCCATTTTTTTCCAAGTGAAATTTTACTGAACGTGTCTTGTATCGTAAGAGTGATCTTTTTGCTTGCCTCATGCCTGGTATAACTTTCCCAGTATATTTTGGGGCTGTTTAACCCAATTTTCATTACGAAACCGTCCAAAATGGTTGATTTTCGATTTTTAGGTACCTCCATTCTTTGGTGTTTTGGTCTGTATGTGTTCTAGACTGACAGATCAAGACTGCTAGAAAGTCGAACCTGAATGATCGAAAATGCCCAAGGTTCATCACCCCGCAGACCTCAAGATTTCAAAATTGAGATTGCCAGACCACGAAACACAAATAGATAAATATTCACGTCCTGTGTTCTTGAATTTGGAAAATCGAAATAGGGTAGTTTCTATTAGGTTATAAAAACAATTTTAAGACAAGAAAAGCCGAGCGTTATGATTTAGCACCATTGATTTCTCTGAAACTTTATACCCTGGCTGAAATGTTTAAGGTTTGTGTAACCTATATTCATGTCAAGAACGTTATTTATGGGAAACAATATCGAATGCGCGCTCCTTTACATGTTTGACGAACTGGAAGAGTATTTGTTTAGTAAAAAATATTTCTTTTACATAAATACCAAATTTTTAAAATATTTATGCCAGAAATGTTTGTCTTTTATGATTGTCTATAGCGAAAAATTATGTATTATAATAAATAAATACTGTATTTATTTATTAAATTCTGTGGAAATTAATAGATAAAATACTAGGCCGCACATACAGGTTTTTTCTCCGTACATTTTTGATCAACCGTAATTTCACAGATATTAATTTCTGTGGCGAAAAATGTTTTATAATAAAACTAATAAAGGCCGTATTTGTTTATTAGTGAATTTCTGTAGGAATTTAATAGACAACATCTGGATGCCGCACATCCATTTTTGGTTTGTTTTTTTGGTCCTTACATTTTTTGAGTGGTTTTTGGTCAACCAGAATTTCACGGGTAAGAATTTCTGTGGCAAAAGATGTTTTATAATAACCAATAAAGGCCGTATTTGTTTATTAGTGAATTTCTGTAGGAATTTAATAGATAACATCTGGATGCCGCACATCCATTTTTGGTTTGTTTTTTTGTGGTCCGTACATTTTTTGTGGGGTTTTTGGCCAACCGGAATTTCACAGATAAAATATTCTGTGGAAAAAAATGTATTACAATAAAATCAATAAAGGTTATATTTATTTATTAGTGAATTTCTTTTGGGATTTATTAGTTGCAATCCAGATCCGCACATCCACGTTTGATTTGTTTTTTCGCCCATAAATTTTTTGTGTGGTTTTTGGTCAGCCATAATATCACAGATATGAATTTCTGTGGCAAAAATGTATTATAATAAAACCAATAAAGGCCATATTTATTTATGAATTTCTGTGGGGTGTTAATAGATAAAAGTCGGGTCGACATATCCAAGTTTGGTTTGTTTTTCGTCCCTAAATTTTTTGGTGTGATTTTTGATTAATTGGAATTGCACAGGTATGCATTTATGTGGCAAAAAATGTATTATAATAACACTAATAAAGGCCAAATTTATTTGGAAAGTTCAGTTAAATCTAGGTTCACCTGGCCATGTTTGGTTTGTTTTTTTATCCTTACATTTTTGGTATTGTTTTTGGTCAACCAGGATTTCACGTAAAAAAATTTCTACGTTAAATATAAAAAATGTTTAATTTTTTCGAATTTTTCGCACTTTATGTGAAATTCAGTGGTAAATTATTAGTTGAAGTCCACGCACCCCGCCGTTCCTTTCTGACCCTTGTCGTAAAATGTTGATTGTTCTACATAAACAACCATGGAAACTTGAAATGTACGCTGTACATTTGACGTTTCATAATCCAACTAGAAATATATCATATCCAAATAGAAACTTTTAACCCCTGAATGACAGAATCGTAATGAGATCAGTTTGAAAGTTAATCCGAGGCATTAGTCATATGTACACGTTTCCTTGTTTTAAGTCCGTTACACTCCCGGCTATCCCTGGATCGTGACTCACCGTCAATGAGCCGGTTTTATTTTTAAGGAAGCTGAATTGTTTGTTATGACCGTCTCTCACCGGTCGAGGCCGGGTTTC